TACTCGGATCCTGTATGCGCGTTTCGGAGACGCAGCACACATCGATGGCGCGAGATTCTAAAGTTTTAGCTAAGGAAGCCTGCTGTCCTATTTGGCAAAGTGTTCGTACGTTAAAAGCTCCTACGTGTAGTTTAGAGCGTGGTTTCAGGAGACCAGGAATGGCGTTCCACGTACTCGAATCGTTTGCCCTAGCGGTGCGAGGTGATAAAGAGACGTGAGGAGGGTTAGTCATGGAGATAAGAGAGGTATTAGGAGGTGTAGGAAGGATTTGAATGTGACCACCTTGGTCTCGTGTGCTGTTACGGGTATGAGGGCTGATGTCACTTCCCGGCTGCCCACACCGTGGAAGGGTATTTCTTGAGGAACCTGAAAAGGAAATTGGATTAGTGTTGGTCTTGACGACCTGGGAGCGTGACCGCAGAGCCCAAGGGACAACTGCTTGAGGCCGGTCGCGCACGGCCTTTTTGTGGAAGGTTTTTGACGTGTTAGCTCCGTTCTTCAAAGGGCCTTACCGCCGGAGACGGAAATCCGTGAGGTAAGGTGAGGTGTGACATTTTTAGGGTCGACCTTTTCTAACCCCTTCCTTACTTGTGGGAAGGCAGCATCGCTGTCATGCTGGTTGTCCGAGGGAAACACCTTACTGCTGTCACACTCCTCTACAGTCAGCAGTACGACTTCGCCCTCAGACCTTGAGTTGCTGCTTTTAGTCTTACCGTCCATCAATCGACCTGCCTGGCATGGTAGAACCTACAGGAACATATGTTCCAGCCAATATAGCTCGGTTGGGTCACCATGATAGGCAAAACCGACCACCGCGTCAAGATAGCAGCTTTGGTCGGGTCCCAGTCTTACTCTCGAAGATACTTTACTAGTAACCTTTGTCTAACACGGCTCCGAAAAAGTCGATAACTTCGAACCGGTGCAACATTTTGAGTTACCGATTACCAGCTTTCTTTTAATGCCTTCCGTATGTTAACGGTACGATATTACCGTACTAGCTAATGAAACCTAGTATCCCATCTGAAAGTGTTCAAACAATGAAAGACAGATACATTGTTTAGACCTCGACCTCAGAAAATTAGGGATAACGTTTACCAACCTAAATCCCTGGCATCAGTTTGAGATAAACGACACGAGTGAGTAGGTAAAAGTGCAGAGTTACAATACCTTAGATTTCTATACCGTCGATACTTCTTTTTAAAGTGTCTGAAAAGGAAACCAGATCAATAGTGGACTTGGTGAGGCAAAATTGACAACTGCTTGAGATAGGTCACACACTAAATAAAGTGTGTCGGCACCACTACCACTTGTGAGTTGTAAAAAAAAGTAGTACGGTCATTCTCAAAGACCAACAAAACGCATCCGGCCTCTCGTTAAGAGAACCACCAGTAGTATTTTAGACGCAGTCGCATTCCAACTACAATGAATAAGTAGTGTGGTAACCAGTTTTCCGGACTGATTGGATTGCTACAAACTGACCCATGTAGTACGACAGGATACAAGTGATATTTGGAATTTAGTACAAGAATAATTAGTTAGTCGTAAATAGAGTAAAAGCTGTAGCATGTGCATTATTTCCGTCACCCACACTACATCCACATATAATGAGATGACCAAGACTAATGCATTATGAAGGCAGTAACTGTTTCAAGGACATTAGAAACTAAGCATAGAGAATCGAGAACAAAAAGCAGATTCATGGAATAAAAACCCATGCGACTATCCTACAACTCGTTTAGAGGTAGGCAAATAATGAACTCAAAGTCGCCACAGAACAAATCCAAATAACTTGACATCCCCAAACGCTGGTCACTAAAATTGCAAGAACCCCTAATACGTAGTCTGAGCCTACTAACACAACTCTTACGAGCGGATCCCATGTCTGACCATACCTAGTTCTTTCTACTTCTACACTGGCGAACATTGCCCATTGCAGTGGACAGTGTTTAGGGGCATGTCCAAACCACCTCGTTAGACGACGGTTCAGCACACTGCTAACTGACTTGCCATCTGTAACCAATACTCAGCACCCGTCAGTACTGCTTGCTTGATGGTCAATACATGCAAGGATACTGCTTTAGGTTCATCCATGGTCTGATACGGGTTACCTATAAATACCCATCACATTTTGAAGGCCGTCTTGGAGCCCTAAAGCAGAGCTGTGACGTAGACTCGTTCTTTTGTTAACAAGTGGACATTCTGCCTACGCCAAAGGTAACGCAAGTTGTCAAAACCAAGCGAGTTTACTGAAAGTGTTGCGATTTTTCGGACCTCAACTTATCATACCCGACGATATATCAGATATAAGTGAAGTGGCCAATATGAACAACTGACTTATTACCTGGGACCAATTCAGGCGCTGACGAAACACTGGATCTATACGGCGGGAAACGCCTGGTACAAAACGAAAACTTTTGTAATCTTTACAGACAAAACAGTTCACATGTCAATTAAAACTAGACCACCGTGAAAAACCTGGAAGCACGGGACTGCCGTTTCGTTCTAGTAAGGGACTCCTGTTTTCATGTCGCAAATCTCCCATATTACAGTGAAGGCGTCTAGCGGGCACTGGTAATGGTGACTAAATTCCAGATTTTGACCAAAACATATCAATACATTTGCTTTAGAAGTTACGCAAATGTGGTTAGTCGACTGAAAATTATTCCGAACCTCACCAGGTAAATAGAACAGAAACTTGTCAAACAGAAGTGAGGCATCGTTCAAGAACAATTTAATTGAAATCGCCAAAAGATATGAGAACATTTACGTGGCCTGTAAAATGTCCACTCAGGTTTATGATCAGTTTGACACAACGGAAAACAAACCGTTATTTTACAAAATACAAAAAGTGCTAGACATTAAGAGCCTTAGATGGCTTAAAACTTAGTAAACCAAGCCCAAAACAAACGAAAAACTAAAGATATAAAAGATCACAAAATATATAGTTATGTTCCAGTGAAATAACATGATAAACCCCAAATATACGTATATACACCGTGCTAAGAAAAATCCTGCAAGCAGAGTTCATACGAATTAACGCGGACAAAGTTAGGAGTTGAAAATGCGAAACTAAAAGAAATAGGAAATCAGTGGGAACTATTAACCACAACTTGAGGCCTGTGGAGGTATTTGTGGGGAATAGGGCGGTTAAGGAGTTTTGCTACAATAGGGTAATCCTCAGTATTGTGAGTCTGGACATTGTCATTAGAGCTTAAAGAGGGATTAATTTCCGATACTGGAGTAAGCAGGAGGGAATCACCAAACAAATTGTTAGACTTTTGATTAGATGTTTGGGCATCAACATAAGCATACCCATGGTAATTTTCTTGCGGACTATGCCAGTACGTTTCCGGAGGTGAGTGATCACCAGTGGAGAAGCTTTCATCATGACTTTCGGGTTGGGGAGACAAGTTAAGAGCACCACCCCCCTCAATTTGCTCAATTGCCATCACCAAATGTTCAAGTCGTGCAGCAGTATTGCTTGTGCTGTCAGGCTGAGGAGATGCTGAACAAATCGATGTGCTACTATTGAAAGAAGTAAGTGGGGATGACTGGTGTGTATCGGTGCTTTCAGGAGAAAAGTGGACGTAATTCGTGCGAGATGAATCGTATATGCCTTCAACCTCGACTCGTCGACGTCGATTCCGCATACAATCCGGCCGGTCCTCTGCAAAAATAAGAACTTTGAAGGATCTCATACTTACTTAAGTCATCAGATTTGCGTTTTCTAGAAGTCCCCGTTGAACCAGACAACTCTGACGAGACTGGATTCAGTTGCAAACCAGCTGACTGTCGGTACACAGCTACTTCGCTTTCCAGTAAACTAACACGCATGAGTAGCGTGTTGATATATTTGGCGGTCAGTTGTAATATTGTCGCCTAACCGAATAAGTGTGAAAAAAGTTAGTTACCTTGCTCATCTTTTCTCCGTCTGATATGGACGGCAATAGGATACGGAGAGAGTCGAACCCCGCGTTGATACTTTGCATCCGCCGTCGCTCATTGCTATTGGCAATTTCCCTACGAACTCTTTTTTCTTGATCATGATGACCGTGAGCGATAACAGCTGTGTCTCCAGATGGTCTACGTATAAGATTAAGAATAGACAGCCAAAGAATTTTAAAACTTCGATAAAAATCACAATTGAGTTAGCATACAATCACTTAATATAACTAACAATCATATCAAAACAAGTAAAAAATGTATTAGGGAGCCTGTATACAGAAATTGTAAACCATAACTCAAAAGCAATATGGCGTCACGTGAGGAATCTTACCTTGAAGATTTTTCACAACCATCAACTGGCATTTCAGAGACGAAGAGCTTATTTTCCATCAAACATCAAATACACTAACTCTTCAGGCACTAATTATCTAGAGAATTAGGAGTGACGACGTTAACAATATCCAAAGATTGTAAGCAAGTTGCTACCCACCACGTCTACGTAGTGCGTACGTAGCGCGCACAAGATGGCTGACGTAGCGCATTTTTATGTACAAACAGTGAATTGAGGAAACCATTTATCATTAGCCTCATAATTCCGGTAATCACATGTTAATTCTCAGTAAAGTTTATTTTGAGCCGCCCTTAAACAACAAGCCTAGGGTTATCATTCAACAACCTGTAGTCTGTAACCAAACGAATTCAGGGAAGACCTAATCATAACACTAAATTCCGTGGTTCTTCCTGCTCACATGACGGCATGCTGACTGACTTCACGAGGTGTCACAGCGATAAACCTACACGTAATTTAATTAAATTAAAGGAAACCATGTAATGGTAATATGTTACCTTTGATGAATAATCTTCTTGGAATTTAAGTATTATAAACATATGATTGAAAGTTCAGCAAGAAATTTGTCGGCCAGTAGGATTTATTTAGTTTTGGCCAACCGTGTATGATATTCAGTGTAATGATTCATTCTGTTTCCCTTTATCCAGTCTCAAGGTAACAGTTACCGTTGGTTAGGTTTTGTGTTTATGTCTGCATTTGTTTATTAATGCCATGTATATTATTGACATTATCGCGGTACGATATTAGTTTTCTTTCTTTCGTTTCAGTAACTTTATGTCTCTTGACGCACGGCAAATATTCCTTGTTTGAAGAGTGCGAGGCCAGTGACGCGTCTTTTTTAACTGGTCTTCCTTTCGAGTTTGCATACATTTAGACGAGTTGTATGATTTATTAAACCCCATAATAATGGATAACCCCAAGTATCATACATTATTTTATATCTTTCAGTAAAGAACAACTATGATAAGTACTTTCCTCCTCATCAGTACGTCACTGCATCATTTTTCCCTTCTTATTCACCTGTACTATTGCGTCATTTAGTTCTAGAATAGTTTCGGTCAACTCAATCAATATTTTCGGGCAAACGACTCCATCATTGGTTCGTCACATGGTAGTGCTTCGAAAATTTTCTAAAATCACTTCAGCAGTTCGGAGAATCACACATCTTGTTAGTTCAAGCAACTTTTATTCAGTTTGTCTATACAGTAAAAACGTTCTTAACAACCTTGAAATAACCGGCCTGTTGGTCAAAAATGGATTTTAGGGGTGAAAAAAATTCTCATGGAGTTAGTCTTGTTGGAAATATCGTGAGAATACTTAACAAAAAACAGCTATGTAAGTCAAAGTTTCGAGGTTTTATGCTTAGATTTTCAGTGGTTTTATGTGAAGTTGGGCAAGACACTTATTTTCTTATGATCAGTCAGCTACACCAAGGATCAGTGAATTAGTGTTTAAGAATACTGAGCAATAGGAATGTCTGGGTCGTTATAAGAGAGAGTTATAACAGTGGCGACGGGGATAGAGGAAAACACATTTAAGATGTCAATATCAAATAACCATCTCAACTGAATACTAGAACAACGGCAAGCACAAATGCGGTTGTTATAGTTTCCAACACAACACCTTAACATCCCCTGCTCGAGTTCACATGCTATTTCAAGTACATCCTGCGATGCAGTTACTAGTTGCATCCCAGAATTCATATATCATCCTGAAAGTAGAAATACCTTTCTCACATGGTTAAAGCGTTTGGAAAATACGTATAGAATAAAATTCTGTAAACAAGATGACTCATGGAAGACTCGATTGTTGATATTTAAGTTGGGAAGCGATGAACATGCACGTTATCCTGACCATGTATTGCCAAAGTTACCTTAAGAGCTCACTATTGAGGAGACTTATTGTCCGAGACGTCCTGTACCATATACTGCCATTGAACTAGTAAATCATGAACTTAATTGTTTGCAACAAGTTGGCGATATCATAGTTATGGGTTCAACTGGCAGTGAGCTTTTGATCGACTACATCAAGTCCTTGACCGAGTGGCGGAGTATGGTTTCCAACTACGTGGAGAAAAGTGTATCTGCTTCATGCACTCGATGAAATACCATGGTTTCATCTCAGATAAGAACGGTCGCGGACCAGACCCTGCCAGCATTGAAGCCATTCAGAAGATACTCGCACCAACTAACGTCTCTTTTTTTAAATCCTTCTTAAGATTAATCAGTCATTACGACACATTCTCGCTTGAGATGCATTGAGATGAGGGGTCCCCTGAATGAAATACTATTGAAAAATAAACCTTGGCAGTGATCAGGAGAATGTCAAGCGTTTTTCAACAAAGTCAAACCAATGCTCAACTCAAAGCTTCTTTTAACGCACTTCGATCCCAGATTGGGACTTGTTGTTGTATCTGATGTATTTAATCATGGAGTTGGAACAATGATATCTCACATGTTCCCGGACAAATCAGAAAAGACAATTCCTCATATTATTAGATCACTCACCCAGCCGAGCGGAACTACGGTTAAATTGAGAAGGAAGCATTTACAATCACTTTTACTGTTAAATGGTTCCATAAAATGTTCTACGGACGTACGCTTGCTGTACTGACAGACCACAAAATTTTGGTTGTAATCTGTGGTTCTAAGAAATGAATCTTTGTAAATACGGCTAACAGATTACAGCGCTGGGCAACAATTATTTTGGGCTATGATTTCATTATCAAGTGTCAGCCAACAAATATTATCGGTAAAAGCGACTCTGTCTCTCGATAAATTGGAGTTCAACATCCTGGACAAGAGGACATAATCAGTGCCTCCACAGCAGTAGATCCAGAAATACGGAGTATAGTAACAGATGCCATTTGAAAAACACTCCGTTGTCGTCAAATGATGTCAAAGAAGAAACCCTTCGAGACTCAATCCTACAAGAAATTAGAAAGTTCCACCTTGAAGGGTGGCCCTCGAACATCAATTCCACGGAGCTTCAACGGTTTTACCAACGTTGACTCTCTCTCTCTTAGTCATCGACGACTGTCTGTTGTTTGCGGAACTCGTCATAATCCCAAAGAAGCTGCAAACAGCAGTACTTGAATAGTTGCGCACAGGCCATCCTGGAATAAATCGTATGAAAGCACTGGCCGCATATAGACACCCAACTGGAGCAGCTATCCCGTTCGCATGCCGAATGTGCATTAGCAACAAAAGCACCGCTGAAAGTAGGGCAGCAGTCATGGCCAATACCACAGTCACTGGGGTAATGTATACCTTTGAACTTTGCTGGTCCACTTCACTGCAAACTTATCTTCTGGCAGTTGATGCATACAGCAAGTGGCCAGAAATGCTCTCATGGAACATCCTGCTGTAACCTGCACAGTCAGAAAACTACGTCAATTACCCAGCCGTTTCGGAGTCCCAGAATTAATAGTTAGCGACAATTGAACACAGTGTACACCTGCCATAGTCTCAGAATTTTGTCGGCAAAACGGAGTCAATCATGTCCGAACACCTCCATTCCATCTCCAATCCAATGGCCAAGTGGAACGCTTTGTTGTCATATCTAAAAATGCTCTTCAAAAATCGAAAGCGGATGTTACCGCTGAAGAGATCTCCGAAAGGTTCCTGCTTATTTATTGCTGTGCACCGAATACTCAGACGATTAGCGGGGTCTCTGCAGCAGAAGCTGTACTTGGCAGAAAAATACGAACACATTTTGATGTCATCCGTCCTACGCCAGCTCTTGAGCCTCAACGAAACCTACTGATGGAGAAGTAGTTCACTCGACATCATGAGGCACAAAGACGATTGTTCACGGCGGGTCAAAAAGTACTTGCTAGGACTATTATGGAAAACATCCTACATGAATAGCTGGTCGAATCGTGCAAAAGAAACAGTGTGGTTTACGAGCTGTCAGCTGGCTCCGAATTTTGGGTGCATCCTGCTCGCTAATTGAGAGCGACTTCGATCGACATCAACGGAACTCGACATGGAATACCTCTTGATGTTCTGTTGGACGCCTTTGAAGTCAAAACCTCTGGAACAGACAGGTCAGTCTCTGTGCAAGCAGAGAGTGATACAACTTTTTCATTGCCTAGACGATGAATAAATGGAAAGGACAGGTCAGTCGCTCGGTTTAAGTTGAATCCCAGCACCAGATCCTGCGAATCTGCTCAAATGAGAGGTGTTAACGGGGCATAAATCGAAATAAAGTACTTTCCGTGCGCAATCACGTTAGGGCACGCTGATTGTCTATCTCTTATCCAATCGGCGCTAGTAGATGCTTGGAGAACACTCTAGAATCTCATGTAAAAACTATAAATGTACTGAAATTTTTCTTATTGTGCTTCTAACTTCCACCTACCCTTGTTATTTGGAATATAATATCCTTTCTGTTCAACCGTGTTCTGATTTGAGGACTTATCGAGTGAATCACAAAGCAATAGGGATAGCTGAGTTGTAATAAGAAAAATTAAAACGCTGGGGCTGGTCAAAAACGAATTCGACCACGATACACTTAGAAATCGTTCGGCCATCAAATGGCCCGTGGGCATCTTTCTCGCAGCAACGACTGGCGTCCAACTGGTGACTGCTGTAGACTGAATACAAAAACCATTCCTGATCGTTGTCCGTTATCTTACATTCACGATTTGACTGCTAGGTTGTTAGTTATAACTGGTTTTCCAAAGATCGACTTGGTTAAGGCCTGTAACCGAATTCTCATGGCTACCGACGACATTTCTAAAACCACAATAGTCGTCATTTCTTTGGGACTCTAAGAATTTTCGCGCGTGACTTTCGGTTTAAGAGATGCTGAGTGAACTTTCCACCAGGGCACTGAAGCACTCGTTAGTATCACAGCAGCCGGCAATCGAAGGAATCTTACAACAGTTGAATAACCACACATGAAAATTTGGTATTCTTTTTCAGACGCTTGCTAGACACCGAACTGAGGTATAACATTTTCGGTAGGGAACTCCTAGCCATGCGTTGTCCTGTACGGCCCTTCCAACACTTTGTGGAAGACCGATACTTCATTTTGTTTACTGGCCATACACCACTCATTATTTCTCTAAGTTTGTCTTCAAACAAGTATTTGCAACAGATCAGGTTGGTTGGTTAAGAGTTGACCCCAAACAACCAAGCATATGCTAAAACAGTATTGTTCAAGTATTCATTCACTTCCTTATTTTTTATAAGCGTTATATTCCCTATTATCTTATATTGAATGTTGAGAGCCTTTATTTGTCTGAACAGATAATCCCATACTCCACTGTGACTGCGCGAAGATCGAAATAAAGACCTATTCACTACTTCTCTGGTTTCTTCTATCAGTAGCACGAGGGTTACCTTATGGCACGAAATATTCACCTTGAGATTCTCGACAATTTGACTACATTTTGCAGTTCACTTCAGATATACGCCATGTTTCTGGGGCAAACACATGTAGTTGCAGACGCTTTGTTTCACACAAATTCTTTGAACAGTTTCGCAGGAATTAATTCTATCAAACTCGTACAGCTTCTAAAGAAGGCACTGATCTTCATCATGAGTTATCTCCGACTACCCTGAAACTGCGTATTAAACAGATAGAGACACATCTACATGTAGGGATCGTCCAGTCATGCCGAAATATTATCGACGCAACGTCTTCAGTACGTTTCACAGGCTTTCTCACCCAGGTGTTCTTGGAACCATCAAGCTCATGTCAGAACAGTTTTCATGGCGTGATATGAATAAAGACTCGAGGGAGTTGGTACGCTCCTGTGTAAACTGCCAAAAACTTAAGGTGATTAGACACAACAAATGTTCCTTAGGCTCATTCGGAACTCCTGATGCTCGTCTCGACTGTGTTCACCTGGATTTGGTAGGACCACTGCCAGACTCAAATGGATGTTCTTATCCCTTAACCTGTATAGACGGTTTCACTTGATGGCTATAAGCAGTAGCCATCAATGGCATCACTGCCGAAACAGTGACCCGCTCCTCTACACTACTAGAAATCACACAATTTCGAACAACTTCCTACCACCCATAAGCAAACGGGTTGGTAGAATGCTTTTGTCGACAGCTCAAAGCTCCGCACTCAGCTGCAAATGTTTCATAATGGACCGACGCTTTTCCACTTGTTTTACTTGGAACTCGCAATTCAGTGGAGACTGACTCTTGATACACTGCAGTTCAACTCATTTATGGAACGGAACGCTGACTTCCAGGAGAATTCGTAGATCGTTTATCTGCTTCAAAGAATATGGATTTAAACTCTTACACGAGCAGGCTTAAAAACACCATGAGTTCAGTTAAACCTGTTTCCACTCGACCACAGCGAACGGATATTTTTGTTCAGCCTGCCTTACGATATGATACACACATATTTGTACGTCAAGACTCACTTCGACGACCTCTCGAAACGACATACAAAGAACACTTCAAAGTCCTTCAGCGCAAACCTAAGTGCTACATCATCCATAGGGACAAAAGTAATGATAGTATCAGCATCGATCGTCTTACAGTCGCGTATTTAGAAGGAGAACGTAGTCATGTCAATTTTCCTTCGGTACAATCGAAAGGCACGAGTCTTACAATTACGATGCTTTGCTCTATAATCGACAGTCACGAAGAAACTTCGGTAGCATCTGACAACCGATTTAAAACAACGCGTTCTGCAAGGAGAGTATGGTTTCCAGAACGCCTAAACGATTACTGAACACTACATAACACATTGTTTTATCCTGAATTTTTCTGTATTGTTATGTCAAAAAAGAAAACGAAGACAAACTATTTCCAATATGCTCATATATATTTATTGTACTTATTCCAAAAAGAACAAAACTTTTTTGTTTCTAATTTGCTTTCTTATATGTGTAACGTTTCATTTTTCTCAGTAAACCAAAAACTCACTCTGCGAAAATCATTTTTACGCTATTCTATGTTTACGAAACGCATATATATCAGATTATTTTGTTTTTTTCCGTCTGTTTTGTGTCGTTACGCACGTACGAGCGTATTTCGACATTCGACATACATATTCTTTTTTCTTTTCCAAGACGGCTGGACAAGGTGAAGAAAAACGACAGAGTTTGCGATGAATCGAAATTTTCACTCTGCTTGTTTTTTATTACTAGATTGTACAACACAACCCTTATAGTAAGGAAAGACGGCCAGACTCTGCTGAACACAGCAAGCTGTTAGACGAGTGTTCGCCAACGACAAACTTTCTGGGTTTAAACCTCTGGCTGGCCACGTCTTAGGGCCATCATCACTACATTAGTGGAGGAGGAGTGATCCGTACCAGTGAATAAATACTCAAAACCAATAGCTCTGTAAGTCTTCGACACTTGATGCCGTCCACATCAGTTTTAATGGACTTACCTAGCTGAAGGCTCTCAGTAGCCTGTCCGCACCAGATTGTGAATGGGTACGTTGCGCTTCACACTTCCTACGATCGCTAGCTAGCTTAGATTAGTCAATTCTTGATATATCGATATTTTATCAAATATGACTTCGAACCTCTTGGCTTTTGACTTCTGATTTCACTAGGTTGACACGTTTTAACTATAAAGGGTGCTACTGGTTAAAATGTCAAACTCCGAATACTTGTAGCATCTCTGAAACTATACGTTTTAGGGACTGGTTTACCGCCAGAAACTAAAGTACAAGTATGTAAAACCTATCTGAGACATCACCAGTGTGATTCTTTGGCAACATGTCGATGTATTTTGATCTTCATTCAGTGAGCGATTATCGTGTATCAAAAGTAGTGTTCGTCTAAGATTTCATTCACAGCGTGTGGAGGTCTCCGTAGCTGTCATCTATAAACGCGTCACTGTATAACAGAAAACCTATGCCTTACGGAAAACCCATATGAAAATTTTGCTCTTGTAGCTAGAAATGACTGACTGAATGGGCGGAAAATGTTTGAGATCGGTCTACATGAAACACTTAATAGACAGAGAATGTTAAAAGTAACCAAAATCTCAGCTTACAACGTTAAAGTGACCTTGAGACATTTTTGTTCATTAGCCAATCAGGAAGCAGGTATTATGGATGGATTGTTTACAATAGAGAACAAGTAGAATTAGAATGTATGTATGGTTTTTACTAATGTAGTACATTTATGAAGGCTGATAAGGGATTTTTGTTTTTAAACTTAAGGTTTGGTTTCGAAATTCGTCTGTATCGCTCCAGATCATTTAGCCTCGCGAAAATTCTCAGTCTCCCAAGTTTGGGGAAATATTGGGGAATTTCCCCAGGTCTGAGGAAATTTCGGGGTCTTAGTGCCATTTCCATGAAGTTTACTATAGCGGCTTCCTCAAACTCGGTCAAATTTTCACTAAAATTGGGAGCTCGGTTTTGTTCCGACATATATTTATCTGCATGAAGGTGTAGTTACTGGTAACCCCACCACATTTTTAACGGCCATTTAATTTGCTTCTATAGTTATTTTCTCGGTCTTAGGTAGTGGCATTTTCTACATGACTTCTGAACACGCAAATCCGCAGTATATACTGTTCACAATATTGTAAGCAAACGGTGAAGTATAATTTATTGATGGGACAATTCACTGTAGGGCTTTCAAAAGACCTAAGTGGATCCACTCACACCAGTCTGCTTAGATTTTCTGGTTACTGGTCTAACTATGAGTCACTGACTTTCAGTCAGTGATGCTATATTTCTCAGCTGGGACATATAGCATCACTAGTTCTAGAATGACTCACTTAAAGTGGTTCTTTTCATCGAAAACCTTTGTTTAGTGAGTACTTTGTTATTCTGTCTTTGAAGTTAACAAGTAGCACTCCTGTGATCTTTAAGTCACCTCAGTTCGCTCCTGCACACCAAGCTTGCTAGTAGGTTGAAGACCGCAGTTTAGCTAAATGTTAGTCGGGTTACTGTCGTTTATTTGTGAAACCTAATCTCTCATCTGGGCATGTGATGACTATGTATTATGATTGTTACCTTCGAAGAATTGCCCTTATTCGTTATAAACGCCGCGTATTTCATGCTAACATTCTGCAGCATGTTTGGTCGCGATTTGCTCTAAAGTCCTACAAACGGTGCTATTTCAAGGCATTGGGTTAGTGGCTAGTACACTTCCGAATCATGTTTTCGCCATGGGTTTTTATACCTCCCGCTTATTTGGAAAAGGAGGTACTAAATGTAGACCCATAGCAATAACAATGTCAAAGTTCATTTGCCTTGGTGTGGGTGCAGGTGCATCCACTCTTTGTGTTCTCCCAAATTCTAATCTTCTGAATTCTTCATGTTCCTTTCTTTTTTCTTTCCAAATTTATTTCATTGGGTTATACTCCTTGAATACCATCTTCAAACCCTAATTTTTCTGATTACAGTTTATAAATTTACTACATCTAGCACTACAGGATTTGAATCGACCACTGCATCTCTGTGCTAATGTGGTGTGGCAACTCGAACTGATGTACGTACGTACAAAGTTCTACGTTGTTACTGACTGACTGACTGACTGAAGTTTCTCCTCTGATTTCTCTTGGTCTTCTCATGTTTTGTTGTTGTCGAAGACAGTTTTCCGTCTGACTTATTGTATAAATATGTGACACATGCTTTTGGCATTACTCGACATTTACGATTTGTAAAGTTTTGCGTGTTACCTATTATTCTTTACTGTCCTCCTTATTCTTTCCCGGGGTTGTAAGAAGAGATTTTGCTGTATTGCGAAGAGTGGTGAGTACAGTTAGCAAGGTGTATGGTGAATCTTTTAAGGTCATTATTAGTGTGGTTGTGGATAGGCATATAAAATCTTGCAAACTCCTGATACTAACCAAATAAAAGTTGTGCAGATCCTAATCTTCTTAAAAAACATTTCATTTAATTCCAGGCAGTTTATTTACGTAATATATATTATATATAGTAATCGTTTTCTGTTTTATAAAAGGAACCTGTTGAAATGCTTTGTGCTGAGGATTCTTTATCATACTAAACATGTAATATTAAGTGGAGTCACAATAGTAACCATATTATTATTAATAATAGTAATAATAATAAACGTGGACAAAGCAAAGGCTTATGGCCGTCATAGAAAGCGCTATAAGTATGTATTGTAATACCCGTTCATGCACTATAACGCTGTGAGTCGAGTCCTAGAAAACATTCACCTTGGTGCCTTAAAATAACTCAGGGTCAAAACCAGTTTCTATTTTTGCTGTAATCTGCTTTGATCTATCAATTAGAAAATGCACTTTCGGAATCTATGAGAATCATTGTAGTTTTACTCATAATTGATCCATATTTTTCAGTAAGTTCTAATTTTCATCATACCGTTTCCTCTTCTGTTTCATATTGCTGTCATTTCGTTTCGTATGACATTTCTATGTGTCGTTAAACCAAACACTTCTATGTGTACATTAATGCCGGTGATAATAAATACCCAATTAAGGAATCTACTTTGCTTCGTGAACCTTCGGCCTAACAAGTTATCAGTGTTCATTCTGGGTTTAAAGATCACCATGAAGATTTTAGACTATTGTAGCGAAACCTGTTTTTAGTCCCATTAAATCCTGTTCAAGTAACATGTTATTGAGTGGGGCAAAGTTATTTGTATTGAATAAAAAAGCGTTTGATTTTATCTTTTAATTGATATCCTGGATTTCTTTAATCGATCATTGGATGAAAAAGTATGATACATATGAAATGACTAATCTTTTGAATTGTGTATCTTGTCTCAGTTTGTGTTCTTAAGTAAATTTAGTCATTTAAATGGCACTCCTGATTATTTAACAAGATCAATTACAAAATATATTGTAGTCTTCATTAACCAATGAAAAATATGATTTTCCACAAGTAAACCTCAATGTAGATTTCTTAGAACTCAAAACTTTGTTCAGTTCTAGGATTTGCGACGTTTTCTGTTCCTTTTCTTCATTAAGAATCGGATTTTGATAAACTGTCAATTGTGAATAGGTTTTAATCGTCTCTTCATATGTCAAGTTGTTCTACTACAATCGCCTGAAGCTTGAAATTTTATTAGTTTTATCACCATACATATCTTTATAGCTGCATATGTTTGTAGGGATGGATTGTGGCTAGCAGTGAATTTCAGGATGCGCGTTGCGTTCTACTTGAGACTCGGCAGGTGGATGTGTCTGCATCTCAAAGTTAATGTATCCCCTTGTACCAATATTTATATGTTCAAATAAATAAATTATAGCTGCATGGTGGATACGGAGGATCCCACCTAGGGGAGTTAGAAAACCTTGATTCCAAACCACTGGTGTACATGGGCTCCAGGATCCTAGGGAAACAAATGGCGTATGAACCTATTGTTGGTCACCGGCTACCATGGGACTGCATCTCATTACGTTGCTTCACTACCTTGTGGATTAGACCTCCAGGTCAAAGGCTCAGGGTGTGTCCCTCGAAGACAACCACCTATTTCGGTTTGGGCACCCGGAAAGTATCCCAGCCCTCAAATAAATCGAATGATTTATGTGGCGCATATCTGTTTGTTGCCTCCTTGTACCAGTATTTATGTGTTTAAATAGTAAATAAATAAAGCTGCATGTCAACTTGTAGATGAGATTCGGAGTAGAATGATTGTAGTTTTAGCTTTTGGTTTATGTTATCGATCGAAGCTACTGAGTTTTCGGTTGTATGACATGTCAGCATTTAAAAGACACCTTAACAATTTCTTTCTCTCTTGGGTTCATAATTATCTTTCATTCGTTATATTTAATTTTGCAAAATATCCTAGGTAGTTATTTATTTTCAAACTGAATATTATTATCTTGTTCAGTGGTGGTTTTTTGAATCATCACAATGCCATGCATTTTTTAATCATAGATTCTAGAGGTTCACTCTACACCAGAAGGAATGATGGTAAAAGATAAGAATCGTCCTAAACCACCGATGACACCATATGCATGTTTCGTGCAAGTAATACGTGAGGAACATCGAAAAAAACATCCGACAGAAAATGTTATTTTCAGTGAATTTTCCAAGAAATGTGCAGAAAAGTGGAAGGTATGAAGAATTAAAAAGCATTATTACTGTCTCATGATTAATTATTCCTTATTGTGCAGCTCATGAATTTGGAACAACGAAAGTGTTTTGAGGAAATGGCAAAATTAGATACGGAGAGATTCAATCGGGAAATGGCTCATTATATACCACCAGTCGGAATGAAGCGAGGTCGTAGACGGCGACGTATCAAAGATCCAAGTATGCCTAAACGTTCATGGTCAGCATTTTTCTTCTTTTGCGATGCATTTCGATCAAAAATTCGTAGTGAGCACCCCGATTGGAAGGTTAGCGATATTGCCAAGGAGTTAGGTAGACGATGGGAAGAGTGTTCCGATAAAGAGAAATACGAAAGACGCGCACAGAATGACAAATTACGTTATGAACAAGTGAGTTACAAAAGTGGTGTTTCAGGTTACATATTCACCCATGTTTTGAAAAGTTTATTAATTTATTTAAATCAGTCTAATAATAAACATTCGGGAGTTAATCAGCCATAAGCAGCATAGAACTTGATGCATATGGGCATCGATCCAGTGTGTCTGCATTACAAATAAATATTGACCTGATAATCGTTAACTACAGTAGAGTATTTGGAAAGCTGTTTATATCCTGGAGATTATCATAAATAAATACTACTGCAAAACTAAGACTTAGTGGCTCAGATGTTTGACTTCCACTTTTTGAACCGAGTATTGTACTTAACTATCATAAAATTAATGTGGCTCGAAGATTAGTACATAAATCTATGATGATAACTTTTCCCAAAAGTTGAATAACAGGACAGACAATCAAATACACAGATACAAATACGCTGAAACTAGCAGAAATGTGTGAAGGTCCAAGAATGCAATTCACATGAGCATGAGTTAGTAAAAATTAACAATAGGTTAAAAACAGAAGATTAAACATGATAAATGAACATCGAAACTATCGTTAAAAAACCTCGTGGGAACAGGTAATAAAAACTATGAAGAAATAATAGGGTTGAAATTTTGTGGAAATAAGCAGTGAGTGCACCTCTGTCACTGTGATCTATCTTCTTAACTTTCAACAAAGATATGCAATCATAAATTGCGATAATCTCGTAAATTTCAACCTGAAAGTTTGTGTCTCCGCACAGAACTTAGACCAACAATCAATAACCCTATGAAGTGTTACCATATTTTGGTTCCCTTGCTTTTAGCTATTTTTCAACTTACTCTTCAGTCTAGTTATCATACTATCCCAAAGTAGATACTGTTTACTCACGTATACCACATTCAAACCACCTCACTCAATTAGAGTTCTTATTGGTTAACTTAAATATAACCCATCCAGTGGTTTCAACGTAGCTGACCCCTATATATATAATTAAATAATAGGGGAATAGGACTAAGAAAGTATACAATACTCATGAACTTAAACTATTTGCTTAACTGTTTTGTAACATCTAAAAAGAATTACATTTATATTTGAAAACTTTTGGAATATTTTATCTACTATACTCTTACATATTTGTATTTCCCTTTAAAAATAGGATATGGAGAAATACAAAGCTGGATTGTATGTGGCGACCAAACGTGCTCGAGTTGGCGATCAGACGAAATCAAACGAGATACTGCCATGCTTAAACAATCAGTCACATCATAAGGAATTAGGTGAGGCAAGTCAAATTTCAAATGATGAAGTAGGACGAGGTGATGGAGACGATGATGATGGAGATGAAGATGATGTCGATGATGATGATGATGACGATGAAGAAGAAGAGGAAGAGGGTGATGGAGAAGAACAAGACGATGAAGATAATGAACAACAACAATCAAACAGATCTAACACTCATGAAATGCCTGTTTGTGGTGATCACAAAACACCAGAACAAGTTGTCTCCAGTGATACAAGTAGTTTTATTATAAATACAGGAAATTAGAATATATTAATGTCTATGTAAATGTTTCTCACTCTCTCTCTTTATCATTTCATATATTATTGAAACATATTGTCATTGATTCTTTTGTTGGTCATGTTTCTTTCTTTTTTACATAATGGAGTCAACAGACCCACCGATACAAATGCATTTATTCTTTACTATTGCTGACTCTCATTTATTTTATACTTGATACATTTTGTTTTCCTTAGTTTTATATCGATAGATGATTTTTAAATTGTGTCCTTTGGATTGACAAAGAAAACACCTCAATCGCTAATATATATATAATACCTCTACTTATTTCTTACATCGCTTTGTTTTTTATATGTTAATTTTTAATTTTGATTTCACTATACGGTCGTCAGGTTGAGTGCTAATGGTACCAGTTATAATAACAACCATAATGATCATTATTATCACTATTTGAGTCTCATACTTTCATTGACTTTGCTTTTTTTTGCTAGGCATTTAACTTTCATCTTATTAATATATATATACAATTGATTTATTTTGGTTGCTACGATAGATATTTATGGATATAATTGAGTTTTCTGTATCCAGTTAGTTTAAAATTTATTGCTTTTGTAGAATATATGAAAAATCTTAACTTTTACAGTCAAGTACAGCTTTATATGTTAATTAATGAACTATATGTATGGTGTCAAAGCAAGTAATATATCTGTAGTTCACAAATTAGTGTTTCTTTTATTTCTAACTTCTTCATAGGTTAACGCTAAGTTGGCGTTTAACATAATCAAATTCTTTCTAAGGTTATAAATATATTTGTATAAGAAAAGAATTTTATTACTTCTGATCTTCTTTGATTTTCTCTGAGACTATCGAATTTCAACCACTAAGTTCTAGGTTCAAACCCTGCTCTAACCTACTTCTTCTTGGGGAACCAAATAGTATCACTAACCCTCATACTTTAAGTATTGCTTATATCCAAATACCCGGTGAATGAGTTAATCGTATTATTTCTGAACTGTTAACAGTCAAGACTACTATATAACTCTAAGTCTACGGCGGCTTCGTTAAGTTTTACGCTGGGATTGTCCTATTTGATAAATTAACTGGATGTAATTTTTGAAATGATGAAACACTTAAAAGTAATCATTTTTGATTGGATACTTCTCTTACCTTTCATTTTTTCTCTTTGTCTTGGTCATTGCTATGGAAGCACTGTATTGCCATTGGCAGGTTTTTCCAGCGTACTATTTTTGTCCTTCATTATTGTTAGTTTTTCTAAAAGTGCACTTATGAGAGTATCTGTTGGGCTTGGTTCAACTAAAGAGACTCTGAAACATTCAGGTTTCTGTAACATGTCTTGTTTTGCATAGTTATTTGTTAGTCGGTGTATATATGCTTTCCATATACTACTCTGATTGTATACACTACGTAGTATCATAAATCAAGCCTTTTTTTTAGAAGATATTACGATTTGCGCTACTCCGATGTGTCTGTTTGATATTGTTACCAATCTCACTACTATATACCGAAAGTCATATCATTCAAATAAAGTTAGTTTGGGGAAAATTTAGATGAACGGCTAGTACAGAGATATTTATAATATTGGATCCATTTTTTGTCTACAGATTTATACCGATCGAAAACTCATTCTTAATTGGTTGACAGTCTGTTGTAACGGGTGTGACTGCAGGGCTTGATAAGCAGCGTATTTATCGATCGCTTCTGTGAGTGACACGTAAGGACGACCTAGTGCCCTGATTGGCCCTGCTTCGCTGTCTGTCCTAGCCAGTTGAGTCAAGAACACAAGCCACAGCCTCTGAGTTATGAATCATTATATTTCAGACATACTCTATTTATATCCTAACCAAACAAACCACATCGTACCATAAAATAGCGAACAACATTTACACAATATTTAACAAGTGAAATAAACATCGACCAATAGGAAATGTACATTTAAGGTCCAAGGCCACCATAGACTTAACACGATAATTATTGGTATATTTTTCCTCAGCATCCATAACACAGTCAATCAATCATATTACGTTCTGAGTACAATTGCAATCTCTTGGTTGATCCAGAATATTTCGAAACCTAGTCTTCCTGAGGCTGTATTGTAGCAACAAGTGTGGTAATACACGTATTTTCTGGAAAAGTAATCTCTGAGGTATTCTCGTAGCAGTAATACGTAATGTTAAATATTTTCAAAACCTTTGAACAAATGTTTTAAGATTGTTGGGATTCGTTATTTGGATTTTTCTAGCCGAAATCGACACTGATGACTGTTACTACCGTCTACCTGTTCTATTCGTAAATGTTTATTTACAAGATTGCATTATGTATGTGTATAGTTTACAAAATAATAATACAGTATAGGAACGGGAAAATCGGAATCGAGAACACAACTTTGTAGTGTTAGTCATTAGCTTTAGCCCATAATATGTCTTATTCTAGTTTTCGGACATTCCATTCTATTCATTCTACTTGAGTCATATTTTGACCTTGTCAATTATTCGCTTGTCAGTCTTGACTGTTTTTATATGAGCGTATATGTGTGTGCCCTTCTTATTCCATTAATCACATGTCTGTATCTTTATTTTGTCTGACTATAAATATTGAGTAACGCTTGACTAAAATGGAGTTGGCTTCCCAGCCATCTTCCCTGCGCGTCATTTTGCTCTGTTCTATTACATTCACTTTACATACAAAATATATGTATTCGAAGGCCATTCTCGTCAATTGACTTATCTAAATTCCGTTATTTACTAACGTGATTTAAGTCGACGATGATATACGAGAAAAGGCGATAACAAACATTTATACGATCTTGGAGTCAGATCAATGGGCCACCCCAGCTTTTAGGCTTATGAAGAAAATCTAAATGTCACGTTCAGCGAGCGGTAGAAATGCTTTTGTGTAGTGCTCAGAACGTTTTAAAATGATAGCGGGAAATTGCTTTGTGACACTATAGAGGTAGAGTAGATACCATTAAACGTATCAGCTACTCACTCCTCTCTCTGTAAGTTGTATGTAGCAGACAAATTCATACTATCCCTTTATCCTAACCTTTGAATGCTGAATAAAACATTAAACAGGAGGCCTTATATTTCAAAAAATATCTGTTGTACTTTTGCTCGAAATTCATTTGTCCTAGTGGCAACAGGGCATTTTTACATGACAGCTGATGTCAGTTCGTGACAAAAATCTTAGCATTGAATGCCTTACCCTAAACAATATGGGGGCTTAAAAAACAGTTTCAGCCCTTACACAGGCTTCAGAAGACGAGTAATCAATACTGAGGGACAAATTTGTATGTTGGGGCACCGAATGGTCGTCACATCATATCTCGGATGATTTCATATCAACTACTGTTTATCCTTAGCACGAAGTCACTTCTAATGTCTACTCTACTCATTGTGAAAAATATATGTTAAATGAAGACACATAATTCACAACCTGGGGATATGAAGATCCAACATTATTTAGTGGGGGGAGGATAGTGTTGGAGAATCTATGGTTCAAATTATGGTAATTAGTGGTTTCGGTACACAACCGACACTGATTGTATACAATCCCAGGAACCAAGTGAGTCTGTTCCGATTTCGGTTGTTAATTCTAAGGCTAATGAGTACATTTTAGATAATACAGGGTCATTATCCAATACACTGTTGGACAGACACAGGATGAACCTAAGAAGACGTACAATCGATTACAGACACTTAGACTCCAATTTAAGCTGTGGCGGACGTGGTGTTTGCATGAACTAACGATTCCTTTGTACTTGTTGAATGCTTGATTTCGAATTTCAATTACAGTACATTCGTTCGTGCCTATCTAGTACATCTTGATCCGACTGCGTTATTCCTGGGATTCTTAGTTTATACTATAATTCAAATACTCCTAATTATCACAAATTGCACTTCCAATAAATCACTCTCTTCCATTTTTGACATCTTTTATTTAATGATTTAGCTAATCAAATAGAGAGGAATAATTACAACCCTGTGTTTGGATTGAATTGAAATCTATCGAGAGTTTGACAACGCTTTAACCAGTAACACTTCCTAATATGAATCGTACCCACCAAGTGTCTAGCAACCGTCTAGATAAAAATGCCAAAGGTTGCCAGGAGTGGCTAACCCATTGTTGTAAGTCTCCTCTGATTGCTGAGTCGGATTCATCTACTGCGATACTAATGGGTGCTTCAGTGTTCTGAGGAGCGAGCATTGTTGCTTGAGCGATAAGTTCCCTAACTGTGGAGAATGCTTTTCGCACGGTGTCGTCCAAATTGACGGATTTCGCATTTCCACGAAGTTGGTCGGTAAGAGGTTTCATACGTAAAGCACATTTTGGTATGAATCGTCTATAGAAACTTACAAGGCCGTTAGACGTGTGTAACTGCTTGGTGGTGGTCGGTTCTGGATAATCTAAGGGGTCGAATGCCTTGCGCATCTATAGTGTGTCTTAGGAAGTGTGATGAGTCAGTTTCGATTCGGCATTTCTGAATGTTTACAGTGATGTCATGTTATTGTGGTCGGTCGAAAACAAGATCCAGATGCTTGAGATTCGATTCTCTGTTTGGACTGCTATTAGACAATCGTCAACATACGCATGTACGAAGTTGTGACCTCGGAAAACGTCGTTTATGAGGCTTTGGAATGTTTGTGCAGCATTTCTTAGACCGAAGGACATTCAAAAAAATTCATACAGTACAAAGGGAGTAATGATCGCAGTTTTCGGTATATCGTCTGTAGGCATAGGTATTTAGTTATACGCTTTAACCAAGTCGATTTTCGAAAAGACAGTTGTACCTTTCGAAGTAGCTGTCAAATCGTGAATGTGAAGCAACGGGTAACGATCGGGAATGGTTTTCGAGTTCAATCGCCGATAGTCACCAGTTGGACGCCAATCGTTGTTGTCCTTTTCAGGGACCGTTTGCAACGTAGATGCCCATGGACTGTTTGACGGTCTTATGATAAGTAAGTCTATCACGTGGTCGAATTCGTTTCTCACCAACCTTAGATTTTCGGGGGCTAGTCGTCGTGCTTTAGAGAATACAGGTGGCCTTGTAGTCGTGATGTGATGTGTAACGTTGCTGGTTACACACGGTAGTTTCGGTTGCGTTTGACGAATCCTAGGATACTTATTGATTAGTGGTTGATAAAGTGGGTCTATCGTATGATTAATTGTGACTGTGGTTAATCTACAACCAGGAAAAGAAGTTACGCGTATGGATAAATTGGTGTTTCCGTCTACTAGCCTCCGTTTGCGCGTGTCGATGATAAGATTATGGTGTTGCAGAAGGTCTATACAAATGATTGGCATAGAAACATCTGCAACAACAAAGATCCAGTGAGTGGGTTTGCGTAAACCCACGTTAAGGTAAACGTACCTTTTACTGTATGTGGTGATAGGCTTTCTGTTTGCCGCCTGCAGATTTAAAACTGATTCGTGAAGCCGGTCGTTCGAATTTACAGGAAGGGCACTAACTTCTGCGCCAGTGTCGACGAGGTAGCAAACTCTCGTTATCACATCTGTGACATATAACAGACGGCCATGTTCGCCGGCTACGGTTACCATTAACGCGTGCCGGCTTGGAAGTTTCCCGAATTGTTTTCGTGTCGGTCGATTTTGAGTTTGGAAAATTGCAGGGTTTTCTGCAATTTCTGGAAGACTTTCCATACTAGTTATGATACCAGCACCAGTCTGAGTTATCAGTCTCTCGTGGTCTAGAGGCAGATCGCTCGCGTGAAGTGCCTCTTCATGGGGTGTGTGACCGTTTACGGTCGTTACGAAATTTAAGATAACGTGTAAGTGTATGACATAACTCTGTTATGTCATTCTGGGTCGTTTGAGGCTTTTCTTTGGCTAAAAGGCCTCGGCATTAGATTTCATGATTTTTAAAAAACGGTCGACAGATGCGGCCAGCTCGTCTAAGGCGTTGTTATGAAACGAGACCAGCACAATTTGCACCTGTTGAGGAAGTTTGAACAAGAAAAGATGTTTAAATAGGCCATAATCGAAGGTTCTTTGGCCGATAACCTCTCACATTCGTTGCAACATGCCTGTTGCAGAACCGTGTTGTAGGTCGATGCTATTGAGGAGTTGGTCTAACCTTTGTCCATCGGTTAGGTCTCCACGTTTAAGGATAGATTGTTTCAGTGTTTCGTAGGGTTCAGAAACATCGCTAGTAAACATACTAAGTGTTACGTACCTGTTGAATTCGCGCGGTAGTGCCTTGACTACTGCGAGGAATCGTGCACGTAGTCGTTCACGTCGTGCTCGCAGAAGTCGACTTCTGCGTAGCAGAAACAGGTTTCAGTGTTGTCTGGCCAGAAGGGCATCAGTTGAAACAAAGGTGGGGACATAGTCTATAACTTAAGTACCTTGGATGTCTGATCGGCCATGGTGAAATATAAAGTACGCGAATAAACAAGTGAAAAAATATATATATCCAAAAACACTGAAAAATAGTATCACAACCTATGAAAAATTAAAATAAGGCAGTGATATTTAAAACCCCAAAAGGGAACAGACTCACAATTTGCAGTTTGGCGCACCAGATCACGTTAGGCTCATCAATGAAGATGCCACAGGTATTCGGAATTTGACAACGCTTTAACCAGTAACACCTATTATGAATCGTACCCACCGAGTGAAATCAAAAGACAGAAGCGAGGAGGTTCGAAGATATATTTGATAGGCTATCAATATATCGAAGATCGTCTCTTGTTGGGCACGGCGTTCCCACTCGTGATCTGGTGCGGATGCATGACCAAGCGCCTTCAGCTAGGTGAGTCAATTAAAACTAATGTGGTCAGAACCCAATGTCGAAAACTTACAGAGATATTTGTTTTGGGGATTTACTTACCGCTACACTTCGTTCCTAGAACACCTATACGCTCTAGAATTAGTTTGTGAAAGTACTGAATACATTTACTTAAAGCTCAAATATACTAAGAAAATACATCACATCAGTCTATATTGGGAATAGAGGCAAACACCAGTAGTTATGTTTTTGGTAGTAGTATAAATTAGTCTCCAAAACATGTACTCGAAATTGATGGGAACCTTGCTAAAATTAGTGGACACTACAAGTATCGTGATCAGATTACGGAGTGGTGAGATATTTCTCCATGTCTAGATATTCCTTTTAAAAGTTCTACATTTTCTTACCTCTATCTAACCTGACATCTGCCCTGCTTAGAGCACGAAAAAGATTTTGTGCACTGTATAGAGGGGGAATGATATTTTTTGAACATGTATAAAGCATGTATTTTACCAGTCTAATTTCAACGAATAACATGAATGCAATGTACATATCATCCAAGAGAAACTTAGAGGTAAAACACAAAACACCCTAAGAATCAGATTCACTTGTAATCTACATTTATTCCTGAGCCCAGAGCAGTACTGGAAGAAGGACTAAGAAATATTTATAATTCATGAGTTGTTGTCTTTTGAAATCAAGGACCTAGCCACCAAACTCAAATTTTCTAGGTCATGGTTATCACATCTTGTCGGTGATGTGTGGTGGTTGTTAAAAACGAAGCTCATTGAATGTATTATTTAGTATAGTCTTCTCGACGGTCCTACTAATGTTTAAGAAGTTCCTGGCAGTGGTAATTGACCACATTCTAGGAAGATATTTTGAGGGTTTCAATGGTGAAAATTTGTCATATGGTCTGCTTAATGGTAAAATGATTTATTTTCTCACTAGCCATTTTTCCAGGAAATATTACTTTAAGTAATTTGACTTTAAGGAAAGACACTTTGAACAGTCTGTTTGGTATCCCGCTAACGTTAAAGTCTGGTGAGTATCATGTGCTCTAATTTCTACATGAAATTTATTAATATGGATCTATGATTAATTCGGGCTTGCCATAGCGTTTAATTTATTCAAATTTTGCAAACTATGTATATCTCTAATATCATTGACCAGTCAGGTTACAGATTATTTATAAACGACTGTTAACCGTAAGCTGTTGATTGTCAAAAGGTTCCCAATAAATTTGACTCGAATAACTCTGCTAATTGCATCTAACAGAGATGACACTGATCGCAGTATTTTATACCGAATGCTTCAGGTCGTAACAATCGAGTATTCGGATTTTGCGGTTTTCCCCATAGTCAGATGAAAATTCGTAGTTTTCCGCAGTGTGGGTAAATATGTGGAAAGCCCTAAATTTCCTTAAACTTGAAAATTTTGGGAAAAACCTCAGACCAAGGGAAATTTTGAGTTTCATTTCTACAAAATTTTCCATTGCAGCTTCCCCGAAATTTGGGAATTAAGTTGTTAAGCAATCAGGGAGTAAATAATTGTCCATAGTCGTAAGCTAATGAGTTATTTAAAATTGTCAACGCACCTCATACTTGAATAAAAACAACCTACTTAAATAGTTTTGGACTGTTCTATTCTTCGCGGGCTAATAAATGTAGACAAAGGTGGAAACATCATTCTGTGCAGTTTTAAATTCAGACCAGCTACTGGATATTATGTAGTGGTTATTTTTAGAGGGCGTTAATTCTAAACTATTTATTCGCGGCGTCAGGAGTGTGGTTGGTTATCATCAGTTTTATTACTACAACTATAAAACTTGTAGGCCTTCAAACTTCCTATCATTTAACATTTTAAAATGGTATCACAACAACTTGACGCAAGTCAATAAAACAATATATTATTCGAAGTTTTCCCATCAAATTGCTATATTTGGACTTTAATTTCAACTTTGAGATTTACCTCATGAAGTTTTCATTTTTAATGTCATACACTTTTATCCAGTCGAATTTGATTCTGTTCTTGTTTAATGTTAGCTGATTAGGTTGCTATTTGACTGTAAGAGTCTAATAGGCAATTATTGAAGACTGGTTGGATCCCTCAATAGAATAGTTGTTTTAATATTGTAGTAACGTACTTAAGGTTCGAAATTTTCTTCTCTATGTTAAACAAACGTCTAGGTAATTAAAGCAAACCTTTCATGACAAACTTTATCTAATGACTATTTTAAAACAATTCGAGTGAGATGGTTTATTATGTTTGGATGTAAATGGATAATTATTTTTATGCTTATTAAAATTAATTCTGTTCCACTTAAATGCAGTCACAATTATTATCCGTTATACTTGTGTTAAATGGGATGTTCATCTTGAATATCTCTTTCAGGTTCTGTCGGTAATGTGTCGATATTCATTCCTTATACTCATCTTTGGAGTCAAGCTTGGCAACTGTCACTTGATAAGGTTGACTTAGTAGCATATGCTTCAGCTGAGGACCTGTGGGTTAATTTGAATCCAAATCATCCAGATGGTTCAGTCAAAATGTCTTCCATAAACGAAAATCAGTCAGAAAAGTGGGTGACTAAGACTACTCCAAAAGATCAGGGAAATAAATGCTTTGCTGAGTCTCCAGTTAATGGAAAATACAGCTTAGACCAAATGGAGAAGAGATGGTACCAGGTCTGTTACTTTAAATCAAATAGTTTTGTATAACTCTGCAAGCTCTTTTTTGAATTCACATCCATCGAGTTATGGAGATTAGTTAACACAACTGACCGTCATAAAAATATTTATCCTAGTGTACATATTTTGTCTTTTCAGAATTCAAGTTTCTGTCTTGGCTTTGCTTTACAATATTTTAGATGTTAAGTGTGCACTAAAATAAATAGAATGGGAAGCAGTTTAATGGTTGAAGTGACGGATTATCAAATATTTTGGAGTTCAGAACTTTATTGCATTTACTTCTGACAGTTGCTTAATATCATAGTTCCTAATTAGTGTGACACAAGCCTATACTTTGTTTCCAGTCCAAATTACTATGTGAAGAATTGTAAAGCAAAATGTTGGTCTACTTATTCGAGCGTTTTTTATTTAACTATTTAGACACCTGGAATCGCTGTCCTGTGCTGAAGACAGATGAAATGAGTATTCATCAACTTGAATTTAGGTTATAAACCTGATATAAAATGCAAAATAGTGGACTGCCATTAGACACTGTGAACAAACATAAATTTGTGTATTGAAATAGTGGAAATACATCACATAATAATCTTAAAGTGGAAAAGGATTCCGAGTTGCGGATAGTGTGAAATGTTACAGACATGTGGATTTGGAATGTTCAATCAGACTCGAGACCATTGTCACTATTACAATGACTCTGAAATTTTACCATTTCTTTTGTTTTACAGGCGTTTAAATTCTTCCAGTTTCACTTAATCCTGTTAAATTCAAACCTTTGTCCCGATGTTTGGTCGAAAATGATCACTTATTAAATCAATATTCTATGTTTATGTGCTCAACTAAAATCTACTAGCAAACTTCTATATTAATGTAATTAATTTTATCATTGACTGATACAATTCCCCTGTAATTGTAGACCATGTCCGGTGGTAAACTAAAAGACGCAGCAGCTATGGCCGCATTAGTTGCTATGGATTCTAGGTCAGACAACCCTTCTTGGTGGTCATACATAACTTCAGTTGGATATAGCATAATTCGTAGTCTTCAGGTAAGTTATACTTTCCTACGTAAGAAGTTTGTTTATTTAGTTGTAATCATTGTATTTGTTCCAGTGAGTTATCATTTTCATTCTTAACATTCCCTTAAGACCCCACATTCTATGATATTAATAAGCGTCATTATTAATTTACTTACCCACTGTACTGTTATAATTGGGTATCTTTAGGAGTTTTCTGGTCGAAGAAGCATTTAGTTCGATAATGTTTCCTTGTGAGTGCTTTTATCTATTTAAAAAAGGAGTTAGTCTCGTCCCTTTGAACATACTATCGATCAACACTAGTTTGTCTTCCTGGTGTAAATATCGTGATATTTATATATTAGTTGTCTTTTTTGTTGTATACCACTGTGTATTTTAATTTTTTTTATACTGTTGTTATAATCTCTATTCTTACGGTATGACCTAGCTATACCTATTGCTTAATATTCTTGGACACCAACCACTCGACAAGTCCCCAAATCAGAACACGGTTGAACAGGAAAGAGATTATATTCCAAATAACGAGGTTAGATGGAAGTAAGATGCACAATAGAGAAAACGTTAGTATATTTATAGTTTTTAAATGAGAAGATTCTAGAGTATTCTCCAACTATCGACTAGTGCTGATTAGATAAGAATTAGCTAATCATCGTGCACCAAAGCAATCGTGCACTGAGCATGCTTTAATCCAGTCTATGTCCCGCTAACAACTGTCTCTTCATTTTTCTCCTTTGTTTGATAGATTGAAATTCGTGAAGTTCGTATTTCTCTAATTGACCCAAATACTTTCGAAAATCGGGACGCATTAAGCAATTCATCTTGTGATTATCATCCAAATTTTGGGACATTTACTATCAGTTTACAGCGTTTAACACTGGAAACTACGGACTCGCTCTGGGTATGGTCTAATAAGCACTTTTATATTTATGCTTTCCTCTCATGGATTGTATTGTTGCTAAATTTATGAGAAATGGGAAGTTAATCAATTTTAACGCACTTGAAACTCCAGTTGTACAAAGGTTAAGTTAAACTTTTGAATAAAGCTTTCTGTAAATCCTGTACGTCATTTTGTTAGCCATAAAAACTTATTGAAAGCATATATCGGTATTGAACTTCGTTGTGATTCCCCATAAATTGTTGATTATGTCTACAAATGTTTGTGTATGAGTCTTCTGGAGCTCGTATGCTATAATAAATGGATTTTGTGATATTCCAGCGAGTAGAACATTGTATTTCTTACGTCTCGTGACTTAATGCAAGTCAACTTTTCAGAGTTTGGCTATCACAAAAAGATATATATTATTAATTGTCTGACCAATGCTCAATTTATTTTAAACTATCAAGTCCAACTTTGGCATCGGTACCTACAAACTCATTTCGTACTTCATGTATTACAGCCTTAAAAATATAAGAAGCAGAATAACGTGTTTTGTAATCGCCATTTGTTAACTAGATGAACTGGACTTGATGAAAGTCAAGTAAAGTTTTACTTTACTAATGTTGATCAGTGTGTAAGAAAACTAGCTGTTTAAAATTGTTGTTAGTGATTGCAATAGCGTAGGAATAACACGATTTATTTTTCGACCTCAAATCCTGTTATATTCACAAAAATTATCTTCATTCTTCTCGTGTTTTTTTAAATAATTAGCAACGTACTACTTCAACATCTCAAGAACCTGTTGAATACAAATTAATCAATGTTCACGGGCTCAGCACTACGTGGAGTCCAAAGTTATTTGCTCCAGGAAATTTGTCAGCTGTTAAAATTATGACTGAGGTCAGTATATAACATTGTTATAAAACAGTTACACAACTTCATAGTTTTAATTGCTAATTAAAAATTGTTTTAAAATGGGCCTTTCTCGATATCAATAACAAATCTATCCCCCAACAATGTTTAGTTATTTTGGATGCAATCAATATTGTTTATTCGAAGGACACTGTAAAAAAGCTTTTTATATAGTCATTCAGTTTCGATCGAAATTTACTTGTCTATCTTAAATTTTGTGTTTTGCTGATATGTGTGATTTTAATACAAACCAGTTACTTAAATACTCGAACACTTATTGTGTATTGCTTATGAATAATGACACACTAAGCTACTCCGGTTTATATAGTGCTTAAATTAGGCGATTGATTCTAGTTGAATGTAATGTAAGGCTTAGCATTGGCTATAATTTAGCCTTCTCTATATTATTCAATACATTACAACTCAGAGTGCTAGCTGTTCCATTTCGAATGGTTTAAGAGCAGTCATCTCATTCGTGTACTCTGTTGAGCCACTTAATAAGACATTATAAATCATTTTGATCTCGACCTAAATGTACCTTCATGCAGTTTACTGGCACAGTTTCAACCCTAATACTCAGGACTTCCAGCTACATTTTGGGTGTGATTGGTTGCGATACTACTGTCTAGTTGTTCAGACTGAGTTTGTTGTCAGGTGGATTTTTAACCAACATTCTAATCAATGACTGGAAACTAAAGGTTTCAGTCGCTAAGCTATCAACCAAATAGACGTTACCTGTTGCTACTAGATATGTATAAGATATAATTGGAATGGCCTATTTACTGATTGTTTCTACACAAAAAATGAAACAAAACCGAAGAGACTCACAACTTACGGTCATTACCATGCATAAAAACGAGATTCCAATTTTTTCAATCCAAACAAACGATACAGTATATTTATAACACAATGTGATGATTAACAAGTGAAGTCTAGGATGCACATGTCCTAGTTCGGACTTTTCACTTGGATTTATTTGCCTATCAGATCTTAACTGAACATCCTATCACTAACGGCTACCAGATGACTATGGCTATTAACTTTTTCCCATGTTAGCTACTGTTTGTTCAAGGGATCTATTTGTCAACAGTCAGAATAACAGAGGGAGAATATTAAACCCTTGTCGTTAATTTCAAATATCATTCTCATTGTTCTAATCGGCAGCTATCATGACCTATTGGATTACTAATTAATAGTTCATCGTTTGAAACAATTTGTGCTGGATTAGTGTCTGAATGTAATTATTATTGTCACTAAGATCCAAATGCATACACAGCTGATGAATCTTAAACAGTGTGATACATGCATTCTAGATTTCATAATTAGTCATCAACCATGATTAGTTATCAGCTTGTAGGTATTTGTTCTTTGGAGGTAATCAAATCCAATTGTGAATATCAAATTCTTACAATGAATTTTAACATATCTATTCATTATTATACAAATTTAACAAAATGCAATATCAATCTCCTTTTGTTTTTGACTGGTTTATATTTTTCTCTACTTTTATTCGTTTCTTATACAGTCATCTAACGAGTGTAATAGACTGTTGAAAGAGAATTTGTTATATATTTTACCTCCATGTCATTTAACTGGCCATTTAAAACGTAATCAAACAAATATTGGAATAATCGGGAGTAGTAGTGAATCAATAACACCGACACCTACTAGTAATCATCAATTGGAGTTAAATAACAAAGCACAAGTTGAATTAAATATTAATTTAAGTCAACTAAATATACAAATATCACAAGAATTTTGCTGTGATCTTTTACATTTATCAAAAATATTAATAAATCAGTATGAACGTTTAGAACAATTGAAACGTAGACCATCCAGTGTAGTAAAAAAGTGAGTAAATTGTTGAGATTTTTCTTTTTTCCCCTTCAATTCTAATAATAATTGATATTTAAGGATCAGAAGCTGATTATCATGACCTGGTGTCGTGTGATGACAGTGTATTTGAGCTGCTAAGTTCATATACTATGTGACTGATTACTGAATACATAAATCTGTATTTAGCATGAGTTGAATTAGCGAAACACGCCCAGAGTTCAGGTTTCATTGGGATCATTCAGTGTTCCCACAATGTTAGGTGATAAACAACCAGAAACCCTACATCTAGGTTTCGTGCTAGTTGAAACTTGTCAGAAAGACACATGGAACCTTAGGGGAACTGATGTTCGTCAGTGGATCCGGACTCGGGTCACTCAGTTTCGCAGTCTAAGACGTCACTACTTAGGTATCAGGGGCGTGAATGATCTGCAAGACATATTTGCAGTGGATAATCACAGAATAGTGGCCAATGTCATGTTTATATAGTCCGTAGTACCTATAAGATTCTAAGGATTAAGTTGCGTTGTAGCCAGCAGTCCAAGTGACTAAATATCGCTTACTATCTTTTTACAGAGTTTGGCCAGCACTGTGAACTTGACGAAAAATGACATTGACCACTAATATCTGACCAATCAATTTAATATTTCTCAAGAATGCAACTCACGAGTCTTACTGTGAGTATTTATCAAATTACAATATGTGAAGTGAATTTTGTTGTATTTTAACCTTAATAACATATTATGTTACCGTCTTTTAGGTAATTCCGTTTGGTCATTTTTCTATATATCGAATTTGATGGTAACATTGGTTAGGTGACCTTTAATCCTTGGATTTAGCAATGTCTTTCCGGTACTTATCTCATGGTCAGTTCCGAATATCCGATAGCTAAAAATATCTCAACGAGTATCTCGCTTTAAATATCACTATGTACGCTGTGATTTTTGTTTGTAGGATACAATATTTTGATGAAGTTAACAGAAATATTTGAATCATGCATTTTTCATAATCCACTATTTCAGTCTTTTTCTTTTATCTTCATTATTTGTTTACATCTAGCAGTCAATGGTGGCGTTATCTAGCTGGTGAAATTCGTCCAAGACTTCGTGTTCTATTTCATTCAACACTTAGTCATATTTCGTTATCCGATTTAGCATTAGAAGCGAAATTAAATGTTATTTATGTGAAAGCATACACAGCTTATTTAATTGAAGGTTTGTCATCTTCAACAACCAAATGTTTGATTACAACTGACCAAATCAATAGTATATGTAATGGTTTAGGTTATACATCTGAAATGCATTTAGAACGATTAAAACTAGATCAGTTATGGTCTATTCAACGAATTGCAACTCTTCGCTTAGTTGCTATGAGACGTGCTGCAGTTACATTACTTACGCTATTGGTAACTATCCATTCTGTAATTTTTTGATACTGATAAGAATACTATCTAGTTGTTTTTAGCCTAATTATATAAAAATTTTTGGTGTTAATTGTTTTTTTGTTCATAGTTTAAATAGCTTCAGCAATGCTTGTTTTTTCTTCAGTCATTCTAAAGGATTGCTTATCACTTCATATTTACCCCCCCCTCTTTCGTAATTTTATTTTTCTATTAAACACAAATGTTAATACAAAGGTCGCCAAGATAGATAGGCTACAAAAATCAGTGAAGTTTTATTTAGACCAGGATACTGTCCAGAAGCCCAAACCGAAGCAGGTGATTTTCTTTGGGGCCCATTCCCTGGGCTTTTGATTTAGAAGGAGCCTAATTCACAAGGGAATGGAAACGCTGTCTCATGGTAGCTAGTAACCAACAATCGGTTCATACGTCAAGTTTTCCGCGAGGACGCTGGAGCTCATGTGTACCATTGGCTTGGAATCAGGGTTTTTCAACTCCTCTAGATGGATGCTCCGTTCAAACTTACCCGGTTTAAGCATCGGACATTCGCGTTTGGTCCTTTTAATTTCATAAACAACACTCCTACGGCGAGAAGGCAGTGAGTAGGACTTCCCTGGTAGTGACCGTATACTCGTGGCGATGTGAGAGCGTTTTGAGAACAAGGGTGGATTCTTTCTACCTTTGGGCATAACTGCCTTTGCATTTTTTTCCATAGTTTACCCGTAGTTAGTGAATGCCTTGTTAGTGATCCCTAATCCATACTATCCAAACGATTTACGATTGGAGTTCATTCAGTTTGCTAATTTCAGGTAAGAAAAATAATGATCTAACGTTTAAATACTATCAATTACCTAACTCGGATAGATATTTCAACTAGTCTGAAAGCGATGGTTTATCCGTCATCGTTTAACAGAGGAAATTTATCTTTAAAGTTCCGGAGTGTTTGTATCTCGTGGTCACCTGCTAATAAGCTGTATATTACAAATCATTTGGCGGTGTAACTAAAAAAAAGTTTTTATATGGGGATTTTAAGTTACAGTCAAAGTATTTAATTAACTTACAACCATACTAAGTTCGCGATTCCAACTTACATCATTAATCCTCAAACAAAGTGTATAACCTAACAGAGTGAATAAGGCACGTAATTAACTATTGAAGTGCGTCAAAATAATTTAAATAATGTGCCAAAATCTTTACTTTGAATCAAAGTACCTTGCATTTTAAAAACCGTGCCCGAAGTGATTTGCTACATGCAACTTGTGAAATATCTACTATCGTTGGTATATACTAACTTTGGTAATCTAGGTATTTTATATAAGGTCCCAATGACTATCTCAGTTTTAATTTCAACCATTTTTTCAAAGTCATTTCATTAAGTATAAACTCCGGAAGATCTATTGGCTTTTGCCAACTCGCGTCACCTGTGATATAGGCAATATATCCGTCCTTCAATTAAATGACGAGTATACTGTGCAGCAGTTCGTCCTATTCTACTTTATGGCTATGAAACATATCTTTTGGAAATAGAGGATATTCATAGTTTGTTAGTATCATAGCATATATGGTTTCTGCGGACTGCTTGGATTTATTAGGATCACCGCGTAAGTTTTTCCTAAGATTGAATTCAGAGTAGTAAGTAAAGATGAAAAGTCGGTTGATGAGGTTGTGAATCTTTGTCAATTGAGGTGTTTGGGACATGTATTACATTTTTACCAAAAGATCCGTAACTGCTTAAATAATTATGTAAATATAAACATGGGAACTTATATATCTACTTGTTTGCATTGCGTAGAATAGCAGTTTAAGGCCTTAAAGCTCTCGACGTTCAACTTCGCTCATGTTTCAACCCTTCTAATCCTATTTGTGAAACTGAGTAACCTGTGGCCAACCCGTCACATTTGAAGTGTAAATCAAAGCTGAGTATATGTGATTAACTTATTTTCATCTCTTTTTCCAGTGATAATTTGTATTTCAAATTTATCTGTTCTAAAAAAGATTATTCTGAGTGTATTTTCCTTGTCATTTTGTTTTTGCTCTGCTTATTTTAAATTTCTTAGAAATCGGATAGTAAAAGTTCAACAATTATCATCGATCCAGGAATTCATCCCTCTACAGTCACTGGAAACTCATCAACAGCGAATCAATCATGGTATTATACTTGGTGGCGTTATTCTTCAGGGTGGGGAATTCAGTCACTATTATCATCATTGACATCTTCAACAACAGTTAATGAATTACAATCTAATGTAGATAATTTGAATCAGTCTATAACAGATCAACAAACACTTGATTCAGATTTAGATCATTCAATGAATGAAGCAATCTTTGAATTATTGGATGAATTTGCTGCGCATACAAATAATATCGACTATACTTGTATTACATATCCGATATTTGTACAGTTGGTATGTACTGTTGATGGATGTAGTTTACGATTAATTGATCATCTTGAAGAATCTGTTGAAACATACTCAGTAAGTTGTTATTATTATGGTTTTCATGTTACGGTTGTAAGAGCCCATTCATTCATTCAGTCATAGTCAACCTACAGTCTGGCACAGTTGTATATTAGCCTAAAGTGCCATATTACGTCAGCAGGATGAGATTACGGTGAATATTGTAGTATTCAAAATAATTTAGTAACAATGGTAATACGAAAGATTAGGCATTGAATGTATTATTCAAGAATTCTATAGGAAAATATATTTTTAAAAAACCTTGTAATTCAAGATCTGCGGAAAAATAAAGAAAAAGTTCATTTGTATCAGTGTGACCGATTTTAATCCATGTTTCCCGACGTCTTCAACCACTGATCGGGGTTTGAACATGGAATCCAATAGTCGGAATCCACTCAATCTCTGCAATAGACGTGTTATTATTCTTATAATTTATTCAACTCGTAGATAAATAGTGTTGTTTAAAGAAGGAACTGTTATGAAAATGAGCCTATAATTAACAAAATACACAGTTTATATCGATGAAATTCGTCACGTAACTATAACACATTGTATGCTAATGACGTAATACGTAGTTTAGAGTAATGTTCATACGCAAAGTTTTATTTAATTACTTTAAGGCGAATATAATTTTCAACTTTTGATTACAGTATCATCAACCCTCACATTTAAAGTGTTATTCACAACAAACTACACATTACCTTTACACTCAATTCATATATATTTCATGCCTAGTTTGTAAATAACTGTTTCATTTCCAAATATTTCTCTTTGAAAGCATCCAGCATTTATTAGTTTATCAGGAAAACAAGTGTATTTTGATTTGGAAGTTCGACCACAGTGTAATTCCTATCGATTATCAACTCATATTCAATCCTTTACTGTTCATGATGAACGGTATATGTTAAAAAATCGCAAACAGTCATCATCGTCATCATCATCATCACCCTCATCGCAATGCATCCCCATGTTTCCTGTTGTTGTATTTCCTCGTTATCAAACTAATTCCTTAACAACTGATAAACTGAGTAATGAAAGGCATGTTTTCTCTCTTATTTACGAAGTAAATCCATCACAAAAAAATGTTGATTATATGTAAGTGTTTTGATATTGTTTGATGGTCAAAATTATTGTAAATTATAGAATTGTATTTATTTGTTTTTAATCGCTTATTTGATGCTTGCATTAGCTTCGTGTATAGTCGGATGGGATCAGTGGTCTTCACTTTTGACTCAAAGTTGAGTATTTCGAAATTGAGTCACAGATATATCCCATAATTGTTTCATACATTCGTTATATTTCTTTATGAATTTTATTTCGTTATCACAAGTTGTCTCTTCCGGAATATCCGCGTTAAATTATTTGCTAGTTTCAAGGCTATACATTTCAGAGGAAATCTGTACTTTATTGGATAAATCACTGTACAATAGATTCGGGAGATTTCTATACTTACAATAAACCTAGTCAGATTGTTTAGGATAGATGAACTTGTTTTGATTGATGTTACCGTGATTAATCAGTTTGTGGTAGCCGATATTATGTTATCTATTCCTTAGGGGATTATGACCACTAGCCTAAGTGGCTGGTTGTTGCATGCACTATATTTTGACGTGAGTTAGTTAAATGTATTTGGCAGGAAACCATCTTCTTAGGTTTCATGCTGGTTAGCACCCGTCCATAAGGTGTAATTGCAATCTTGAGTGGACTGATGCACTCTGTTGGATTCGAACCTGGTTCACTCTTTTTGATAGTCTGAGCCTAGGTAATATACGCAACTAAGTGGCAGATTTATGTTTATAGCATATTTATACGTTCATCGCTCGATCAAATCGGAGTTAGATCAACGGGCCACAAAGATGCTATGTCTTAATTTGGCTACCCCTAACTTTCTTCCAGCCTATTCTTACATCAGTAAATATTAAGTTTAAAGATCAGCGGTGATTAGAGATAAGTATTACAAATTCACTTCAACTTAATCGATAAAGATTTACCATCTTATCGACCGATTCGCCACCTATGCCTAACCTCAGTATTGCTTACTTGATTGTTCAACTTATGGTCAAAAGTCTGTAGTCTACTCATGTTTTCCACTTTCAATGAACATGTTTCACAGTCATAAAATAATATAGAGTGGATTTCTGCAAGATGCTACTAATAGAAACCTCCATATCTGAATAAATTTTTTAACTGGAAAATATACATTCTCAAATAAGTGGACAACTGTACTACAACACACCATAGTTTAGAAAATATCATATGTGCCCAAAACAGGACATTTAAGATAAATGTTAGGATACAGTGCTGATAATCAAATTACAATTAATTGAGAATATTTGATAACAGTTTATAAATCAAATGGAAGTTTAGGCTTAATAAAGTGGAGAAGACTCATGAATTAACTGTTAGTAATCACAAATTAGACGTAACTCTGATAGTCTATCATTCTTCTTCAATCAGCCGGGCAGTATTATAGCCCTCACACAAAACGATGATAACTACTACTAACCTTATTGTTATTGTATGGCGCATGTATGTATTTGATGCCCCCTTTGTGAGGCAATGTTTATGTGTTCAAATAAATAATATATAAATTCATCTAATTACATTAATAAATCCATTTGTTATTATAAATGTCAACATTTAAAACTGTTCTTTCAAGGTTCTGTTTTATCAAAATATATAGAATATATTTCGTTTTTTTTCCTTTCAAAAATTATTTTCTATAGTCTTCAAATTCATACTGAACCTGTGAATTTAGTCTTTCAACCAGAATTAATTCATCACATCATGAACTTCATTTATGTGATTGCATCGGCTTCATCTTCACAATTAGAAAGTATGTGTTTATGAACTTGCTTGTTTCCTATCTACCAAATGATTGCTTTTACAATGTATATTACATTTTACACTTTATCATATTTGATAATTTATTTAAGTCTTTAGATTGTCTACGTTTTTCTGTCTTCAAATAATAACATGATGGTTGTGGTTTTCAATTTGTTTTGAATGGTTAACAGTATTTACAAACACATTTTTTTTATGGAAATATTAAATAAACATGGTACAAGAACGAAATAGTACTGCTGGCTATACAGAAGTGTGACGGGATTAAAGTGTTCATTTCAGACTCCCAAGATCTGCAGCGCTACTGCCTTCTCACAACAGTAGGATAAAATTAGAAAACCGCACTTTACTCTGCTGTACGGGTTTCCATTACCTCCAGTAAGCCCTTTAAAGGACTGAGTTAATACTTCCAAACTATTTACTAAAAGTAGTATGTGACCAGGCTTAAACAGCTACATTTTAAACCCTATTTTGACGCTCCAAAATCGTTTAGACCAACCCTAACCTAGTTTTCTGTTTAGTTACCTGAAGAAAAAGACTAACTGGTAGAAAAAACATATCAGACATTGTTGCCACTACTTTCAGTTTCGAAACATGTCACCCAACGTCTTCAATCGCCGATCTCAGTTATCTTGGAGACCTGAACTAGGTAGTCTGGATTTCCCAATATGGAACGAACCAGCATTCAACAACTTGATGGACCGATTCCAAGTCTTGATTTTATCACGTTGTATTGTAGATATTTTGCCTAAAATTATCTAAACGTAGTAATAAGTAAGCTTGAAACACTACATTGTATTCAACCTTTTTTGGTTTTACCGACAGATAATTGAGTGTGTGCATTTTTTCTTTAATTAACACAGCTTCAACTGGACACCGTTACACATTAATCAAGGAGAGTACAATAAAGAATTTACATTCATTTCTTAAATCTACTCCTGATAAGAATGTTGGAGCTAAAATTAATTCTTCCAAATCGCCTCGGTTTTTTCCTTCCAATGTGTCTACGCCTGTTAAATCACATAATCGTTGGGCTATAAATTTCGATATAGATGGACTAAAAGTGTTATTTCCAAATCGTTTTATGCATGATAACATGCTAAATCTAAATACAAATCTTTTTACTACTTCTAACTCAATAATCTGTTTACTATGTGATTTCGGTCATTTACAAGTGACTAATTGGCCAGAGATCCAAGTAACTAATAAAATTGACGATAGAGTATCAGTAAGTTAATGTTTTAGTGTTTGCTGTTTTGCTGTTCATTTAAAAATCATGTTTCACTGTTAGATTGATTTTGTAATACATATTTATGTTAACTACTGAAAGTTGGAAATTTCTGAAAGCCTATTTAATGGTATATTTTGAGATTCTGTGACAATAAGCTCATGTCATGTAGACCATTTTCATATTGAAATTACAACTCTCACTTTGCACCTTTATTAGTATTACTGTTATTTTAACATATAAACATTGGTACAAGGAGGTACCAAATATATATGCGCCACACTTCATCACTTGGTTTGTGTGAGGGCTGTGATACTACTGCCCAGGCACCCAAACTGAAGCTGGTGGTTTTCTTAGGAGTTCAATCCCCGAACATTAACATAGAGGTCTAATCCATAGAGCACTAGAACAACGTTAGGGTATGCAGTTCTATGGTAGAAGGTGACCAACAATAGGTTCATACTCCATTCGTTCTCTCAGGATCCTGGAGCTCATGTGCAGCATTGGTTTGAAATCAGGATTTTCCAACTCCCCTAGGTGTGTCCTCCGTACCCAACAACCCTGTTAAAGCACTGGATAGTCACTTTTCTTTCTCTCAATTCCGTAAATAACAACCTCGCCTCGAGAAGTCAGTGAGTAGGACTTATCTGACAGTGGCTTTATGCATGTGGCCATGTGAGAACATTTAGAGAGGAAGAACGGACTCCTCACGGACTATTGGTTTGCTCAGTGTTATAATATACATAAATGTGATGGGTTCGCTGCAAAACCTAAAGATCCTGGGTTTTTATCTTTGTTGGTGGTTATGAAGGCTCACTGTTGAGAAGTCCCGTACCATAAAAAAATAGCTGCTCATTTTCAGTGCTTATCTAACTAAACTTAGTCTACGATGCAAACTAAAAATTGGACATTCTCCACACTTATATTTCTGTCGGTTATTCTTTACGATATGCTACTTTTTATCGTAATGTATTCAGATGTATTTTAAGGTATTTTTATAGTATTTATTTTTCTCATAGTGAATTTTAAAATAAACACACTAAAAACTTTTGTATGTATGTATTCTTTTAAATTATAACTGTGATCTGTTTCATATGATCAGGTGAAAATGAGTTCATTGAACAATCGTAAACTTGAAATTGATAATCCCCAGTGTAAAAAACAGCCTAAGACACTGCAATCATTAGATGTTGATAACGACGATAACAATGGTGATGACGAAGATGATGATGAACTGTACAAAACTCCTTGTAGTACCCCTGCAGAATTATCCGAAATCGAGGAGGGAGATGTAGAGGAAAGTATGAAAGATGAAGTTGAGAAAGCATCTCAAAGGTAGATAAAAACACTATTTATATATACTCATTATAATTGTTTGTCTAAACTTGCATTGTTGTCAGATATATTTCTCCTCACAGATTAATGACCATTAAATCAATTTAAGTTAACCAATTCCCTAAATCAGTTGATGCGAAGAGATATACCTATGGGTTCCTATATCAATGATTAAGCAATTGTAAATTGTTTGTGTTTTACTGAGTGGGGTTAACGGTGTCTTGCACATGCCGAGGAAACTAAAGCAAAGGTTACTTTTTGAATATAGCATTTTGATTAGTGGCTTATTTGCTATGAATGACGTTGAAAATTCCATTCACTGTTTTTTTACTTAACTCTCAGCCTCAGATAGTGATAGATATATTGGTAGTAGTCGATCCGGTGAATCCTAAAACTGAAGTTGACAAATATGTTGTAACAGTGGGACAAAAATTCATTTTTTCTCGTTTATACTTTTTATTTGGTAAAGTTTTAACTCTGCATCTGCTTATGGTACACCCATCAAAACTGTCCATCCATTATTTTCTAGAAACTAAACTAAGGATTAACTATGTTATGTAGTGTCATGTATGCTAACACCTTGAAGAGTCATAAGCGAAATTATAATTTACCAAGTTTCACAATTGAGTTTTAATTGTTTTACATTATTAGACGACATTTGACCATACTAATTCTATTAGAGTGGATTACGTAGACATCATTGGGATGTTAGTTTATTCATAGAGTTAGCATTATAAATAGTTAGTATCGGGGATCCATATAGAACCTGAACTCCTTTAGCTGCGGATATTTATAACCTTATTATACTTTATCACTTTGGGTTTACTAATTTTAGTCTTAGGGTTCTCCGAGCAGCCTCCTTTGCGTAATAATACCTAAACGAATGATTATTTCAACCAATATAGTTCCATCGGGTCTTGTTAATAATCAAGCGTGACCATCATATCAAGGTAGTTTGTACAGTAGGGTTCATTACATACAAGACAAGTGAATATATTGCATTGTAAGCATGGATACAATGAAAACGCTTGAATAATTACTTCCAACTCTGATCTTTTTCTTTTCATAAATAGAAAACTTCAATCTAATTCAGGTTAATTAATATAAAATAATCAATATACTTAGTGAAGTACGTTGATACAAGACAAATAATGGATATTAAGTGTAAACTGAGTAGTATTAGTACTTAATCGATTAAATGACTATAATATTTTCTCCGTCTAGGTCATTCATCGTACGTTAATTCAATCAATTAATTGTAAACTGCACACAACTGAAATTATTGAAGCGTCAAAATTCTCATCTAATATCATTTGTAGTTAGTCTGTCATTTTCTGTTAGGTTACTCATAGTTTTTCATTGTCGGAACTGAAAATCTCTGTTGAACAATAAAGGATATGGCATTCTTTTTTATAAATTAATTCTTCTAAATTCTATGTTCGCTTGTAGCTTACAAGATCTCTACGAATAATGATTATCTTTATAATTCACATACTATTGCTATTTGCAGTACAGATTCCTTCTCAGATCTTTAATTTATTGTGTTCAGTTCAATTAATCTGGACTATTTTTACGATAAGATCTCAAGGAACAAGTGATTTTTTAAATCATAGCTCAATTGATTTCTTCACTACTGGTGGGATTTCCAGCAACCTTATTCAAGTTATTTGTTTATTTGTTTAAACATAAGCATTCATAAAAAGGGACACCAATATATATATATATATATATATATATATATATATATATATATATATATATATATATAGTTATTATTAAGTTTGTGTGTAGGTTGGACCACTTCCGAAACCGGATCAAGCGGTTTTCTCAGCTCCTCACTCCCGGATCTTTTGACCTAGAGAAGACCTAATTAACAAGGGAGCGGAAATGGGTTCTATAGTAGCCGTTGACTAGGAATAGATTTATACGCCATTTTTTCCATGAGGATACTAGAGCCCATATACACCATTGGTTTGGAATCAAGATTTTCTGACTCCTTCTAGAGGGAATCCTTTGTACCTGCCTTACATTAACGCAATATCATTAATCATAGTTATCTTAGAAGTCACATTATTAAATTTATAGGTCAGATAATAATATTGATATAATTTTAATTTCACTTTGATATGACGGGATGGAAAGAAGTCAAAATCCGATTGATTTACTAATTATGATTCTTACTCAACATTATTTCCGTTTCGATTCAATATGATGATCATCCAGTGTAGTAGTTGTTTTCTCGTATGATATTCTATATGACATACGATATGATTTCATCCTAATTACTAATCAAAAATGAGTGTCTGAATCAATATATAAATGAGTGTATTTCCGACTAAACTTGTCATGATTGTTCGTGTTTCTGGCTGCTTGTGAAATATATTTCCGTCTTACGAACTTGGACTTTTCACTCTAGTTAGCTGGGCTGGAACGTGTCGGAATAGCTAGCTTATCTGTCATTGTACCTCACAGAGTCTTCGTTTCATTCTGAGATTAGGTGAACTCGTAATTTCTTCATACATAGCAAAATTTGGCGACGAGGTTGGCGCAAACATGGATCCCTCAAAAGCAGCAGCTAAAACTTACCCAGATGTTAGCAGATACAAAACTTTCACTTAGCACACAACCAAGCACTTCTAATTCTGCTACTACTGCATCTTCAGTTAATGGTATCGCGAGAAGTATCTGTGAGTTTTGTTACGATCCTGAGTCTAATGTCACATTTGACATATGGTTTCGGCGTTATGAAGACTTATTCAAATTTGATTTTGCCAATCAAGATGACACTTGGAAGGTCCGCTTGCTGCTACGAAAGCTGGATCCAAGTGAACTACATAGATATTGTAACTTAATTCTGTCTCTAAACCCACGTGACCGCTCATTTTCAGACACCGTACAGTCATTGAGCCAACAGTTGGGAAAAAACTCCCCACTGTTCAACACGCGCTATTGTTGTTTGAAGCTGACTATGAACGAAGACGCCGATTTGCTGTCGCATGTGGTCATCGTCAACCGCAAATGCGGACGCTTCCGGTTGAAGTCGCTGACTAAAGACCAGTTCAAAGCCCTCATTCTCGTCTGCAGTCTCCAATCGCAAAAGTTCAGTGACATCAGAGCGCGGTTGCTGTGTCGATTGAACTCGGACCCTAAGTTGACTTTTGATGATATTGCAAGTGAATATCAATGTCCAATTAATCTGCAGCGCGACACTATGATGGTCCAGCGTGGTGGTTCCGATCGCGCTGAAGTACATGTAGTCCGACAACCGCCCAACTCGGCTAAATCCGCCCCGGCTATTCTCGAATTCAGTCCAACAGGCGAAGACGAGTCCCCTGCCCATGCTGGCACTGTGATTAATGGCATTATGTACGAGGTTGTCTTTATAAACAACATCGTTGCAGGAAGTGTAAAACCATGGGCCACAAATCTCTCCAGAAGTACTAAAATGCCTGACCCAAGATTATCTCGTAGAGAAGAAAAAAGTCAGGATATAAACTTCGAGTGTTCAAAAAAGGGTAGGTGATATGACGCTATGAAAAGTCAAAAATTGATTGATTTAATCATTATGATTCTTGCTTAACATTAATTACGTTTTACTTCAGTGTGATGATTTATTTTATTTTCCCGTATGACACTTTTTTTCCTGTTTCACTTAGACAAACTGAAACTGGTGTAAATGATAAAAACAAATCCAGTGAGAAATTATCATTAGACAATAACAATAATATCTATGTCTCGTATACGGTCAGTGTTACAAATATACGAGTATTGGTTGGTTGTTTGGACTTACTCAACAAATTAAATTTATGGAATTGTTGCAATCTTGAGGAAGAAAATTTAATAGAACCTAAATGTATGTTTTTGATCTTGTATTTTTGTTCTGAAAATTGTTTGACTACTGAGTAGTGACCATCGTTATGTTTGTCTAGTTCTTTTAGCTCTGATCGAATTCTATCCATTAAATTACAATATGACCACCAGTTTAAATGACTCGACATTTTGTACACTATATTTAAATGTTAGGCGGTTGGTCATGGTCTTAATAGCTTAGTAGTATATCTTTAACTGTGAAGGTGCGTAATTCGGGTTCGGATCCCACAGAGGGCATCAGCCCTCTCAAGACAGCAGGTACGTTTTCATGATGAGTGCCATTTCGCAGGAAACCCAGGTTCAGGGTTTTCTGCCTATCATCTCCAGCTGTCTCATTTCATTATATGCTGTCTGTAAAATTATATTCTTTATAGAGTGACATCAGTGTTTATTGAGTATGAAATATTTCATGGTGGTGGGATGATGACCAACCTTTCTGCCTTGTGTAATCTAAGTATTTGAGGGTGAAGTCAGGACACTAGTAATTAGTGTTTTTTAGTATGTTTTTCAACCCAGTAGGAGCCTGTTTGTATTGACTGAAGCACTGCTCTTTTTCGTCAACTGTTTACTTGTTGAAAAACGGGAGTATATACTTACATTTGTGCGTGATGATGTCTCTTACTGTTAGTTTGAGCCATATTGGTAGATACGCATCACCGGTTTAGAGTTCGTGCGGTAACCTCAATCAATGATTAGAAACATTGAGTGACTTGATTCAGAAATCGGTCACAGTGACATCGATGCATTCAATCTTTATCTTGATTCTCAACATTCATTTATACATACGTTTTTAATCATTTTGTAAAAGCCATATTCTCGATGTTGGATATTTCTTATTATCATTACTCCTGCATTTGTTTCGACTTTTGTGTCAGTAAATTTCGTGTCATCATGGTGATTCAGTACTAGAACTTGTGTTAATACTTTGTGACCGACTGACTAATTGAGGTCGGGTGATATAACCAATCTTCACACATAAAATTACACTCAAAATCGAATAAATAACATCCTAAGGTGGACAACCATCTACGTTTATTATTATTTTGACAATTACTTAGAAAGTGTCACTAATTCTCACATATTTTGATTTTATTATACGAAAAATATCGTATAACACCAATGATGTGTGTCACACCTAGTGGGTAACCGGACATTGACGTAATCAATTATACTAGTCTGCTGGAACCTAACAAAATGTAGGCAAAACTCCATTCATTCTTTGGGTAAGCGTTTAATAGGTAGATCAAAACAATTCTTTTGTGGAATAGACTTTTACTGTTTCCCTGTTGTACGATTCGTCAGCTTATGAAAGACAATTTACAATTAATCTTTGAAAATGTTAAGAAAAATAATTAATTATATAGGAGGCAGTTTTATATAGATTGTTAAATTTTATACTTTACATCACTCATCTTAGTCAAATAACCAATAATAGCCAGGAAGCACTTGATAACTGTTTCGTCCTGGCATTAGAATCTTCAACAGGACCCATCATAGGTTTGACCCATGACTTTCAGGTCTCGCGCTTCGCGCTTAACCTTCGGACTACCCTATTAGCATCGGTGATTTAACTTCGGTTGAATCGCGGTATTAAGTGACCATCGTCTAATGCAATTAATAGGTAACTCTCTCACACAATATGGTATGAGTAATACAGATTCTAGGATCCTGACTGAATTTGTGTGCACTCAAGTAAGTATTCAGTTCACAAAATAAAAAGCGGCTAGGTTTATTGAGTACAAAGAGATGCTTTAGACGAAATAAGGAACATCAAATACTTAAATCAACCACCACGGAAGTAATTAATAAAAGACGCAGTTGAAGTTTTACTATAATCAGCGATGATTTCTTTTCATCGGGAGATTTATCATATTGTTTCTTAAAAATTCACTGTATGATCCCCATTGGTTTGTTTTCTATTTCCTCATTAATTATATCTGATGATATTCATAGAAAATAACCTTGTCCGGGAAGTTGTGCCATACACAAACAGTCTTTCGTTTTTTTGGTGATATTTAATTGTTCATGGGAATAGCGTTTTTATGATTAAAATCTTACAATTTACTCCTGATTTATTGATCACTGAGAAGTAATTATATCCTTTCAGCGCATTTCACTGAAAGTTGAAAGTTTATTTCATCATTGTCTTATATTTTTCTAGCTGCTGAACGTACATTACCGTTTGGGAGTAATAATACATTCAGTTTCGATGATCAATCTGTTTTACGTGTAAGCAATTCTACAATGATTTCTCGATTATGTTTGATTAATCCATTCAGTTTACGTATATTGGTCAGTCGTCGAGTATATTGCATGAAAGATCTCACTTATACATCGAGTCCTAGATCATCATCATTAAATTATCCTCCGTATTTGTGGATAACAATAAAGCAAGAATCATGTGTCGTTCATTTGTCAAATACAAAAATATCGGATTTACTCTCCTGTATAAAAGCATCCCAATGTCAACTAAATCGAATTAAACCTATGAAATGGAAATATTCTTCAATGATGAAAAAATTCAGTCGTATTCGTAATCACAGTATATCATTTTCCGATTCAAATGTACACTCTAATTGTAATACATTTAAACAGAGATCACATCATACAAGCATATCTGTATCTCAGTGTTGTCATTGGAGGGATTGTTGCGGTGAGAAATCAGCTGATAATTTCTCGTCTCCGGCAATATTTAATTTTAAACGAAAAAAACTTATCGCAACTTATTCGATTCAATCATTCATTATTCAGTTTGAATCAAAAGGTTTGGTCATATTAATTATTATTATTATTAATGCACTTTTTCAGTGACTAGCCTTGAGATGAATCCTCACTCAATAGTGGTCGTACAGTATTTTGAATTAGCTGAAGTTATAAACATGAACCGTTGTATTTCGAAGCAGCAGTTTAGACGTAACTGGCTTATTACAATGTTTGAAGGCCTTGGGTATTTAGGCCTTGAAGGGTTCTAAGTGCGGTTTGCTGATGTGTTGTTTAACATTTCTTTATAATATTTACAAAATCTAGACCGTAGAAAGTGATATTGAATAACAACTGATCTACTTTTCATTTGTATGCGACTCCCCAGAAGTTCTCATTGGTTTCAGGGTTAAGCACTGTTAGGATAGTCGGAAAAATATACCAATAATTATCGTGTTAAGTCTATGGTGGCCTTGGACCTTAAATGTACATTTCTTATTGGTTGATGTTTATTTCACTTGTTAAATATTTTGTAAATGTTGTTTCCTATTTTATGGTACGATGTGGTTTGTTTGTTTAGTATATAAATAGAGTATGTCTGAAATACAATGATTCATATCTCAGAGGCTGTGACTTGTGTTCTGGACTCAACTGACTGGGCTAGACAGGGAAGCGAGACCAATAGAGACTCTAGGCCGTCCGTACGTATTTACGTGTCACTGTAATCGATCGATAAAACGCTGCTTATCAAAACCTGCAGTCCACACCCGTTACAACAAGCACTTTGTGGGAACTGAAGATCTTGGATTAGATCTTTATTGAGGTCATGGGTGCATATTTCTGAGAATTTCCATGCTAAATTGGGACTGTTATTCAGTACATCCATGTGTTCAATGACGCATGATGTAACCTACAAAATCTGGCAATCACCATAAACCCCGCTTACCAAACATAATTTGGAGTTTTTTTTAATACCTACACTAACAGTTTAGTCAAAAGATATTTCATTTTATACAATTCTTACTTACATCTAGATCGTCCTCTCGCAGAATGTCGTCTAGATGGAGCAGTTTGCAGTTTATCAGTCTATCATGGTTCACCTATTCCCTATCGTTTACAATTTAAGCTGAATAGAATTTCGATGGTGGATGCCGTAAGCAATTTAGGTGGTGTATACGATGTGATTGTGAATTCTGATGAAAAAATTGAAAGGTTTGAATATATTGCTTAATATTCTGCAGATAAAATGCCTATTTTATTATTTACTTTCTTAATTTAATTATTATAAACTATTTAACTTACATTCTTTATGATTGCATGAATGAGGGCTAATAATATTACTACCCAGCTATTCAAATCAACATAACCGAGAGCTGAGTGTAATTCACACTTTCGATAAATCCTTAACTTAACACAGATTATTCGGCTTTTGATTAATTATTGATACCGATAGAAGTATACTTTTTGGAACAGTGATTTGGAAATCAAATCATTTAGCTTCCAACAAATTTGTTCAAAATGTATTTCTCCCTTCAGTCTAGGCAACCAATTGAATGTCACAATTTTATACCAGTGAATAGTAGATCAAAGTTTGGAGTTCATCAACATATAGTTGGTTTCTGAAAATCACATCTTAACTTTATTTTCATCATAAATTTTTACCTAAATTAATCTTGATATTCAAACTTGATTCTTTACATTGTTCATTATTTTCTCTTTTTTTATTACAGTACTAATTCACCTGATCTAATTATTCGATTAAATAAACAAGCTAATAATGATAGTAATAATAGTTCATCTCATATTTGTAATGTTTTAAGCGTAAATTCTACATTATCAACAATTGGTTGTATTCCTTTATTGGATCATATCTGTCCTGAAAAAGTATTCAGTGGTAAGTTACTTTGTTTACTAATGAAATGGATTAATTGGTTCATTTCTAAATATACTATTGAGTTGTTATTAGTTTACTGAAAGAAAACAAGTGAAGAGAACCGTATCAACAGAAACCTACAATAGTATTGATGCATTTTAATAACTATTAACGAAATGGATAAATCATAAAACAAATATCTTCGTAACTGTGTAATGTTAGCTGACGTAAGAGTACGTCGAAAGAGACGTATTAATACATGAAAACTATTTAGTTCCATCTGATTATCGTAATCAATATTTGGATAATATAGCTGAAGATCAATCCTAATGGCATAAATGCATTAATTCTTTGTTTTTTGCTAAATGTTAGCTTTTAAATTATTCTATACCTTTCTTATTCTGCCTAGCCATTTCTTATTTCCGATTCATATTGTCTTTGTCTACGCTTTTCTACTACCATTAATAATGTTGTTCCCTCTACTACTCTGATATTTGTTTCAAAAAAACTGCATTTCGCTGTGTTGATTTGGTGTGACAATTTAAACCGATGCAGATTTCTGACAAGCTCTGCGTTGACACAACAACTAGTTCCTACCAATTTTGACACATTTCAACTAGAATCCTCAACAATACAATATGACTAAATAATTGGGTCATTATAAATTGATAGTTCTCATTAATGAATACAAATTGGACCAATTGCATTAGATTTATAGAGTAATATAACTTCTTTATTTTATCGCTCGTAACTATTTCTCAGTCTTATTCTGTACTCTCTATCGTTGTATCTTTGATGTTTGGGCGAGGAAAATAATGATTGTTCGTTACTTTAGTCAGACTAGTAGTTATTCTGATAGGTATTGGATGAATTATATATTTTCCTACCTTTATTATAACTAATTTTTATTGTCGGTTTTCGGAGTGGAAATATACTTACTTTCTAGTCAGACTCGTCACTTCTTGATCTGAGTTATGTTGTGTTATATCTTGAAAAAGCTGATTTTCTTGATACAACCGCGTATAACTGAGCACTGGAACACCAAACCCTTCCAAGTCGCAATAAGAAGACAGAAGACTAACGAAAGGAATATTATTCCAAACAGTGTCAAACATAGTACAAAATTATCAGGTATTTATAGTTTTTAGTGGGAACGAAATCATCATTACAATCTTCCAATCCGCGTACAGGGGTTATTAGCATTATCCAATGGGGAAGCTACACGTTGGAATTCTAGAACATTCTTCCGACAGGTGATTGGATGGAACGTCTTCGGCTCCTTATGAGCCTCTTACAGCTTCCTCGAGTTCACCGGTGGTCCGTCGTCACACCTCCCCCCTTTAAAGTCCGTTGTGTAAGATTTTTTTCTTGGATCCACCTGAAGCTTGGGTGTCGCATTCCTCTTGCGCTCCATTACTCTCGAGGGTTGTACAGCTTTCTCTCTGCGTCGTTTGTCTTTTCGATATTTGCGCTCATGATGGTTCTTCGGGGATGAATCTACGAGCAATTGAAATGGAAGCCGGTTTTCTGTGACCACTGTACTATCATTTCTTTGCATTTGATTTATATGTCTTATGCATTTCCCGACATCTTTCCGGACTAGGTACAACACATTTCCGATTCGACGTTCTATGACACCTGGTTCCCACTTCTTATTACCTTGGTACGATCTGACAAGTACCTTCTCACCCACCTGGAAGCTACGATTGACCTTACGATTTTCATTCGTGGGTTTATTTGTCTTCCTGGGCGGCAACATACTGTTAAAAACTGTCCGGATTTTTCTTCCGAACATACACTCGGCCGGAGACTTTCCTTCTGGTACTGCCGGATTAGGGGTAACTCTGTAAGACATCAAGAACTTATTAATCACTTGTTCCGGGACACCCTCACCTCCCCCTTTGACCAGAGCTCTTTTAATTGTATCCACGAATCTTTCTGCCTGGCCATTCGACTGAGGATGGTATGGAGGAGATTGTAGATGCAATATGCCATTCTCGTTGCAGAAGCGTTTGAAGGCGGATGACATGAACTGAGTACCATTGTCGGTCACTAAGATCTCTGGAACCCCAAAACAGGCAAACAATCCTGACAATCTTCTTATGGTACTCTCTGAAGTCGTATTCGGCATGTCATAAACTTCCGGCCATTTTGTGAAAGCATCTACAACAACTAAGTAATTCCTGCCTTGTATCGGTCCGGCGAAATCAGCATGTATTCTTTGCCAAGGCCCGTCCGGTTTAGGCCATGGTTGTGGCTCAGCTCTCGTTGGGTTCTTTGCAGCCTCTTGACAAGACCAACAGCTGCGACATTTTTGCTCTATCTCATGGTCCATTGACGGCCAGTAAGCATAGCTACGAGCTAGTGACTTCATTTTACTTATCCCTGGATGCCCGCTGTGGAACTGTTTAATGGCTTGGTGTCGAAGATTTCTGGGGATAACGATACGATGGCCAAACATTATACATGAATCGACAACTGTTAATGACTCTCGTCGACGAAAGTATTGTAAGAGTTCTCCGTGTAATCTAGATGAAGGCCATTTATTGAGTATGCAATGGCGAACAATCTTTAATACATTATCCTTCTTGCTGGCCTCTTTAATGGCTTCAAATGTGACCGGGAGTCCGGAAACTGCGTCTGACAATATTTTGTGAACCTCGGCCTCGACATCTATAGCAGCTACAAGCACCTCTTCTTCTTGTTTTTCATGCAGACCAATCAATCTTGAGAGTGCATCTGCCTGTCCGAAATCCGTTGTTGGTTGATACTTTATCTTAAAATCATAACCCAGCAGTGTGGTAGCCCATCTCTGTAGCCGGTTTGCTGTATATACCGGGATGCCTTTTTTAGATCCAAAAACTGTCAGTAAAGGTTTATGGTCTGTAAGTAAGGTGAACTGCCTACCAAACAACATCTTGTGGAACTTTTTTACAGCAAATATAATCGCGAGGGCTTCCTTCTCTATTTGACTGTAGTTTCTTTCAGTCATAGTCAGTGATCTCGCAGCGTGAGCGATTGCTTTCTCAGAACCGTCAGGGTAGGCATGTGAAATTACTGCTCCAATTCCGTAGTTCGACGCATCGGCTGCGACTATAATTGGAAGATCGGGATCATAGTGTGTAAGGAGAAGGTTCGATGACAGAAGCTGCTTCAGTTTTAGGAATGCTTCTTGACATTCAGTTGACCAGAACCATTTAGTATCCTTTTTCAATAAGCAATTAAGAGGAGCACGATGGCGATGCAGATCTGGCAGAAAAACTCCATAATGACTAACCATTCCCAGGAAAGAACGTAAAGTTGACACATCCGTGGGTGGAGGCATGGACTTAATGGCTTCGACATTTTCAGGATCAGGTTTTCTCCCGTTTTTATCAATTATGAATCCCAAATACCGGACTTGCTCCATGTAAAAATCACATTTTTCGGCACGCAGCCTGAATCCATAATCTGCTATGCGTCTGAGAACCGTATCCACCTTATTCTCTAAATCAGCATAGTCTGTACCCATGATCAATATATCATCGAGATAAGCCGCGGTACCAGGAATGTCTTGTAACATAGTGTCCATAACTTGTTGGAAGATTGAAGGGGCGGTCTTTACTCCAAAAGGAAGTCGGTTATATCGGAACAATCCCTTGTGAGTGTTTATTGTCAAGTAATGCTTACACTCATCCGCTACCGGAATCTGTAGATAAGCGTCTGATAGGTCTAATTTCGCAAAATACTTACCCCCATTCAGTTTCGCAAATAAATCCTCTGGTACCGGCAATGGGTATTGATGGGCTTCAAGCGCTTCATTTAATCCAGTTGAATAATCTGCACATAACCGGATACTTCCATTAGGCTTTTTAACAATCACTATTGGAGCTGCCCAATCAGAGAAGTTTACTGGTTCGATTATTCCACTTCTTTGCAGACGCTCTAATTCTTGTTCAACAATAGGTAGCGCTGCATAAGGTACCGGACGTTTTGGTCTGAAGACGGGGGTGACTCCCGGTTTAAGAATCAATAGTGCTTTAACCTTTTTGCATTCCCCCAACTCTTCCATAAACACTTGACTGTGTCTTTCCAATACAACACTCTTCAGATCCTTTTCCACCGGTTTACTGGTTCTCACTGCGCTGCATATGTGGTTAATGGGGTGATTTGCTAATTGAAGTGCTTCTATCAAGTCTAGACCTAGCAAATCTAGTCCTGGATTCTGTGTAAGATATAAAGTTGCATTCGTTTTCGCATTTCCTTTCGAGACTGTACAACAAACCTCTCCAACAATATTTAGTTTTCCTCCAGATGCGCTGTGAGCTAACTGGGTCGTTGGGAGCACCTGTGGTTTACCGATAAGATTCCAAGTTCTCCGACTAATAAGTGTGATGTCAGAAGCGGTGTCGAGTTGCAGGCGGGCACGCTTTTTATTTATATCCAAGTTACATACTTTCTTTGGCGGCAAATTCGTGCTCGATTATGTGATACCAATATTTTGTTAGTTCGAGCACTAAATCTGTATTTCTTCGAGTAGGGTTTCAAAGAATGTCGTTTATGGGTTCTTTTTCTGCAGCAGTTTTCTTTATGTCCCTTGCGATGACACTTGCTACAACAATGTTCTTTATATGGGCAGAACCTTTTATAATGCCAACCACCGCAAGACCAACATGGAGATGAAGGCTGATTATCTGTGTGCGATACCTTTCTTGAGCGAGAATCGTTCTTTCCGCTTACAGCACGAACGTATGGCAACTGGCCATTATTTTCGACCATCGAAGTGTCATGCTTTAGGTTTACCAATCTCTGGCACTCTGCGGTTACTTCTTGTAGTGTCATATTCGGACATTGTTCAATTTTACTCAAAATTCTAGTTCTAATATCGGCATCTTCGGGAGATTGGAGGCTGCACACAAATACGAGACACTTAAACTGGTCTTCTGTCATTGCTGATAGTTTGAAGCGCTCACATTCACGGTTTACTAGACCCGCATGCTTCACCCAGTCATCATCACCTGCTTTTGTCATCTTGAGACATTGATAACGAATATTAAACAAGGATGACTGTTCAGCAAAGATTTGCGACAAAATTTCAATCGTTGCATCAAAAGAAAAATCTCTTGGATTCTTTGGAAGGATAAAGTTACTGTAACGTTCATGTTCAACAGTTCCAAGTTTTCGCAAGAGTATTCTGACCTTAGCGGCGTCATCAAGTTTTTTGAGGTCGACCTTGAACAAATCTTCATATTTCTTGAACCAAGTTTCAAAAGTAATGCCAGCTGAACCATCAAAATTAAATTCATGGATAGAATTAACAATCTGGTCAACATGAGATTTGAAGGGATCATCTGTAACTTCTTTTTGATCCAGGTTCATTTTCTGAGTTAGCATCTCTAGCATGCGCATCTGGAACTTTTCTTGACGTTCCAATAAGGCTTCAAATTGTTCCAAGGTAAATGACATATTGATACAATAACCCGTCGCCAGATGTTATATCTTGAAAAAGCTGATTTTCTTGATACAACCGCGTATAACTGAGCACTGGAACACCAAACCCTTCCAAGTCGCAATAAGAAGACAGAAGACTAACGAAAGGAATATTATTCCAAACAGTGTCAAACATAGTACAAAATTATCAGGTATTTATAGTTTTTAGTGGGAACGAAATCATCATTACAATCTTCCAATCCGCGTACAGGGGTTATTAGCATTATCCAATGGGGAAGCTACACGTTGGAATTCTAGAACATTCTTCCGACAGGTGATTGGATGGAACGTCTTCGGCTCCTTATGAGCCTCTTACAGCTTCCTCGAGTTCACCGGTGGTCCATCGTCACATGTTGAAGTCCTGTAGAATAGACACTGGAAGGGTATCTAGTGTAGATATTCGTATAGGGTACATTGACATCTCATCTACGTAAGGGATAAAACCGAGCGTTATTTCAATGGCTACGGTGGTTGAAACGGACCTACGCCTATATATTCAGTTAAAATGGGTTTTACATCAATAAAATGGATGATCTAAAATTTTCATTACAATAGCAAAATGCTCTCATCGAATTGTTGGTCAATAATATGTCAGCGAGACCACCATTGAATACCTTGAAGCACTCGATGATTGTCTCGCCACTGCGGGTCTCCTAAGGAGTGCACACATGGGACTCGAGCCGAGGCTTTCTGTCTCGTGTGCGAACGCTTAATCTCTCGACCTTTGGATTGTATTCAATGGGTAATCTCTAACTTCAGTCGATCCATGATATCGCGTAACCTTTCCTCCATTGTCTGATGTAGATAACTGTCTCCACCCAAACAGGGATTGTTCTACATTGGTCGTAGAGTCTACGATGTATTAGTCTAACTAACGAAACGACCAGTCATTATTTACTTTGTTCACACATCACTACTCCTCAACATATCTGTGATCGAGTCTACTGGCCAATTTATTCTAACGTGTTCAGTGTTAGCTGTTTTTCAAAGTGATTACTTACATATATCAATTTGGATAATTTCGAATTCAGTACTTTTTATCGAAATGTTTTAAATCACTATTTTGTAACGCGATATAATTTGATTTCTTTGGTTATGAATTATAAGACATTTTCTTAGATAATTACGTTTTTTTTAAATGATGATTAATACTGTCTGTAGTTTAGTACTTTTTCACTTTATTTCATAATTTATATTGAATGTACTAATATTTTAGTCAAGGAATCTTATGATTTTGTTACGGGTACTCTATCATGGTTTCCATCGGCTGATTGTTTATCTCATATTGAAGTGATTCATTCAATTGGAACATATTTCATTCAACTAAATATACACTGTTTCAATATTATTGGTGAGTAACATTTTTTTATAATAACAATAATAATATTAATAATCATGATAATAAACATTTGAATACTTCATTGTTTGATGTAACTCATTGGGTATTCGTTTGAAGATACACTTTTGTTATATGAAAATCTAATCAATTGACTCAGTTTTACAAAATGAAGTAGATTGTCCATTAGATTGTCATTCTACTTTTGATAACCAGTCAGTAGCCTTGTCTAAGTGGTCGTGTTTATATCTTACAGAGAGTTAAGACATATGTTCTTTGAATGGATGACTTATTCAAGTCTAACTAATTCTTTAGTTGATATATATTTTTACTGGAAGTTCAGGAATTGTACATTAATTTACAAATTGTAGTGAAATAAAACGGTTCATTGTATCCAAATCTTTCAAAAGTTCGTCAATTAGTTTCAGTTTGTAAAAATTCTATGCAAATTTAATAAAATTACTTAAACTGATCGGGTAACCTTGTAGGTAAAATGTATTATAGTATAGAAACTGGCCTGAGAGATTCTTATAATGATCATATGATTTTGAATTCAATGCTTAGCTACTTATTAAAGAATCTATATCAGTCAAAAGTATTTTGTACTAGAAGTAATGTTAACATGTTAGAATTCAGTGGGTTTTTAAAAAGTTTGTCAGTTTTTCAAGGTATATTATAAGTTCTTTAATCTTAATATTTCATTAAAGTTGTTACATAACCTTATTAACCTGAATGCAAATTTATTCACGACCAAGTTTTATTTCGGAACTCGTTTCTTAGTTATAAATGATTCGTTTACAAAAATTCATCACTACTGATAAAAGTTTTACTCCGAAATTCACTGAAAAGTTATATAATCATAAGTAAACCATCGTTATCGTTATCTAGATAGAAAGGAGTTACGTAGATATCATTATCATATCATTCTTCAGTGTTACATCCTTGATCCGTCTGTTCATTAGTATGCAGATGAGAATTTGTCTGGAACTAGTTTATAGCCATGAAATGATAAGTTATTGAATCCAACCTGGAAGTCAACAGTGAATATATCGGATTTGTGACTAGACGACCCTGAGGCCAGATGAGGATTATTCTATCACCTGATAAGTTGGTAAGCAAAAAAGAATGAAAAAGTGTGGACGAGTTTGCTGTAACGCTGCTTGATTTATTCCTGATTCAGACAACACACGAATAACTAGATAATTAACATGACTACAATACAAAAGGTATTAGTAAAATACAATTATATCCAAATTAAGCATTAGGGTAGAAAAAATGAATTACAAAAGGTGACGTTCAAATTTCAATAATTTAGGAATAGTAAAGAGTATGAATAGGCAATCATACATCAATTGAAAGTTCATGATTTATAGACTCAACCACGGACAAAAGTAAATGTTAATATTTTACAAGTTTTAAATGAAATGAAATAATGTTCTCAAGATTATCTCCTATTGTTCATTCTTGCTTTTTTTTTAAAATTTCTCTCTTTGCCTTAATTAGTTCACCGATTAGTTCAGTGTTCATTGTGTTTTATCGGATTCATTATAAACAGAGTAAACATCAACCAAAAAAAAAGATTAATTCACATGTTATGTAAATAAATATTGTTCTCAATTAGTTTTTCTCTATATTATGCTTTCCATTGGTCAATTAAATAAACTACATAACTTGATCTGTGTACACGGAAACATACTTCTTTTAATCTTGTTTTTTTTCCTGTTGTAAAGTTGACTTTGACTTTGTTTTTGTCATCCTCCATTTGTGTGTGTGTGTGTTTTCTGATTTTCTTTGTTAGGTAATCCAATTACTGTAAAATCTATCCATGAATTTCTAAACAATCTCTACTGTTCTACAATGTCTGATCAGTCGGCATCATCCATGGAATGTTGTACTATTGATTCTGAACCGAATAGTTATCGGAGATCATCTTTGATGAATAAATGGAATAATAATAATAATATCTCTTCATCTATCAAATACGAGTTTAAGTTATCAGTTGATAATATAAAATTATTATTAATCAATCAATTCGACGTTAAACATCAAGAACAAAATGTGAATGTGTCAGTGAAGAGAATTGCCGAAATAATATTCTCCGGTTTACAAATAAACTTTTATCATTCAAGTCAGTTGATTTTATTATTCAAGTTTTAATTTTTGTAATGAATATCAGTCGGTCAGTCATAAGCGGTTTAGAATCTGTCATATTTATGGATCAATGTACTTCATCTTACCACATCAATGGTTACTTACTTACTTACGCCTGTTACTTCTCTTGAAGGAGCATAGACCTCCCACCAGTATTCTCCATCCAACTGTCCTGGGCAATCCTTTCCAGTTGTTTTCAGTTGCTCTTAATCCTTTTCATGTCTGCTTCCAATCCTCAGCGCAGTGTATTCTTTGGCTTTCCTCTTTCCATTACAACTTCAGGATTCCAAGTTAGCGCTTGCCTCGAGTTGCAGTTTAGTGATTTCCTCAATGTATATCCTATCCACCTCCATCATCTTTTCCTAATTTCCTCTTTATCTGGTAGCCGGTTTGTTCTCTCCCACAGTAGATTGTTGCTGATGGTATCCGGTCAACAAACACTGAGTATCTTATGTAGACAATTGTTTATATATACTTTAACATTTTTGATGACGGTTGTGGTAGTTCTCCAAGTTTCATCTCTGTACAGTAGAACTGTCTTGACAATCGTATTGAAGATTGTGAATTTGATATTGGTTGAGGGTTGTTATGAGTTCCATATAGTTTTCAACTGTAGGAATGCTGCCCTTGATTTACCAATTCTTGCCCTTACGTCTGCATTGGATCTTCCTTGTTCATCGATGACACTACCCACGTACTTGAAGGTTACTACATATCCAGAGCTCCTCCATCAAGTGTGATTGGGTTGGTGTTCTTCTTGTTGTATTTGAGGGTCTTGTTTTTTCCCCTGTGTTTAGTGAGGCTTACTAGTACAGAAGCTGCTGTGCCACATTAGTCTTCATCTGCATTTGTTAGTGTGTTATCTGCGAAGACCAAATCATCTAGTTACATCCAAGTTTTCCATTGTATTCCATGCTACCCCTCAAATGTGGAGGTCTTCATAATCCAGTCAACCACCAGCGAGGCGAAATTATGAGGACAAGTACTAGGGCAGTAGAAGTGGCGATTGTATCGGTGGTAAAAGATTTGATTAAGTATAGACGATATAATTCTAAAAGAAAACATTGACTTTCGGAGTGAAAAAGTATGCAATAATTTTGAAACTTAAGATAAGACTAAGAGTGGAAGCATATGAGCCGTCTCACCCAACTTCGCCAAGCACTAGTTACGATACTTGCACATACCTCAGGTCAGTAGTCCTCGTTCACCTGCAAAGCGCAACCTAACAGTCAATGTTTTCACAAACTGATATAAAATCTTGGTTTAACTATCTCCAACTATCTGTAAACCTACTTCTGCACCACTCAACAAAAAACCGTTCATTTAATCAGTGGTTGACCGTACGTGATATATTTCCTAACCATCTCAGTCGATCGGGATTCATAATTTTATTGATAGATTTGTGTGTTTAATACTTTAATTTATTCATGGCGTCACTTTACCTTTTTCTTTGGTTTCTATTCTCTGAGTATTAAGTTAAATATTTTCTACCAATATTATAATTAATTGTTGAAATATTTAATTTTAATTCAGTTAGTGATAAAGACAAACATGTTTTTGCTCAAGTTGCCACATCTTACATGAGCGTGAAAAAAAGAAATGATTTAAAATAAAAAGCAAAGAAGGCTCATTCATAATAAAGTCAATGATAGATCAAGGTTTTTTATGGAGATTGTTGAATCTGTAGTTTGCAGATTGACTATAATTAAACAATTATTGAATATCAGGAAACACTACGTTCTGAAACCCCTTAAATGTGTGCATTAAAGATCTCACTCATGGATAAAACTCAGGACCTTCCAGCCTAGTAGTAAGCACTTAACCTGGTTTGGACTTTTAACTTCGGTCAATTTATTATTTTGGGTTATCATTGTCCAATACTACTAATGAGTAACCGTCTTGCTCCCGATATGTTTGAACTTCACTACTCACCGCTTCACACTAAAACTTCGATCGACCCTGGAAGTTATTCACTAACAAGAACGTGATTTTGTTAGTATGGGAGGTTCATGTCATTACAACTCACTGGTTTGAAGGGTCATCAGTGAACGCGATTCTTGAATGTCTTTGGTCGGATCCCTGGTGGGACAGTTTTTGTACACTGTTGAGATACCCCATGGTAGGACGACCTAGCTGTGAAGTGTTTTTCAGTTTTTATTTGTTTTCTGATTACAATTATCGCATGATGTAAAATGCAAATATCACTGATAGTCGTAGAGCAAACATATTAATACAGTTCATAAGGAATGATGATTCACTTCTAAATGAGATCAAACACTTCTGTCTTCAGTCTCGTGATTAATGCACAAAAGTGAATACATTACCCGTATATGCGAACTAACTTGTTGAAAATACAGACGGTTGAATTCCAATTTAATCGTTTAGAAGATAACCTGCTAGATGAGAAGCCTAAAAATTATGGCTTCTCCTCAATATGGAGTTCCAGAACAAAACCAAATACCTGTTCATTATTCCTTGGTTTTCCATGGTTATATGAAGCTGTAGTCAGTCCGTGGTTTAACCAGTCCTCATTTTCTCATTGTATATTTATGCATCTGTGTTTAATGCTTTGCTAACTTCGTTGTGTATTTTTTCATCAAACGGTACATATTTTCTTTAATTTAGGTTTATCAAATTCAGTATTATTGAAACTTCAATGTTTTCAAATTATACCATATCGTAATTCAAAATTATCAGCTGATCAATATTTGTTAGGACCTGCTCTTTCATTATCCACCTCAGATCATCACCATTCTAATCAGGTCATATTGGAATATGACTATGGATTGATTGGATCATCCAATTATTTTCCACATAAAACTAATAAACATCTCCAAATTAGTTTATCCAATATTGTATATATACATCTCATTCATGAATTACATGAGATATTATTTTGGTTTAAACAAATTCTTCCATTATTATGTAATCAGTCTTCTGTCACTAATAATGATCAATTATCTATAGACAAAATATATTTATTATTCAATTGGCCTGAATTGTCAATCACTTTCAGTAACCCACTGATTTTAATTCCTTGTAAATCAAATCAATTTAATCAATTTTTATTAATTGGAACTAAACTTATTAAAATTAATCATTATTCCTCATACTGTGATGCATCATTGTCGAATTCCTCTATTACTATGAAACAACATGAAAGAGTGAACAATTCATATTCTATCCAGTTATATTTTATAGATTTCGGTGTATTTCTTTACACTAATAGTGATAACGCGAAGACATTATCTAAACAATATTTGTCATCGTCATCAACTATCTATTCAGATTCGTGGGTGAATTTTTCATCTTTACATAAATTTTGGCTTAACTCTTGTAAATTGGATGACAGTATGTTAACAGCAACTACACAGAAATCACGGTATCACATCATTATGTCACCAATAAACTTTTCTGCACATGTAAGTCGATGGGGGGGCACCTCGGCTTTTGTTGATTTTGACATAAATGTATGACAGATGGAAATGAAGTCATATTGTACAACCATTTTTTTCATCACATCATTAGTTCTCAAGTGTGCACAAGTGAGAGTATCGAAACCTCTGAAACTACATAGTATATTTATTAATTAAATATTAGAAATGTAGTAGCAATGAACAAGTATTTCCTATCTATATGAGTGTAGTCAATAATATGTAGCCGTAACTCCTACAAAAAGTATAGTCCAGGGATTGGGCATACAATATCACGAATTGATTAAAGTTAGAAATGTAAACCATTGGTCTTAAATTTGACTGTTCGCTAGGTGGCCTAATCGTAAATATAGTGGTCATTAGCAAGGTCGTAGGTGTGATATGTTAGGACGAAACAGCTATTTAATGCTTCCTGGTTCCCAATGATTTTTTTAGCTAAGGTAACTTCGTTTGCGACTAATTAAAATGACAGTTATAATTCCATTCTAGATGTTCATTTTGATAAGTAGTTGTTCTACATCGTTCGAACAGTTATTTTGTTAAGATGCAGGTATCAGTTTTGTTAGGTAACTATTAATTCCTTATTATCATCATTTACTGTGATAACTTTGTCAAGTTAGAAGGATAGAAATGTATCCTAGACATGGTTGCATTATTCCTAAAGAAATGTAGAAGGCTCGCCCATTTAATAAGCATAATGTTTTATCAACGATGAGATGAGAGTGTACTGCATCGTCTCAAATATACATAAATGACAAATACTTGGTGCTGCTAACTGTCAACGTCGCTGTTTATTATTTGTTCCAACATTCTTCCACAATTAGCTAGTAACTGTTACCTTTTTAGTAAGAAATTATCCTGTTTATGTTCAACCTGCTATGAAAAGCCAAGCATGTTCAGAATGTGTTTCTCTCCTTGGTTCAAAATATTACCTCAGGACTAACCTATATTTTCTCCTAGATTGATCACAGGTATTGATGTGGGTAAATGCATCTACCTTTTCACTTCTTTCAAAAGTCTTATCATCTAAAGTGGGCTGATGTCTAACTAAATCCCTACACGTATTCAGAAATATCGGTTGGCGGATTTTCAACTCGTTGCATTTGTGGTGTGCGCCAGTTATTCATCTGCAAACGATACGTCAAGCATAATGCGCAACAGTTTTCTCCGTATTTCTGTATTTCTATGATAAGACCCTTTATAAATCAAGAGTATTCATAGGTTACCAGTACACGACTATAGTAGCCTTGTGGCAGTTCATGAAATCATCGACTGTTGATCTTAGTCATCCTGATAGATGCAGACTAACTGGTTTGGATCCGGGCAATAACTGCGATCAGTAGTTGAAAAGGAATGACATAGATGAGGGAATGACTGTGATATGTATCCATTCTGTGTTTCACTTTTTCATTTCTTCTTCTTGAACATGGATTTTTAGTGTTGCAAACTATCATTGATAGTTGATGATGGCTTTTGCTAGTACACATTTTTCTCTGCGTCCATATTGATTATGACTGACTTGTTGTTATTCCATTGTGTATGACGTCAGATATTTAGAATTTTTTTGATATAAAATAATTTATCTGAAAATGTTATTGGTACTTCTTCTATTGTCTTTTTATAAACAGATAACCTATGTGAAATCAAATTTTCCAAAATGTTTTTCCACATTCAATTCACGGTTTCAATCAATTCGTTTCAATTTTTCTGATTTCGTCATGATGCATTCTATGACATTGAATCATACCACTAACGATAATAATATTACTGAAGATTATTCTACTATAAGAAATTCACCGTCTCCATATCGATTATCACCCATGTCTCCTGCTTCTAATATGAATTTACTGTTATTTACTGAACCAATTAATGCTCAATTAATTATAGAGTTTTACATTCAAACTGTATATATTAATTTGACTAAAATGAATTGTAACTTGCTAACTAACGTAATTCAAGAATTAAATAAAGAGTATTGTGATTATTGCTGTAACAATTGTAGTTATTCGAATAATAAATCTTCACAGTCTAATCAAACAGAATTATTTCAGGTAAGTTAAGAAAAACCTCAATATACTTAGATTAAAATGTATTATGTTTACGGTTCTCTTGTTTATGTAACCTGTTTGTTTAACAAAGCAATATAATGATGTCGAAGATGGTTGAGATTATTTTGAAGTAACAATAAAATTTAAATTCTGGTATAAATCCCACTGCGATTGGTCACTTATGCTTTAAAAACACAACCAAATAGGGACCGAATATGCGATAAAATTACCTTTTGTGGAAACTTATAAACATTCTTATCAATACAGTCCACTTTATCTTAGTGATTTATATGTAGAAGTGTTGGAGTGCTTTTGGGGTTTAACTCCTAAGGCTTTGTGTCTTCAAATATCAATACTATTAAGGTTCTTGAAGTGATTACACAACAACTCATCCAAATACAATCCACACTACGAGTATACAAGCTGCCTTAAATTGATATGGGTCTTGAACCTGTAATTCAGTAATATCTATTCAAATAATTTAACCACTGGACCACTATAATCCTATATTTCAAAGACTGATACTTTGTCGATTAACTTATTCACCAAGTACAGATTCGTCTACTTGACTTCAGGTTAAACTATATGACTAAAATTTTTTCCACCTTTGATATAGATTACCAAGTGTACATATAAATGGAGTAAAGTAGTTGTAGGCAGTGTATAGAAATTTATAGACCTAATGTTACTGTTAATCTGGTAGGAACAAACGTTCCTTGCTAAATTTGAACCCTGATCTCCTAGTTTAAAATATAATCACCTGATTATTGGTGTTACATATCAATCGAAAACAATCATCATTGCTTTTCAAAAGATCTGTTCACTGATTTTCTTTGCTTAAATATTAATTTGTTTTTCTGACTATTTTCAATTGGTATGACTTGCGATTTTAATGTCTAAAGTTTTTTTTTTACAGTTATGTGAATGATTGCATCACTAATTAACTTCATATTGTTTATTGAGAAATGCTTAAAATAACCTGCTTAGGTTTAAGCACCCGGAGAGTATTCCAGCCCTCACACAAATCGAATGATGAACTTTGGCGCATATACATTTTCTACTTCCTTGTACCAATGTTTATATGTTTAAATAAAAAAAACAGATAAACAAAATAACGGACAACCAATCAGAAATAAAGAAGCCATTTCATATCATTACAGAAGGTCGATTACGAAACTTAAATAATGAGTTGAACTTATAAAGAAACAAAACACGATTACGTAATTAAAATCGGTATTAAGAATTTACGATTAGAAGTTTAAGTTAGAATTGAGTTTGATCGGTTAGTCTATGTATAAATTAATATCATTCACTTTTATTAAGTGTTTTCTAAGTGACTTAACATATGAGATAATGAGTCAATTGAAGATAGACCACCGTGAAAAACCTGGAAGCACTGGACGGCTGTTTCGTCCTACTGTAGGACTCCTCTGCAGTGCGCAATTAGGATCCTGCCCCGTGAGATTCGAACCCAGGACCTATCAATAGGACGAAACGGTCGTTCAGTGCTTCCAGGTTTTTTTCATGGTGGCTTAACTTCAATTGACTGATGATCTCATTTATTAAAATTACTTATAATATCCACAAAACCTCTTCTGACTGACTATAATCAAGAATTTCTTTATCATTGTACTATTTGTTTGTTTGTTTGTTTTCTTCTGTTTATTTTTCAAAGCTTCCTTATCCTGATCCAAATATTATTATTTCTTCTATGAAATCAAAAACATCTATGGAATTTGGATTATTTATAAATTGTATGAAAATGAATATATTAATATTTGGTGATTTAGATATTATCCCTATACCATTAGTATTATTAACATTAGATGATATATATATTTCATCTAGTTTTCATTTATTATTAAATGGTATTAAAATGCCATCATGTATACAAATTAATTTAAATAATCTCCATTTAATAAATCAACTTGAAAAGAAATTCAATTATAAACCACAACAACAACAAAATAGAACCAGTTCAAAATTCAATACTCATTATTTAAAACAAACCAATTCAAAAAGTATTTTATTAAAATTCAATAATAAAATTGAATTAAAACTAAATAATGATTGTTTAAATACGGTAGTACAATGTAGAAGGCATCATTTATTATATGCTGCTACTGCTAATGGTGTTGCTGCTCCTGATGATGATAGTGTTTGTGAATTAAATCAAGTAAGTTGAATTAAGTTTATTTATTGATACTAACTGATATTGATAATTACCGTGTGCTTCCTTCGTGACTAGCTTCGTGAGGGAATTCTTGGACGTGACTAGTGGAGCTAATCTGTGTCGGGTAGAGATAGGTATCTATCTCAGTACAATGGAAGATGGTCGCGCGATTCCGTGGATTTGTTGAGATTAGACATTAACATCGTTGGATGCCGGCTCAATGGTCTAGAGGTTAAGCGTTCGTGCGCGAGAGTGAAGGCCCGGGGTTGGAATCCCGAGAACGGGATCGTAGATGCGCACTGGTGAGAAGTCCCATAATAGGACGAAACGTCCGTCCAGTGTTTCCAGGTTTTCAATGGTTGTCTAATATCAATCGATTCATGATCTCAATTAAAAAAATATTAACTTTAATTCATTTTCGTATTGATTGTTTGAACTGACCCATTGATGTTTAGAACTGCAATTGATCAGTCTCTTATTGGTATATGTGTATCCTGTGTGGATTGCCTCCACATTACCTTAAGTTACAAGCATTCTAAAAAGAGATAGATGGTGGCTAGCAACTCCGGGATGAAGGTATATCCAACTGAAGAGTTCCAAAACAGGACGGAACGTGCATCCTGGATTTCACTGCTTGTCACTATCCATCTCTGATATTAACTTGGTTTTAGTTCAATGTTTCAATGTATGTTTCTTTTAATGCATCAAATTATACATGTTTACATTTGATTCTTATTTTATGACAGTTTTATATGTGTTGTTAGTTGAAGTGAGTTTATGCTGTTCAACTGTGAGAGTAGAAGATTAGAAGAAACAACTTTTATCTATGAAGTCTTCGAATGCGAAGTGTGAAAAGGTTGATCACAATTTGTTTAAGGATTGCCTAACTGATTTATCTGATTGTCCAATAGGTAATAATTCAAATCATTATCAAATGGTTGTGTATCAATCGACTATCAACTATTAGATCACACGTTCGAACTACACCAAATTTTCTCGACTTAGATCACTTGTGATATTATATTTTACCATTTACACAGAAATGTACGCTTCTCAAATTAGTGTACTTAAACCTGTTAATGAGTCATATGGATCAACGTAATTATAAGAAAACAAAGTGAGATTAGATTCTATATCCGAATTGGCTAGATTATTTCATACTTTTATATTTTCTGGTATGATAATTAAGAGTAAAGTAGATTATGGTTATCTTTTGTTGATTTTACTTTTTATAAGAAACCATAGTATTTGTTCTAATATCATTTCTAATGATTTGACACATACCTTTGTTGATATTTCGAATGATGTTTAGTCACTCTTAGTTAAGTAGTTGGACTCGGTAGCTAAGTCGATAATGTATCGAGGGTTTGTGGTGAAAAGCACTAGATTGGTATATTGGAGTGGAAATTAATGCTGGGATGCAGGTGCATCTAGCTAACGGGTCCCCATTAGGGCTGAATGCGCATTCTGGATTCTACTGTCGGCCACAATCCATTCATTCTGCATAAACTTGTAACGTAAGGGCTGTATCGAGGAAATACACACGAGATTCAAATTTGCCCACTAAGACTGATCAAAATATCAACAACACGATATTCCAAGTCATTACAAATTAAGTTGAATTTCATACCTGTTGCACAATCTAGTGGTTATCTGAACTCTGTAGCTCAGTATGTAACGTGTTGCAATCTGTAGCTGACAACATTCAAGTCCCAATTTAAACTTACACACTTTTCTTTAATTACATTCAGTTTTGCGAGACCCCAATAGAACGAAATGTTCATCCTGTATTCTACTTCTAAGGCACAACCCATCTATTCTTTATTCTCAATGTCTTTAATCTTTCTCCTTATTATTCCGAGTAACTTCTTTTGATTTATTTGCTATTCATTTTCTAAATTGTAAGTTATCGTTTTGATGCTATATGACATGTTGTAATGTACATTTTATACAAGGCACTTTATTGATTATGGCTGACCGAATAGTTGACAATCTATGTTATCTATTATTATTATTATTATTATCATTTATTTTTGAAATATTTTAAGTGTATTTCAGTAGTATTTTTATTATCAACATGTTTTGATGAAATATCACTTGTGTTTTGTTTGTTTAGATATCACCAATTTCCTTGCGTATTATACTTTTATCTGATGAACATCAAACATTTTGTCAAGTAAATTTATTGAATTGTTTTCAATTGTTCGCTTAATTTAATTATTCATTAATGTTAGATCTATCGAAGCGTCCAAGTCACCCGATTGAGATACGCGCAAAACCGAAGTTCCAAAACAACGATTTGTCTACAATAACGGTTCTTTATTGAATAATAATCAAAATTTAGTTACAAACCTCAAATTGTGAGGAGTCTGGGGCGTTTAAACACGTTCTTCAAGTATGAAAATAAAAAGGCTTCCTGTAACAGTAACATAAAGAATAGTTATAACATACAATAGTACAAAGGACATCTAAATTTGAAAACAGTTTACGAACAACCGAAACCCCGAACCAAGAGCAAACAATATCGGAACTGTTGCGTTTAAACAAATGCACAAAACTGTGGATAACGGATACAGCCATTACGATACAGTAATTATAATGATAAATACAATGATTAGTACAATAAACGTTATAAATATATGTGAACATTTAACACTATTACAGTACAACTTGCATTGTTGGGACTACAACTGCTTACTGATTATAAATAAGTAGTATAAGACAATATACAAAAGAGTAGAAAGGGAACGAGTAGGAACAATGTAAGACAAACTGAACAATTAAACTAGTTCGTTGATAATTTAAAGTTTCACGTTACAGATTAACTTTGGTTAGACTATCATTGAAAATCAGTTGATATTTTAATGTTATTTCATCTTAGTATTGGACTCCATCAATTGTCGAACCTTATTTCTCACAGTGTGTGTGTAAATGTCATATCAACATGATGGCACCCAACAGTTTACATTTCTGAATTAAATCAACTGGTGATGTTACTATTAATCCTGCTACTACCTATACTACTCTGAGATTTGCTTGGACAGTTTTTTATCGCTACACTGGTGGGTTTCGGCGGGTTATGTGATGCGTTTGACTGACTGACTGACCCAACCGTCATTTAGTGCCATTAGTGAGCAAATCTTTCACTATCGACAGGATCTGACTCCACTGGTCATGCTTTATCACCAGTTTTCCGGAAATTATATCTCGAATTCAGTTAATAATTACCGAATAAATGCTTGCTTTAAGGGATCTATTTTATCTCAATACTTCTGTTGTAGCTAATAAGTTGGAATGTAGCATAAACCTGTGACTCGAACTAATGGCTGACAGTAAAATGAGTTCATTAAGAAATATGGATTCAGTACTAATAACAATTTTCAGTACTTCAGTCTGTTATACTTTGTGAAAAATGGCTATCCAAAATGAAATAATAAGTGATGCGATTACTATACCCTCAATTTACTATTTTCAAATGCTTTTGATGAATCAAATAGTGTACTGACTAAAATGATAGATGAGTGTAATCTTGAACACTTTAGATTCTAGATTATCGAATACACTAAGCTGAATAATATAAACATTTATGCCTTCCTTATCGGTTAACGATGTTCTTTCATTTCTAGTGTACGATTTCAAATGAATTTTCTTTCATCGCCTACTTTTGCTTTTAAAATGAATTTTCATCTATTATCGATACAAGTATTTTATCTATCATAATATACATACATTTTTAATTCTGTTTGTTTCATAGACTAAATCTTTCGTGAAATTTATCTGCAACACAATTGACATTCAACTGTACTGTGAACCATGGATATTAATTTTGGACTTTTTCAATTTGTGCGATTATAAGGAGGAAACTACACAATGTACTTCAGAGCGATCTCATCAAGGTAATATTTTATTTCATAGTGTACATCACAAATTGACCTGAGTTCAACTACCATTCGATTACTAGTTAGAAAGCATTTCATAACTGTTTCGTCCCAATGTGAAATTTTTTAAAGCAGTATGCATCAAATCCACCTTACCAGTGATTAAACCTAGAACCTTTAAGACTTACGGCAAGCGTTTAACCTTCAGGTGATTGAGTTAATTAGTCATATAAATCATTGAATGGCGATTTTGTAGTGCTTCTTGACTTCAAATTGTTGTATAAATTAGATTAGTTTGTGATATAAATTTTCTATAAACCCTTTACAATGAAAATATTTTATTGATAACTTGCTTATTGACATTTTCTATGTTGTTTTCTATACAATTTTGTGCAACTTGTTGCTATTCGCTAAAAGGGTAAACCAAAGTTTAAAAGACTATAGGCGTTATTGAACATTAAGGATTGAATTTCCCTCGTGTTATTATTCAGTTTCTGTTAGTATTTGACCATTCTGAATGAATGTGATTACATTATCGAAATTTAAAAGTTCAATGTATTTTAAATTATGGCTAACTTGAAAATTCAGGACTAGCTTTCTATTCTTTTGTGTTATATGCTTACTGATTGCACCTTCATTTAAGTGTTGATGTTCACACGTTTTCTTTATTCCAGTATAGCTACGTCCAGTTAATCAGTATCAGATAGGATAAAATGTGTCCCTTCGATTCCATTGGTAACATTTTGTGGATAGTTATCGAGTATTGTGTAAGGATATCTTATAAGAAAAAGCGAATTCAGCGAAGAAAATTTTCTTTTCGACGAAATCATTTACTTAAGCTGTACATTCGTATATATTTTAACCTACTTTAAAAGTAACAGTTAATAGGTCCTTAAGACTTTGTGTACTCATGGTCATGGTTGAGGAAATAAATAGCTCTCTGAACTCAGAGGCTTAATAGATAATAGCTCGTTGATATTTGAAGTAGAAGGTGCTGGATTGAAGTTCAGATGTGGATATCAACACTGGAATGCAGTTACATTCAGCTGAAGGGCACTAAATTAGATCGAAAGCACTTCCTGGAATCCCTAGCTTTCCAAATAACAAATATGCTAAATAACTTGTAAAAACTACATGTATTGAGGCATTCTTCACAGCATGCTCACAATTCAACAAATACTAGTCGAGACCTAATCCTGAATATCAACAACGGGATGATTTCAATCGTTACAAATAATGAGATTTCTTCATTAGCTACACTGACATCCTGTATTACTACATAGATTACTATTGTGGTGTGTGCTACTGATGTCGACAGTAGTAGTACGTATCATCAATCGTATGTGAAATGTCTGGTAGCAGAAGGTTAAGAAGATCGAAGAAAAGAGAACGTGAACAGCGAATGATTGGTGTGGAAACGAAGGAATAATGAAGTATTTACTGTATGGTTCTCAGATTTGACTGAAGCATTCTGTAATTTTGTGTTCAAATACGTTTGGTTGTCGTCACTTATGTTCTCGTTCATCACATTATTACTGTACGTAATACATAGTACTATATTACATAATTAACAAATTTTAGAAGTTATATTCCATATTGCAACATATATTCCCTAATGTTTGATTGTTGTCTTTTTTTTTTACAGATTTGCTTCATGAATCCAATCCCTGCACGCTAGTTTCTTCTTGGAACAATCCGAAAATTGCTGTTCTATTCGACATTGATTCCATTAACTGTTTTGTTAACAATTCAGATCAAGAAGAAGGCAACGAAAAAGAATGTCGGAATAGTCCTCTTCTCATATCTAACAACAGTGAATCAAATATTGCTTTACTCTCCCTAATCAGAACGAAATTACAAATTAATTATTTTATTACAGATGTTGAGAAGTTCTCATCACTCAATCTGCCTGTCAACTATTCTTATTTGGAAATTAAAGGCCAAATATGTGATGTTAAAGTATGCGATTTTTCCTACTTCATTTATAATATTTAAAATTAATGTATTTACATTAATCAGTCTTAACATTTACGTTCACTCCTGGTCGTTTAAAAACGTTGTCATGAAATTTCACAGAATAGTTCATGGAAGAAAGTACTTCTAGCATGAAGGTAGTTTTCGTCATAAACCAATATCAACTGAATGATTATTAGATTTCGCATAACTGAACAATCGTCTCATTTTGATTTTGGACTATTCGGGGTTGTGGGTCGACGATTTTTTATACGTTTAGACCCATAAACTTCAGCTGTTGATTTGAACACGTAACCTCATTATTAAAATGCAATCCAAGTGCTTGGATTTCCAACTTTAGTCAATTCACTATACAACATAATAGTCTCATCCTGGGATCGCATTTGGAATCGAAGTGAGAAAAAATCAAATCTTTTCAGTATTGACTTTTTCAGTGTTATGGGTTCAACCCTTGTAACATACATTGATGTTTAATGTTATACTGTTGCATGTTTCTTGAGATCTCAACAGTTGTTACGAGTTTTTAGTGTCAGTATTGTTGAAATGTTTGAGTAGTAGTAGTGTTCAGACCTCTGGTGAGAATGTTGCATTAATTAACCTAAGAATACCTGACCTTCACTTTGTTTGTCAGTATTCGTAGTGTTTATTTTTAGTAATTCACACAGTATGACAACTTCCAGTATTTCAAGCGTAATCAATTTCAGACTTATGACTGAATCACGTTATCAAGTTATCTGAGTTGGTTATTATGTAGCTTAATTGTACTTGAAGTACAGTCCAACTATTACTTTCGATATGTAGGTTTTCTTACTGCAGAATGCAGTACCATTTGATGAAAACATTGGTAGTCGATAAGATAGTTTCTTACTTTATAGGTCCTAACTAATGTTTGAGAAAAGGCAAAATGTGAGTTGCTCATAGAATTGGAAATATCTCTTAATAAATCTAACATTCATTCGGTGGTGTTTTGTTCACTGAGCTGGATGGTTTGGTCGTGGAGCTTTCATCGTTCTAGAAGTCTTCTATCTGAAGTTTGTGCTGATGATGTCGTTCAGAAGAACGATGAAAGCTCCACGACCAAACCATCCAGCTCAGTGAACAAAACACCACCGAAATCATCCACCTGAGCTACAAATCTTCTCCACTAACATTCATTCACATTTCTCAAAGATTCAACTATCACAATCGTTACATAATTACAATTCCTCTCCTAATAACCATTTTATTTTTCATTCTTTTTATATTTAGTTACAAGCAATACAGGAGAAACATTCTAACTTATATCCAACACGGTTCATGACTATGCCACAATTGTGTCATCCGAGTGATATTATAAATGACAATGATAATTCACGGTTATCCTATATAACTTTTCAATTTATTAAACCTGCTAGGCATTTTCATCAGCGATTATCCAATCCAACTGTCAGTGTTGACGATGAACAAGATATATACATTTCAATACAATTACCAGCTGTTACATATATACACACACAGTCATTTTTAACGAGTGTCATTGACTCATTGTTTAGCTTCAAAGAACATTATGATTTTGTCAGACAAACAAGAGCTGCTGTTAAGGGCTTTCAAGTATGCCTTGCGTCGTACATTTATTTACACTTTGAATAGTAGTATATTATTATTTATTTTATTTCAACACATAAAAGAAAGAAAGCTGCAAAGGGCTGGCTTCTGTTGACCCTTCACGACTCCCTGGTTGGAGTCCGAGAGATGGTGCAACACAGTGGCTAGAGACGTTATCAGATATGGCTCATAATAGAAGCCAGTGTCGATCCTGCTGAAATCTTTTTTTACTTTGTTCATAAAAAGTGGTTGCTTCTTCCTTAACTGAAAGATTTCCTCTGATTGCACCTTTCCGCTTCCCCTATTATTACTATTATTATTATTATTACACTACCTTACACTAATCTGTTCGTTATTGTTTTTTTTAACGCTCCTTACCTCACTTTTTCTCTCTTCCCATTCTCATTGTTTTGTGTGGCGCGTATATACTTGGTGCCCCCTTGTACCAATATTTATGTGTTCAAATAAATAAATTGATCAGATGTAGTGAACAATAACGCCGGATTTAACACGTAAGCATACTATTGCAATTTGACATAATGCAAATACAATGAACTGGATCTGGATTAAGACATCTAACGTCCAATTATTCAGTTATTTATTTAAAGTATTCTCCGTTTATCCTAGTTGGAAATCATTATATTTCTTACATAAATCCTTTCTGGTTGAAGATTAGATACTCTACTAATATCTCCGCTTATTTGGTCACTGATATATTCGTATTACAATAATCATTAGAAAATAATTAAATGGGAATTCATTGGAATATTAGTTGAAAATAAACTGTAATGAAAGTAAATGAAATTAATGAAACAGTGAAATGATAAGTTTTAACATATTTTTAAACTAACTATTTATAGTAGGATAAATAGTTACGTGAGATTTCATAAAATCACTTATCTTATATGTGTCTCTCACACTTATCGTTTACACACATTCCTACCCACCATAGTTTAATAGACTGTTGATACGTGATAATATTGCCATTTCAATTATAGTCTAATTGAAATTGTAATTCTCATTTTCGTTATTCGATAACTTCACTAATTATGACAACGGTGGTTATTAACACTTTAGTGAACAAAAACTCAGGTATAGTAAACCAATTTATTGCTTAATACTAAATCAAATAGTACCTTTGTAAAATATAAAAACTATACATGTAATGCAACATTTACATATCTTGCTTGAGTTTTCCTTTACATACTCCATCATTCTTCCGATGCTGTTGTTATTCTGAGTACTCTCTGTTTACCTTCCTTTTCTCTTTATTTCAATCTTCTGCTGGTAAGCATTCCACTTCTGATTCCTGCTACGTACTATTCATATCTCTCCGCACCACAATACGATCACATTGTGTTTTTTTTATTTCACTTGATGATACAAATGTTTAGTTTTTTGTTGAAATGTCAATACTTTCATTTTTATTTTGTTTTAAAACAATAATTTCAAGATTCCCACAACTCCTTCTGTATCTTCACGTATACGTGTCAATGTTTCTGGCGGTCCATTAAATCTGATCATTCCAATTAGTTCTTATAGTTCCAAAGTACTTATTGCCAATATTAATCATTTGAAAATTAATAATAAATTTTTGTGTAATACAAATCAGGAAAATGTTCCTTGTGAATCAATGTTTACAAAGTCAAAATCCAATGAGAAATGTGATAATCGTTATTTCTTTTCAAATATCCGGTAAGATATTGACCGCTTGTATTTCATATTATGTCTACTACAAAAAATCCATTATCATGAAATGTTGTAATGTTGCACATTGAATAAGTGTAAATTATGTTTAATGAAAGTTATTACCAACTGATTCTATCCACTTGAAACCAAGGACTTCTTAGCTATAGGCACAAATGAGATTGTTCTCACGATTCCCAGATTATGATTTTAAGCGGAATCCTTTAGAGTACTGAATTACTGCAAGAATGTTCTGTAAGAAAGCATTCTGCTTACTAACTGTTAATGGAAGTGTTTTTTTTGTTATGAACAATATCTGACATTCTAAATAGTTCTTCATGTATATATTGCTCTGTAATCTTAAAAAATTCCAATAAGCTTGTTAAATGAATACTCGATTCGATTTCCTAGCCTCTTACTACTAACTCCAGGTTAAATCTACACGGGAACTTGAACACAAGAGAAAATGCGTGAACTACGAAAAAAGCGCTGATGTACAAAAAAAACAAGGATATTTATAGATTTACACACCATTCACTTTATAGTAAATTTTTAACGTATTTACTATTTTACTTAATGTTTATTTTATTCACAGGTCTTTGAAAAAAGTGGTCTTCTTGGACTTTGGAATGTTCTAATCTGAATTCAGAAGGTAAATAGTACTAAGTAATGTAAATAAACAACTGTATTCCGTGAATTATCGATATCAAGCTACCTCGCCGCGCCACGATGGCTAATGTAAAAGTGTGTGGAATCAAAGCCAGAAATTGGCAAACTAAACTGTTTGATCAGTCCATCAAGACATTGACTATTTCACTAAGAGATTTAGGTAGATCCAGACTGCCTATGTGATTATCGTAATCAATAGTTAAAGACTTAGAATGACATGACTTGGAAGCGCTGATGTACTCAATTTTTATCTTCCCTTAGATTCCAAGTTTCTAAATTCTTCATACCTTTTATATTTTATTCATTTACTGATAATGTAAGAACTGGCAAATATTTGCATTAATTTGATTTAACACATATCGTATCAGGATAGCAGAAATAAATTAATAAGATTATCATAGTTTCTACATTTTCATAGTTGTCGGTCGCATCCTCACTGATAATCGTACTGTTCTGTGTTGATTAAAACCTCTGTTTCTTGAGAACATAACTAACAGGTTGGTTGAAAACTAGCAAATGTACTATTTGAATACGAAATCGTACCACTGGTTGTGGCGCAGCTTGTCAGCAGTAAATGGTTTCTTGAAAATAGCACGCATCTCTATTAATACCGCTGTCTTAAAAACTCAATTAAGTCATAGGTATCGGTTCATATTTAAATTTTACAAATTCCAAGTTCTGGCTTTAAGATCTTGGAACTATGGAGTTGATGCAACGAAGACTACGTATAAATTTTTGTTCATAGCCGACTAGAAACTTGATGCTTGTACTCTGGTCAGTTAGGTCGATTAGAACTTTTATGCTAATCGAGTCTGTTTGTCAATATTCAAATATCATTCAGTAATGATTCCATCAATATTCAATTGTTTGTTTTTGTTATCAATCCATATACAAATATTTATTTGAAATTTGTTCTACTCTCCTCTAAAAAAAAACTATCTTACTGAAATGATTTGTTCATGGATTTATTCTTGTTTTTCTTTATTTTTAGATCTCGATGATTCTCAACCTTTGTTGATCGATAGAATATTTATGGAATTTTATGGATTTTCTTTATATTGTGCAGAACAAACTAGTTTATTTGATCCCGACTTGATAAGGAAATCAGGTACTGTGAAAACTGTTTTGGCCCCTAAGATAACCATCTGCTTCGGTTTGGGCACCCGGGTAGTATCACAGCCCACACGCAAACGATGAACTCTCTATATCTATGGAAACTACTTTTCTCTCTTTTCTTTGCTCTCGATGACTATTCTGTGGCTCTCAACAATCACTTAATTATTAGATGATAAATAGGTTAGACTATATTATTAGTTTACAATAACATGTTTTATACATAACTTTAAGAAGTTTAACATCCATTGGTTGTCTACGATTAACTCATGAAAAAAATGAATCAAACTTTTGGGCAGATATCAAACAAACATATTAGTCGGTAGGAATACAAAGATAGGTGGAGACTAATTCTGATACTTTAATTTAAGCTTTGATTGTTTCAACTTTATTTTATGTCACACTAAAACATGATGCTTTTTTTCTCTCTTTAGAACATAACTACAACAATGCGTATGTTCATTTACCAAATCAGTTATTCATACCTATCGGTAGAGTATATCCATCTCATTTCAATAACACCACTTTCTTTTTCAATCCTATCAATTGTGTTAATTTAATTTTGGAGCATAATTTAACTTCTGGTAAAATACCAGATTGGAAAATAAGTGGAGAATTCACAAATTGTCAACTTCATATAGATCAACATACATATTGTTTAATTCGTGGTGTATTATCACATAATTTTGGTGAATATTCAAATCCTAATGTCGATACAAAGGTAAATAGTAAATAGAGTTATTTTGAATTCCAGTTTTGTTCACTATTTTTCATTTTAGCTAAGTTTAATATATGTCCTGTGGAATTTAAAACTGTACTTTACATATACTAAAAATGTAAACTCTCAAACCAGTAATTCCTTTTAGATAGACTTTCATGATTAGAAGTGCTAAGTGGATGGTTTTGTTGAAGTTTTGTTCTCTAAATTTGATGGTTTGGTCGTGGAGCTTACATTGTTTATCTTAACAGCATCATCAGCGCAAACTCCAGATAAAATTGACGTGTTTGAATTTCTCCATATATGACTAACAGCTTGTCCTGTTGGACCTCAATTTTTGACTGGTTTTTGTTAAAGGTTTAAGAACATAAACAATCATCAAGATCACTTGAACCTCTTTGCTACATATCCTCTTTATTTCGTCTCGCTGTTACAGTTGTTGTGATATAACTTTGACCAGAACAAATATGTCCCATGTCCTAAGTTGTTTTAACTAAGTGCATGGCTGACATTTTATTCCTTCACAATCTCGGTGTTCTAGAGATCATCCAAAATAGAAAATGGTGACTTATAATTTGAAATACTGATTAAAAATTGACTAACCATAAAGTTTTTCATATGCCTACTTGTATCATATATGTAATAGTCATTACATTGATTTACATGTTTGTTACGCAACTTTAATGTATATTAAAAGTTTATTCTATGTTTACTTCATTAGAAATCATTTCTTGAATCAAATATATGGACTAAGTTTGCAATTGAAATCCGTTTGAATTCAGTTCAAGCTACATTATTTGATTCATCAAACTCATCTGTTATTATGAATAATAATTCTACTGTTAATGCAAATCTAAAAGAGAATGAGAACAATAATGAATCTAATCCGTTTGCTATAATCGACTTTTGTGATACACTGTTAACTTATGAATATTTTTCAAACCGAAGTACATCTATTCAACTTCAATGTTACGATATAAATTTATTGAAAACTCAAATTGACAAAGGTAATCTCTATTTAAATAATGTTATTCTTTTTTATGAACCCCTCGGTATTTAGATTTAGGCTTTAATTTATCTATGAAACATGACTTTTTGAAAATGAAGGGTGATTTTAGGCTAATAGTGTGTGCAATCATAGAGATACCTTCGATGCATTGTCGAAGCGAGGTTAGTTATAGACCACTGGATAAATATGGGAAATCAGTTTTTGAGATCGTGAATTTCCATCAATTGAGGAGTCTGACACTTATGTTACATATACCTAGCTACCACTTATATTGATGAGGGATGTTTACTGATTTGAAAGTAGACTGGAGCTAAAGCTATGGGAAGGTATGATATCAGTGCATGATATCATTGACTGTTGGTCGAGATGCTCGCGTCAGTCATAAACAATGGTTAGAGATATAACTCAGAATTGATCACAATGTTCCGTATCCATTCACTCTTTGTCTCAAAATATCCATTACCTTTATTCTGCCTAGTCATTATTCTCAAACTATGGTATCTATGTCTACTACTACTGATATTTTAACATATTCTACTATAATGGGATTTATCTTGATAAATTAATCTCTTTATGATGTAGTATGACAAAGTGGATTGTTGCACATATGCACTGTGTTCTGACATGCGTATGACTCATCAGTCAGAAAATCAATCCATTATGGTTTTGAATCCTACTCTACTCTTAATTCAGTTTTGCTTAGTTCGAGAGTATTCGCTAACTTGAACACAAATATTATGACTTAAAGATAACTTTATAAACCTCGTACCAAACCAAAACATGGCACCAGTTCATTAAGTCACTGACAATGGGATTACCTGGTTGGGGCCCGCGTGATTATTATAATCAATGGTTAAAGACATTGAATGACTTGGCTCAAAATCATTTGTAATGGCCCAGGTGCCATCATATATGACATTCGTTGCAAAATACATAACACCCCATCCAACTTACTCGCGGGAAAGTTTAGGCGAGCAGAAATGAGTTTCTTATGGGGGCTATGTATAATTAAACTTCCTTCTGTCAATCGGACTTTATGGTACTCAGAGACTCTATTGCTTACGTGATGGATGCTATAATCAGCAATGACATCAACATGCAGGTTAGCTGCTTGTTAAAAATATCTAGATGCGGCAGCCCACAAATGTCATTTGTGATTCTTCGATAACCGGGTGACCAGTATTCGACACGTACAGTTTGTCTGTGGTGGATTGCCTTGATGGTACCTGGTGTTGAATGTCTGATAATGGACATTCCCCGCTTTATTCTTCGTTTTCTTTTTTTTTTTTGTGGTTCGAATTCATCAATTATTGTTTTATATTTTTACAGATAATGAACAAAATCAGTTTATTTTAAAAAGTTTGTCAACAGATTTATCAGATCAATTAATTGAAGAGGAGGAGGATAGAGTAAAGCGAACTGATGGGATATTGGTGAAAACGCCGAAACTTTTTATTTGTTCCAATAGTTCTTTGTTACAATCAACATTTGTATTCTCTTTAATGAGACTTCATTTAATTTGTGACTGGGATTGGTTATTGCGTTTTCAGTATTTTCTCTTATCATCTCCTTTACCATCTGGCAGTGAAAATTCCTCGATTGTTTACACTTTACAAAAGTATGTTATAAATAAATTATTGACTTTTGTTTCATTACATAATGAATATGATTTTGGATAAATCATTTTAATGTTCTAGTGATAACTCGGTCATTGTTTTAAGAATCAATGAATTCACTAGTTATCTGACTATTCATTGATAACCTGACGTTATATAATCATTGTCTTTGAACTGGAATTCTATGTCTTCTGTGATGTCCCACCAGTTATTCACATGGTAATTCTAATTGAATGAAGCAAATTTCAAATTCTATTTTCCTCTTTTTAAATCGATTCTAGAACCTTTAATTTCAACTAGATTCAATTAGGATTATCCGTTTACATCATATCTAAGTAATATCTGTCACAAAACCTGATAGATATAACGACATTTCTTCTTTAGGGACCAAAAGTTAATGGTAAATATTTGCTAACTTATGAACAGTCCACTAATGAATGCCAGAAAACTTTGCTCCTTTTAAGCGTAGGACTTTTCGCTACGGCTTTGTGGAAACTCAAAAGTAACCATATATGTCTATCTGTGTTTCCTTTTTTTGAATAGAAGTTATGGTCTTTATAGATTTACGGGTACTTTACTAATTTAGTGCTTATCTGTTTCTCTGTGTGTTAATTTGTCTGTTGATTATCTTCATCTATAGCACTAAAGTGGGTTCATGTTTTTTTAAATATCCTCAAATTAGGCCTATTTCACCTTGCATCGATTGCATATCCACAACTCGAACGATTTCCAAATTACAGATGTATTCTGATGAATCAAGTTATAATCATAAACGGGAGTCGAACTTATCTTCTGGTGTACTGAATACGTCTTTGCATATATTCATAGAAGATTGTGAAGCCTGTATACCATACGAAAAATCATGTTTTCTCATTAAAGTAAGGATTTTATTATTAGTGAGCACTTGTCCATAATTGTTTGTATTCTAAATGTACGATTATCGGTCACCCAAAACTTATGTGAAACCGATTTTCCAAGTCGCTGCCCCATCAACCCTGAATTATACGGTTTATAGCTGTTTGTTATCTTCATCTTTTTTACTTTAAATTATTTGGATCCACAATTGACTGATCACCAATTTAACGTTTTCCCTATCCCCATGGTGGTATAAGATTTCAATTAAGAAACCTGTGATCCATGTTTCTGGCCAGTTAAGACTTGTTAATACTAAAGGACTGCACAAACATGAAATTATTCTCGACTCAGTGACCAGTCAATTATTTATTTATTCAACTGAACACATGAATATTACTACAAAGAGGTACCAAATACATATGCGCCACACAAATCTGATTTAATTTGTGTGAGAGCTGTGATACTGACCGGGTGCGCAAACCGAAGCAGATGGTTTTCTTAGAGGGCCACACCCGGACCCTTCGACCTAAACGTCTGATCCACAAGTCAGTAAAGCATCGTGAGGAGATGCAGTCCCATGGTAGCCGGTGACCAACGATTTTCATTAAAGGATAGATATTCAATAAAGAGAACATCTCAACCATCACAACGTTATTTGTTTAAATTCCTCAATGTTTATTATTCCGATAATAACAGCAACCTTTAAATTTTCAACCAGGATAGATTGATAATTCACTGAAGAATAGTCGTGAATAAATGGTATTTGTTCACAAATATATAACAATGAATTTGGTTTTTTGATCAACAGCTTCTCAGAATTGAATGTTTATATTGCACTATATCACCTGAAGTCTCTAACTAAAGATAACAAATGTTATCTAATGTCACAATATTTGGTATCAAATAAAATGTTATTTCAGGACTATGCAGATTATCCAAATAGTATTTTAGGTGTTCGAAGGTTTTCGGAAGAGAAACATGTTTGACAAAGGTTTCATGCTAGTTGACACTGGTTAATATGATGCTCGGCTTGCTAGTTGAAAGCCACTTGTCTTATTCACTAGTTCATCTCTTTATATTCTGTGAGCAAAATATTATCTTGAATAGAAATGACCATAAACGTTTACAATTTCGAGTCAATTATCTGTGATTATTATTTTGTTTCACATTTGAATTTATTACTTTTTTCCCCACCTACTTGTGTCTTTTTTCTCCAGTCAAGTGTACGTTTCTCACGTCATACATCAAAATATTCAATATCTGAAATACTAAATGATGAAATTCATATTGATATTCTACAATTTTGTTTATATTCTAATTCAAAATCATTGATTATTATACCTAGTCCATTGAAATTCTACTCTAAATTGTATCATCACATGTTAAATAGTAAATCATCCTCTTCATCTCAACTGTCTGTGTCATCCACTTCAACAATTTCATCTATGAAAGGAACATTTATGAATACTGGATTACTTTGTTCGTCAAATATTTTTATTGAATATCCTCCTTGGCAAAGAAATTTATTACATTTTAAAGTATGTATATACACTTATAATGAATGATTTCTTTCTTTCTTTCTTATACAATTATGTAATCATATCATATTATTTCTAATTGAATGAGTATACATGTTATAATATTGATAATATCTTTGGAAAAAGAAATTTTCACCTATAACATCTCAACATTCTATTGAGATTGCACAACCCATCGAGTTTAGTCAAGTTTGATACTGAGGTAATTATGAATTTAGCAATAGATTCTAACTGGAATATTTATGAATTGATAAAAGATACGAATGTGAATTGTTGGAGGGTCAACTTTCCCTACGAGGCCTGAAATTCTTCAATTCCATCTTTGATGAGGTCATCCTAATCGTAGACCATATGCTAGTATTTGGATAAGATGAATTATCTGTCTTAAAACTCCTAGCTTCTAGCTGTTATTTAGGTAAAGTCATCTAATGATGTTAGGGTCTTTATAACGTTTAATTTTTCATTCATTGTGTGCTAACTAAAGACGAATTGTGAACAAAGTATTACTCAACTATTCACCTTCATTCTTAAATATTCGTTATTCATTTTAAGTTTATTATTTTAAATCCTATAATTTTGAAAGTTGAACACTCATATCATCAGTTTGTTATGTACATTAACGGTTTGATTTGGCGTTTTTTGAAACCAAATTAGTTCAGATAATCAAAAAAATCTAAGGATTTAAATTGTCTACTAAGAAATTTGGCTCATTATGCTATTATCACTTTTCAAGCTCAGTATTTACTTAATTTCAATGTTAAATAAATAATCTAGAATGAAAATCAATCGATGAATGTATTTATCGATCCAAAAGCACCCATAGAGACAAGAAACAAGAAATGTCTGCTTGAAGAAAAGTTTTTTTTAGTGAATTTATTCTCAAACCTGTACACTAGCAAATGAAGCGGGAGAGAGCGGAGTGAATATCTATGCAAAACTGGAGGTTACTATCATGACTGGTTGATTTTCTTTTGTACACATGGTTCTGGCTTAAATAAATATGTAACAACAATCTCAGAAATGGTAACAAACGGGAGTTTAATTGCCTTTGATAGATTTCGATTCACTTTGTGGACGTCTTTAAAGGATTATCAGACACTTGGATGAACAGCTTAGTGATTAACGGAATTGATTTATAGCTGCTAACATCATATGTTTGGATTTGTCTTCATCTAATTTGTTGGTATTACTAGATTGTGTTTCATGGCTAAATACATGAAACTGTACCTGGTAAACACATAATGTTTACTTTATTACTGTTGACAGTTGCTTCGGTTTACACAACTGTTTAGTGTTATCAGGACTCACATCAAAATTAGCGTTTCTTGCGTCCATGGATATAAATCCTCAATGCATGTTACCATCATGGTATTATGAAGAGTCAACATTTTTATTTATCTACTATCTTCGCCATATTTTTTTATTCAAACGTTTGTTATTTTCTTCTCATATTAGCCAGCACAGTTACAGCTTCAAATGTCTTTAACTGCGCCCAACATTCATATTACATCGAATTTTTCAGAATTACAAAATGCTATACAATTTTTCTCTTCTCTAATGATGATAAATACATCAGACAGTATATCATCATCAGTTGATGCTCACACTAATAATGCCGGCGAAAACCGAGATGCTATTCATTTGTTACCAGGTAAGGTATAAATGGTATTTTTAATACAAATAATGTCTCATAACCCTAATTAAAACTTGTAATTTTGTGTAATCAAAGGATTAGAAATCGTCCGGAACTTTATTAACCTTTACTAACTTCATAACTCCTTATTACAAAATGTACGTTTGAGTCTTTGAGTAATTTGTAGTTATTTCGAGTGATTTCAAATCACTTTGTTCTGTCAGTGTTATTTTTGCTATTATTTCAAAAGGCTTCACACCAAAGTCTTAGTTTTTTATTTTACTGTTCATCGTTTCAAGATTTAGTCAGGGAGTTGATCTTTCCATTAACAGTGAAATTATTATCGTTGAAGTATCGTTTCTAAGTAGCTCTTTAATAACTTCTGGGTCCCCGAAATTCCTCGGTACGGCCGAGGGTAGTGAGAGTCCATCCTTCCTCTCGAAATGCTCTCACATGGCCATGCGTATACAGCTACTACCAGAGGACGTTTTAGTCACTGCCTTCTCGAGGCGAGGTTGTCGTTTACGAAATCGAGAGAAGCAAAAGAGAATATCCAATGCTTTAACAGGGTTGGTGGGTACGGAGGACACACCTAGAGGAGTTGGAAAATCCTGATTTCAAACCAGTGGTGCACATGAGCTCCAGGATCCTGAGAGAACGAATGTAGTATGGACCTATTGTTAGTCACCTACTACCATAGGACTGCATACCCTAGCTTTGCTCCAGTGCCCTATGGATTAGACCTCTATGTCAATGTTCGGGGAGTGACCCCGTAAGAAAACCATCAGCTTCAGTTTGGGTGCCTGGGCAGTAGTATCACAGCCCTCACACAAATCAAGTGATGAAGTGTGGCGCATATATATTTGGTGCCTTGTTGTACCAATATTTATGTGTTTAAATGAATGACAAAATAACATATTATTCTGTCGATTTCTGGTCTCATGTTAACTTGTAATATTATCGAGATAGAAACTCACCATATGTTTGTTTTAATCAGAAAATGTACTTGCACTGATGAATTTACTTGAAACAAGTGTCGAATTCCCCTCCATGTGATTTTGTGGCGGTTACATTTATTGAGCTGGCTGTTTTTATTAGTTTTTGCCTGTCTTTATCTAGTTTATTCTCATGTAAAATTATATAAGCATTCATGATATTTATTCGGAAAACAGAAAAGAGAAACTTTCAATATCTTTGAAACATTTGTAGCGAATCATTTTTAAATAAAATCTGTATAACCAATACCTACAATTATCATTTCCTGGCTAATGACTGGCTTTAAGAGAAAATTTCTGAAATTATAATGAGATACCGCCACTAGTGGATTTCAACCGTATCGGATGTGAGGTAGTTATCTGCTGAGATGGTCGCTCATTATCGTAGATCTATTAAAGTCATGCCTTAAAACCGTTGGATACTGGCTTAGTGATGTACAGGTCAAGGGTTCGCGCACGAGACTGAAGGCATCCGAATTCGCTGTCGAAGGGTTCTGGAGTAACATTTCTTATTGCTAAGCTGGGTGATACTAGATCAAATCCTCCAGGAAGCATCAGGTATCTCAAGATGGCAGGTACACGAGTGATGAATAGCGCGAAGCATAGGTACAAGGTTTCCTGTAGGCTACATCCAACCACCGACCTGGATGATCTATCTATTCTGGATAACAATGGTCCCACAATAAGTCAAAAATGCCTTTATCTTAGTCGCAGTTCTACATTAGCAGTCATAACCACCCCTTTTTCTCTCATACTATTTATAGAAGATTAAGAGACTGAGTAACCTTTTTCGCATTTGGTATGAAGTGTTCTTTCGCATAAAGCTTTTAACATCATAATAAACCTCTCGTACGCAGATAATACGAACACTGTCTTGTTCAAAAATCTTATAGTTTCTCTCTTCATATACACCAAATAATGTATCTATGTACAACAGATTGATTACTTCGTAAATATCTCAGTACATTCAGTGTTCAGTTATGACCCAGTAGTAACGTCACAGATTAAGAAGCTGATTTATTTAGGTTCAAATCTCCAAGGCAGTATCAGTTCTCCCATGACTATTGGTACACCTTGCTAGAAATTACTAACTAACATGAAATCAAAATCTGACATTTACTGTCGACTATTAACAGTCGTCTAACAATGTATGCATTTGTGTACAAATTACTTTATGACTTCTAATTATTAAAAATTTTCAATTCTGAATTGCACCCTCTTTTTTTTATTTTTTTGGAATGTTACATCAGAGTTCCTTCGTGTATAAAATTTTTTTTGTTATAAAGAAATTTCTTCCTCTCATTTACATTTAGATGTACAATCATCAGTAACAACTTCAAATCAAAAATCATCGTCATCATTATCATCATCATCATTATTGGTAACATTTTGGCCAAATATTTTTGCTGATTACATTTCAAAACAATTAATTAATTTCGATGTAAGATATTTATAGTTTTATTCTTTTTTCTTCTGAATTGTAAGTTTCTTAAAGCAAAACAAAACAAAACAAAAAGTGATACCGAATAATGTGAATTCATTGTATTTCGATCTTTTTCTCTCTGTGTAATCATTTGCAACCTAAGAATAACAGTATTGTTTATTTTGGTTGTATTAAATATCATATCGTGCGAGACTGAAGGTCCTGGGTTCGAGTCTCATACACGAGATCGTGGATGCATACTGTTGAGAAGTAGTCGCATACTAGGGAGCTTGTGGCTTTGTGTCCCCACCAATGTATGACGTAACAATACTGCCAATTAGAGAACAGTGATTTATCGACCGGACCAATAACGCATAAAACCCGTACGAGCAGTCTAGACTCCTTATCGATCCTTCTCTCAGTTTAGCTCTACCTGTTAAGTTCAGAACACCAATCTCAGCCTCTGTGGTATGAATCATGTATTTCAAACATACTGGGCTTATATACAAACCAAACAGATCACATCATATCATAAAATAGAAAATAACATTTGTACCATATCTAGCCAAAAGTGTCTGTGAATGTGGGAGATAGTAATTGATAGACAGGGCATAACTCAATAATAGTAAGTCGTATAATAATAGTTCATAGGTCAAAATAAAGCGTGTGATAAGAGGAACACGGATATGAATAGTTTAGTTCCTTAACATTTACACGATAAAAAGATATGTCTAGTATTAGTCCAGAAATAGATTCCAACAGTTACCATTCATTATTCTCATCGAGATATAGCACTAGTGCTTCCAGGTTTTCCATCGCAGTCCAACATTGATCTGAATAAAATACCAGTGAAGTTTTGATCACTAGCAAAGGTTAATTTTGGGATGATTTAATGAAACAGTTGCTCTATGTCACGAGTTGATTGAAATTGCACTGTTGAATGCCAATTCAGTTGTTTTAGTGGTTAAACGTTTTCCAAGAGATTTTTATCTCTTGGATTCCTTTCTAGTGGAGGTTGGCTGTCTTATCTGTGTATAATACCCTCTATCGCCAGTATGTGTGGTCATTTGTGTTTACTGCTTATGGATCATTTACTAGGCTCAAATAGTCTATCCAGTACCCCTTGATTGGTAATGATACCGCAACGAGTGACGAACACACGTTACCTACAAATTATAGTTATCGTTTATATAAATATTGTAAAATAGTAGACTCTAAAAAAGTGTATAGAGGCATGTTTCTCGAAGTGCCTTTCCAGTACGCTATAATTTCTAGTAGTACTCTCATTTTTATCTCTATTCTTTGTGTTAATTAACTATGAGGAAAAGTTTTTTCTCGTCTGGTACTTAATGTTGAATATGTATATATCCCTTGATTCTTTAATGACTTCTAATTTTTAATAACGGTAGTCCTGATTATTACAACACACACTTTTCCTTTTGGACTTGATTTTATAGATTAAAATTGCATTTTCAATATGTCTGTTTGATACAATAACATCAGTTCAATCTTCATTATTAGCTGAAGAGATTCCATTGATAAAATTTTGTGTTGAAAGTAAGTGGGCATTTATTATCAGCCAAATTATTATTTATAATATGTTATGACCTGATTATTTTCATTGAATTAAACCACATGATGTAGTCTTGAACATATGTTTCACATAATTCGATTGTCGGTAGTTTCAATCGAGTACATAGACTTATTGTATTTGGTTAATGAGTTATAACATGAAATGTATTCATTAAATGGTATTATGTTTAAGTACAGTGATTTATTTGTGAATTTTTTTTCTACCTCTGGACAACATGATAAATAACGATGACCATTGAATGAAATTGAAATTGTGAGATGGTCATGAATAAATGTGGTTAACGTGGATGAAGGGGAGTGAAAGAGATAATAGTGTGGAAATGCTGAGAAGAAGGTTGTATGACGACTAGTGGTATTACGTGACCATACCATCAAATGATGATTAAGTAAGGTAAGAGGAGCAGTTGAATATATTTTTTTGTGGATGCAGAGACCTGAATTTTTGATCGGAACTGATATTGTTTCAGTTGTCTGACGGATTTAGATTGGCGTCGACACCATATATGGTTGTGATTGATTACTTGATGTTAGCTTTGTGAACGACCCGTTTGTACTTAATGAGCTAGAATCGAGCTGTTAACAGTTTTAAGTATGGCTTTGCTTAACCACACTGGGTGGTATTCACGAGCACGGAAGAACAAATTCCTAGAACACATGTTAACGTAACTTGCTCCACCAGAGCAGTTGAATTGGTAGATGCGGAAAGAAGTGGCAAGTGTAGGTAATTTATCTTCCAATCTCGGACTGTTAGCGTTTCTCTGGGTGCATCTCCTCTAAATTGTAGGCGTATATGCGAAGACGTTTTACTCTTAATTAGGTCATCCTTATACTCTATTTTCTTAGTTAGGTGTTTTTTTATAGTTTTCTTAGGATACCCACTTTGTTTCAGTATAGTATTCAATGCTTTTGTTTCTTCTCCAAGTGCATCTGTGGAGCATATATTGTTGATTGTTTAACGAAGTATCTTAATCAGGTTTGTTTTATATCATAGAGGGACAAAACTAATAAAATTTGTATATTACTTAATCCAAGTACTTTTTTGTTTCAGTTTCTTCTTTGTGACTCGTATATTCTGTATTTAAGTCAAACATTTAGAAAGACTATCTGTCCTTCGTTTTTTTCCTCGCACGTGAATTTAATAGGTAGATGAACATCATTTAGTCGCTTGAATGTCTCCATCCGGTTAGTATGTTCTTTACACAGAGTGAACGTATCTTCCATATAACGGGAGTGAAATAAAAAATTGTCAATATGTTGTACCACTGTAATGTTTTCTATTTTGCCGAGAAAAATGTCATCCAATATGAGAGCTAGTGGTGAAGCAATCGCAACACCACGTATTTGTCGATATCCTTCATCATCGAATTTAAAGTTTGACTTTGATATTTCATTTTCGTAATAATTCCTTAATGATGTCCACAGGGATTTTAGTCTCCATTTCTGGTTATCTAAGTTGCTCACGGATATATTTTAGTCTTCCTGAGTGGGATATTTATAAACAATGTTGTTACCTCTAACCACACCACCGTTTGTTCTGTAGTATTTATGTTTTTGATCTTGTCGATATATCGATGAACCAAGCTATATTCGTGATTTTGTTAGAAATGGGCTGTTCTCAAACTCTTGATTAGCTTCAGTGACTGTTGTTTATGGTTAACATCTAGCCAGGTGCTGAACAAGTTGAACCGTCATAAAATTACTTCTAATTTTTGTTTTGTTAAAGGTTGTTTTCCTTTTTTTACCGTGATTTAAAATATTTTCTGATTTATTTATTGGTTTTTTGATGTGCTAAGTTTTTCGAGATAAAATTAAGTGATTTATTACCAAAGTAGCCAAAATAATGTGAGATAAATGATAAATCGAAGACCGTATACTGGAAAGATGGTTTGAATAGACGTAGTATAAAGGTACATTTGATTGGTACTGGAACTAAAGATCCATATGGAGTGAAAGAGTGGTTATGTCTACGTCATTGTGATCAATTTTGAGACATAGTATCTAACTTATCTGAGAACTGATTTTGGTTACCACACGGAACCTAACCAATTATCCTGGATCTAATAACACTACTTAAATCAATATTCAAGTGACTTCATAGACTGATGTTACATTTTGGTGTGGTCTCTTTAGCTTTCTCATAACTTACTTCTACATCAGGTGATTTAACTGGTTACTTGTGTTCTTATTTATAGATTGTTGTTTATGTCATCCAACCTTTACTTTGGTAATGTAATTTAACGTTTAACCGATATTGAATTTGTTTTTTTCTAGTGCATTCTTTGATCCCCGTAAAGTGAAACAAAGTAACTAATGTTGTTTTATTGTTAATAGCGTTAATTTTAAAAGGAAAATAAATTATTTAATGTATAGTTGTGATTATCATTGTTTTATATAGATATGAAACTGTTTTGGAAGCGATTAAATTTACAAGCTACACTGGAATGCACTGGGATTTCATGTTCTTATTACAATCAAAATCTAATTGCTTGGGAACCTGTACTGGAACCATGGAGGTGAGATTATGTATGATAGATATCAAAAAATGTTTCAGAAATTAGTGCGAATTTAAATAAAATTGTTCACTTCTTAAATAGTCATTACCATATAGACAGTTAATTTTAAGTAAAGAACGTTCAATGAATATAACTTTGTTAAACGAATTGAAACGAAACGCTAAAATGCTATATCGTGGTGTCAAATTGGTTTTCCTCATCTGACTTCATTACAATATGAAGGTACTCAATACTTAACAAGAGATTTATATGACACATCTTGGTCAAGGTTATTTATGTGTTGTTATTGTTGAGTTGTGGCTCGAATCTGTAGAAGTTTGGTGACTTTCAGCCTTGAATCAAATCGGTATCGATCTTTGTGATCACATCAATTTAATGTCAAGCTATTAGACTATACAGCTTTGTCGTAACACTGGGCTATTTTCTCGTAGCATTAGAAATGATATTTTGTGATTGTACTTGTGTAGACCCAATGAAATTGACGTTGAATATATGATTAAAACTATATTTCAAATACGGCTTTTCTTACTGATCACTCTAAAACCGTAATAATAATAATTTATATATTCTGAAAATAATAATTACGGAGTTCACGTCAGTTTACAGGCATGATCAATTTGATATAAATAGTAACATTAGATGTACAGAACAAACATGTTGCAGACGAAAGTTTCAAGTATACTAGTTCAGTAATTGTTTAGGTAGTACATATATTACAGTGATCCAATGCATCAGCCGGTAACTTTTAATTTTTCTTAAATGGACAGCCTGTTGATTTATGAACGGATTAATTAAGGTCATTTCGTGTACCAGATCGAATTAATGATAATTATCTATAACTAGAGAAATTGAAATGAAAACAGAGAGCACGGAACAACAAAGCAGTAATTACCAAAATATGTTAATCAGGTCTACCGAAATGCGTGCGTCATGTGACATAGTGATATACTGTTGATGTTAGATATTATTCAAATTAGTTAAAGTTGCTAGGGCTGGTGTTAACATAAAGTGACACCAAGTAGGTTCTTTTACTTAGGGAATGCACTAATAAAGATGGCTAAACATTTAAAGTTCCTATAATATCACTTGTGGAATGAGATACACTTACAGGTGCTACAACATTCAGTACATTTCAGAGGAGCAGTATGCATCGATGAAGCGAACAAATAATGGGAGTAATTTTATCGTACAGATAGATTGTGGTAGGTTATTCCAGAGTCTAGAAAATCTACAGGTAAAGTAATTTATATAAAGAGATGATTTAGAACAAGTTTGTCTCACTAGTGACAAGGAATTACGGATGTCATAATGAGGAGTTTCTGCATATTGAATCACATGATTGGATGTAAGGGATAGTTTATTAAGTAGTTTGAAGAAAAAGATAAGATTTAGTTTGAGTCTCCTCTTCCATAAAGGGTCGAACCCAAGTTTATTACATCTAAAATTATAAGTTAAGGTATAATCAGCTCCAGGAATACGAAGTGTAAATCGTCTCTGTACTGATTCCAGCCTTAATTTATCATTTATGCGTGCACTTTTAAGAAGAAACGTGCAATATTCTAGAAGTGGTCAAACACAAACTTTGTACATTAAAATACGTGACTCATTGTTATAAAGGTTTCGAGTTATGTAACCTACAAGACATTGAGACTTAAAGGTCTGTTTCAATATCTGTTCTGTAAACGACAAGTCGTGGGAGTACCTAAGTACACTTGTATGTAACCTAGATAACACTTCTCCATTTATGGTAAGATCTAAGTTGAGTGATGTATCGCCGAAGCATATCCATCCACATTCAGCCGTATTAAGCTCCAGTTGCCATGTTAAGGACCACTATGCTACCTTGTCAAGCTTCATGCTGATACAATTTTGCATATTTTTCAGCCCATGTGAAGAAAATGAATATACTACTTTAAGATCATCTGCATATAGAAGGAGCTTACCCACACAAAAACTTTCACAAATATCATTGATAAACACTAAAAAGAGTATAGGGCCTAAAACACTACCTTGTATTACACCACTTCTAACAGGGACAGCTTTAGACAATGAAGAGTTAATTTTAACTATTTGATATCGAATTCTGAGAATGGAATCAAGCCAAGCTAGCAAACGATTTTGAACCCTATAAGATGAGAGTTTACCTATAAGAAGTTGGTCCCATAGAGAGAGTAAACAGTTTTCGAAGAAAAAGTTGAATATCTGGACCACCATATTTGTAGAGAAAGGATGAAATCCCGTCTGCTCCATGACTTCTCGAAAGCCTAAGGGTATTTATAGCCTTATTAATTTTCATGCATGTGAAGTAGATAGATTTTATTGAGTTGCACGCACATAATTCTTGAAGCAGAGCCACTTATGATTCCTACAACATTCGCAAAAATACCACAGAAAAGTTCTATCAACAATAGCTTGATGTGAACTGTTAATTTATCCATCCTCACTTTGAAGAAATTCTATTATGGTCAAGTAGTGGATCTCTCAGAAGCATATTTGCCCCCAAATGCCATGGTACGGCCGCGAGTGGGGAGAGTTCGCTCTCCCTCTCGAAATGCTCTCACATGACCACGCGTATATAGCCTCTGCCAGGGGAGTCCTACTCACTGCCTTCTCGTGGCGGCGGTGTTGTTTGCGAAATTGGGAGGACGAAAAGCGAATCTCCGGCGCTTTGACCGGGTTGGTGGATACGGAGAGTTTACCTAGCGGAGTCGGAAAACCCTGATTCCAAACCAATGGTGCACATGGGCTCCAGTATCCTGAAGGAACAAATGGCGTATGAACGAATCGTTGGTCACCGGCTACCATGGGACTGCATCTCCTCACGATGCTCCATTGCCTTGTGGGTCAGACCTTTAGGTCGAAGTCTCCGGGTGTGGCCTTCTAAGAAAACCATCTGCTTCGGTTTGCGCACCTGGTTAGTATCACAGCCCTCACACATATCAAATGAGATTTGTGTGGCGCATATGTATTTGGTGCTTCCTTGTACCAATATCTATGTGTTAAAATAAATAAATAAAAACATTTGATTGCGCCCATCATTTGTTTATAAATTTTATCTATGTACTCAACAATTTCTCTCCAATTTTAATGTAAAATGCATCACATCAAATTAATACAAGTAGACAGTTAATTTTCAAAAAAATTATTATGGAGGATTTGTTGAGCAGTCCCATACTAAGAAGAAATGGTCATCTCTTGCTTACTGGATTTCCATGGTAGTCTATCTGAGATTCTTGAATCATGGTTTCATCCGTGAAAATTTTACATTATTGATTAGTTTCATGGGATTTTCTTTGAAAAAAAATTCGTTTCTTTTTCAACCTGTTTTTCTCATTGTATTCAGTTGTTTATTGAATTGGACTGAAAATTTTGAGCAAGATTTCAGTAGAACTATCTCTTTAAACTGTTCATGTAAGTGTCAAATTATTGTTTTTTCCGTATAGTTGGTAAATAAATGAAGTTTCTTTTCACTCAACTGTATATGTGACTTATTGTAGTATTAGTAAAAATTTCAGATTATACTGTTGTCCTGGATTGAAACTCTTGTAATGCAGCGGTTAGCCTACGTTATTGAGGAGTTCCAAATTTGAACGAAACAAATGTGCCATAACTCTCGGTGTCTTTCAGTGTTATTCCAACTGACATTAGACTTCAATGAAAATCAAGGCTAAAACGATAATGATTTTCCATTGTTTACAATTTACACTTACTTACTTACTTACTTATACCTCTTGCACGTCGTATAGTAGCATAGACCATCCACCAGGACTCTCCGACGAACTCTATCCTGGGCAATCTTTTCCAGTTGCTATTCATTCTTTTGATATCTTCCAATTCTCGACACAATGTGTTCCTTGGTCTTCCTCTTTTTCTTTTACCTTAAAAATTACAAGTTAGCGCTTGCCTCGAGTTGCAGTTTGATGATTTCATCAACGTATGTCCTATGCACTTCCATCGTCTTTTCTTAATTTCCTCCTTATCTAGAAGCTGGTTTGTTGCTTATGGTATTCAGTCAACAAACATTCAGTATCTTGTGTAGACAATTGTTTATAAGTAATTTTCCCTTTTTCATGATGGTTGTAGTAGTTCTCCAAGTTTCAGCTCTGTACAGTAGTACTGTCTTGACGTATGTATTGAAGATTGTGACTTTGATGTTAGTTGACAGTTGTTTTGAGTTGCATATATTTTTCAACTGTAGGAATGCTGCCCTTGATTTACCAATTCTTGCCCTTACGTCTGCATCGGATCTTCCTTGTTCATCGATGACACTACCCACGTACTTGAAGGTTTTTACATCTTCCAGAGCTCCTCCATCAAGTGTGATTGGGTTGGCGTCCTCCGTATTGTGTTCGATGATCTTGATTTTTCCTTTGTGTATGTTGACGCCTACTCCTGCAGGGGCTGCTGCTACACTCTCAATGTCAATTAAATTGGTTACTTTTACGTATTTATACTTTTAAACATACTAATTTCAGACACTTGTGAACTAAAAGTTAAGATCAAATAATGACGTGTCATTATTTTGTTTTCTGTTATGAGGAATATATCTGTGATCTTATTTATCCATTAGAATTCATTTGTGTTTGTAACCATTTAGGTATGTGTTCAACCCTTCTTTTTGTGTTCCTTTCTTCCTTTTTTAATTTAGCTCAATGTAGTTTGAAATTGAATCTAACAGTTCCACTAGTGCAAATAATTCGTCGTCTACTAAATACATGGATCAAAACACAACAATTTCCAGAGTATGATGCAATACCAGTAGTAAATCAACAAGACCTTTCATTTTTAACTAGTCAAAATACTGGTTCATTTATTTTAATTAATGAAACTGGAACATATTTACGATATAAATTGATAAAAAATCATCAGTTAGATTCATTATTCAAACCAGAAGTGTAGGTTTTTCTATTATTTAAAACAAATTATTTCAAATTTTGTTAGATTTTTTAATTATTATTCACTGTAAATCTAATCTTAGCCCTAACTACTTAAAAAAAAACAAGATCAACCTAGGAAACTGGGCAAAAAGTTAATTTCAATGGTTGAGATCATGAGTCAGTTGAAGCTAGACCACCATGGAAAACCTGTAAGCATTGAACGGCCGTTTTGTCCTACTCTGGGGCCCCTCAGCAGTGCGCATCCACGATCCCGCCTCGCGAGTTTCGAACACAGGAACTATCAGTCTCTCATACATGCGCTTAACCACTAGACCAGGTTTTCCATGGTGGTCTAGTTTCAACTGACTCATAATCTTAACCATTGAAATGACTATAATGTCCACAAATCCCCTTCTGATATTAAAATGTTAATTGTTGACTATCTGTTATGACCTGTGGCCCGTCAAATATCACATGACAAAATCGCCAATCATTATATCGATTTCCATGACATTAACGGTACGTCAAATAGCAAGAGCAGCCTTGAGTCAACTCCGAATCTTTATTGGTCCTCTGTGTAACAATTTCTCACTTAGCCCAGCCCGTTCAGCTCAGAACACAGATATTAGCCTCTATCATATTAGTCGTATATTTTAGACATACTTGGTTTATAAACAAGCAGACCAGACTGCATCTCACCATAAGCTGAGGAACAATAATTATACAAGATCAAACCAAAAATGGCTGTGCGTGTGAGAGGTTGTAACTAATAGATTTAGAAAGACGTAAGAATAGTAAATCGTATGATAGTAGTCGATAGGTCAAATGAAAGCTTATGGTGATAGGAGTATGAATATAATTAATAATATAATTGATTCTTAATTATCCATTAAGAATAAATGTAATAATAGTCCATAAATAATTCCTAACAGTCATTTTTCATTTATTCTTCGTTTGGATATAACGTTATCAATCTATGAGACTATCATGATTACATTATGAAAATGTAAATTCACCAAGATGATAACACAATTACGTCAAGAGAACTTTGGCTTAGTAGACGTCACATATTTATCGTGGAGAGAACGTTGAAACTTATTCTGAATTATGTCAAATTTCTTCAACTTTTAGTTACCATAACTCCGTGACCCCTCCCAAGTGGTGTGTACTTATCTACATAACTCAATTCAACAGTCATCTACTTCATGGACTGATGCTACACCTTAGTTTAGCGGCTCCTATATTTCTTTCAACGTACACTTATATCAGGAAACAACGACTGTCAACTAATGTAGCGTGTCAAAATGGTCTGATGTAATAGGTTTTAGGTTTTTCATCACTTATTCATGACTATTTTATAAGTCAAATGATTCTATAATTTCCATTCACAACTGTTATAATCTTTAGTTCCTTAATGTTAGATGATTGCTACTCACTATATAATAGTTATTTAGTCAAGTGTCTAGCCTTTCATATGTTAAACCAAGACAAATCAAAGCGCATTATCAGCTCGATCAGCACAAATGACTGATATTTAAACTATGGTCGTTAAAATCCATGATCTTCATTGATAGTTTACAGGGCTATGATCATGTATATTTAGATGTAAGTGATCAGTTAACTAATCAATCGATATACAAACAATAAATTTCGACAAATTATCGATTCATTATTTATTTATTTATTCATCATTTAGTTTAATACCGGATAAATTAGACAATAGTACTGATGATAATTCTGACAAACTTGCTCCAGATTCACGTGTATGTTTACCAATAAAAATATCATCATTTGCTTATAATTTATCAACAAATGCTCAACAAATTAATACAAATGTAGATTCTATACAACTGCCTAGTTTATCAGTACAAATAAATGGTTGGAAACCAATTTATCCAATATCTCTTGATCGATTAGGCACGTATTATCGTGTTATTGAACGATTAAATAATGCGGAACCTGTAAGTTTTTATTTCATATTGATGTATATCTTGGTCAATTTTGTTTTCATGTAACATTTTCAATGAGTATTAACCAGCTTATCATCTCGACTGATTTTAGCAGAGTTTTCTCATTTTGACGGTGAGATTTCATAATGGTCTAACCATTGGACAGTAGCTAATAGTTATGTGCTTGTTGAAGATTTTACAACGTACATCTTACGCATCACTGAATCTGGAATCGTTTTGTGTTCTAAGCGAATGTCCGGCGCTTTAACCGGATCACAAACCAATGGTGCACATGGGCTCCAGTATCCTGCGGGAAGAAATGGCGTATGAACCAATCTTTGGTCACCGGCTACCATGGGATTGCATCTCCTTACGATGCTCCACTGCCTTGTGGGTTAGACCTTTAGGTCAAAGGCTCGGGGAGTGGCCCCCTAAGAAAACCACCTGCTTCGGTTTGGGCACCCGGGCAGTATCACAGCCCACACACAAACGATGAACTCTATGTCTTTGGCAACTACTTTTATCGCTCCGAAAAACAATCAGTCGATTCAAATAATTATCATTACTATTATTGTCATTATTAATACTATTATTATTACTATTATTGTCGTTATTATTATTATTATTATTATTATTATTATTATTATTATTATTATTATTATTTCCCACATTATTCACCCTCTTTTATACTTATACAGCGGCTCGTCTTTGGTGGAAATCCGACTGTATCTAAACGTTCTCGAGTCACTGTCCGGTTGAAAATTGTATGTTACCACCGAATATGAGTACTGAAGCAGTTTTTCTGAAACCACGTGCACCATTCAAACTGGCTGCCTTCAACGTTCGCACACTTATGCAGGTTGGACAACAGATAGGGCTGGCTATGTCTTTGGAAAGTCTTAATATTGATGTTTGTTGTCTATCCGAGACCCGTATTCAAGACTCTGGCGAAGTACTACAAATTCGATCTCCATCTGTCGCTTCGAAAAGCTTGTTTTACGTGCGCTTATCCGGGGACCCTGTGGCATCTTCGTCTGGTCTTGCTGGCGTTGGTGTCGCACTAAGCGCTAGAGCTGAGGCAGCACTAGTCGATTGGATCCCCATTAACAGTCGGTTATGTGCTGTTAGATTAGAAAGTTCCATCAAAGTGAGAAGAAATCGGCGTGAGAAACGATGTCTTTTCGTCATCTCCGCCTATGCCCCGACAGATTGCAGCCCGGATGCAATCAAGGATGAGTTTTACCACCAGTTATCAGTTCTTCTCCAGAAAGTGCGTTCGACAGATATTGTAGTACTAGCCGGAGACTTGAATGCTCAGGTCGGGCGTCTAGGCACAGAAGAGAGTCGTTTAGGTGGCCGATGGGGACTCGTTGGTCGCAGGTCAGATAACGGGGACCGTCTACTGCAACTGTGCACAGACCACAACCTGTTTCTGGCTAGCACTAACTTTCGGCACAGTCATCGCCGATGTGCCACCTGGCGTCCTCCCTCTGCATCTCAAGCCTGGACTCAGATTGATCACATCGCGATCAGCTACCGCTGGCGTGGTTGTGTAAAGACTGCCGCTCCTTTTGGAGTACCTATCTGGACTCTGACCATGCCTTGGTCTGCGCCAATCTTGCCTTACTTTTCAGTGGCCAACGAAGTGACCACCACCAACGGATTGATGTTAGCAAGCTGGTTGCAACTTCTGTTGCAAGTAAGTATCGAACCGAGCTAGCCTCTAGGCTAGCTACCACTCCACCGAAAAGTATAGATGAGCATTGGTTGCAATTGCATGACGCCATGAAAATGGCGGGAACAGTCAGTTGTGGGTTTGCGAAACGTCCCGCTTTAAGCACTGGGTTTCTTCTGGTTCCTTACAACTCATTGAAGCCCGTCGGTCTACTCCGGGTGACCGTGAGTTTGACCATAAACGAAGGATGTTACGTAAGGAAATTGGGCAAAGCTTGCGTAAGGACCGAGAAGCCTGGTGGTCGATGCGTGCTAATGAGCTGGAAGCAGCAGCTGCATCTGGTAACTACCGGAAGCTCTTCCAGCTCATCCGAGCCACTGGCAGCAAGAAGTCTGGTGTGAGTGAAACAATCTGCGAGGATGATGGGATGCCAATCACTAACATCCATCGACGTCTTGGACGATGGGCAGAATTTTTCGAAGGGCAGTTCAACTGGCCTGCTGCTCCGGCAACATCGGTCAGACTGTCCTGCCCTCCATGGCCGGTGACGACTGATCCACCAAACGAGGAGGAAGTCCGCAAGGAACTCCAACTCTTGAAGCGTTACAAATCACCTGGCCCAGATGACTTACCTCCGGCTCTTTTTAAAGATGGTGGTGACTTTTTGACTAAGGAATTGACGACGTTGTTTACAAAGGTTTGGGAACTAGAGAGTGTACCAACGTCATGGAATGAGTCGATAGTTGTCCCTATCTTTAAAAAGGGTTCACGTCGTTCCTGTAACAACTATCGGGGGATAAGTCTACTTCCGATTGCGTCCAAGCTATTGGCTTCCGTCATACTTCGTAGGTTGTTCAAAACCCGAGAAAGATTGACTCGCGAGGAGCAGGCTGGGTTTCGTTCTGGTCGAGGATGTATTGATCATATCTTCACCCTCCGCCAAATGTTAGAACACCGCCATACTTATCAAAGGCCAACAATCGTAGTGTTTCTTGACATCAGGGCTGCCTTCGATTCGTTGGACAGGACTGTTCTCTGGGATTGTCTATTGAAGAAGGGTGTGCCTGAGAAGTTTATTAACATCCTAAAAGCCCTATATAAAAACACCTCAGGCAGAGTGAGGGCATACAACCACCTCTCTCCATTGTTCCATTCGAGCAGTGGGGTTAGGCAGGGTTGCCCAATCTCACCATTCCTCTTCAACTTTGCCATCGATGACATTCTGGAAACAGCTCTGATGAATGTAAGTAATGGTGGTGTGGATCTGTTGCCTGGAGAAAGACTTCTCGACCTTGAGTATGCGGACGATATTGTCTTACTGTGCGATAATGCCCAAGGCATGCAATCCGCACTTAATCAGTTGGCAATCAGTGTCCGTAGGTATGGTATGTGCTTTGCACCTTCGAAGTGCAAAGTACTTCTACAAGACTGGCAGGATTCCAATCCTGTACTCACCCTGGATGGTGAGCAGATAGACGTAGTCGAGAAGTTCGTGTATCTGGGTAGCTGCATAAGTGCTGGTGGGGGTGTGAGTGATGAGATCAATGCACGTATAGTGAAAGCCAGAGCGGCTTATGCCAATCTGGGCCACCTTTGGCGCCTTCGTGATGTTAGTCTGGCTGTAAAAGGTCGGATCTACAACGCGTCGGTGAGAGCAGTTTTGCTCTATGCTTGTGAAACCTGGCCTCTCCGAGTTGAGGACGTTAGACGACTCTCTGTGTTCGATCATCGCTGTCTCCGAAGGATTGCTGACATTCAGTGGCAACACCATGTCAGTAATGCAGAGGTTCGGCATCGTGTGTTCGGGCACAGAGATGATAATTCAATTGGTGTCACCATCTTGAAACACCGACTTCGGTGGCTTGGACATGTTCTCCGAATGTCGTCCCAGAGAATTCCACGTCGTGCATTATTTGCCGACTCTGGGACTGGTTGGAAGAAGCGGAGAGGTGGTCAGTGCATGACATGGTGTCGTGGCATGAAAGAAAGCTGCAAAGGACTGGCTTGTGTTGGTCCTTCACGACTCCCTGGTTGGGGTCTGAGAGATGGTGCTACACAGTGGCTAGAGACGTTATCAGATATGGCTCAGAATAGAAGCCAGTGGCGATCCTGCTGTAACCTTCTTTTACTTTCTTCATAAAAAGTGGTTGTGTCTCCTTACCTGAAAGATTTCTTCTGATTGTACCTTTTGTTCCCTCGTTACTACCACACTACCTTACACCAATCTCTTCGTTATTGTTCTCTCTTTTTTTGTTGCGCTCCTTAGCTTTTTTTTCTTTCTTTGTATTCCTCTCGAATTTTCATTGTTTTGTGTGGCGCATATATATTGGCGCTCTCTTGTACCAATATTCATGTGTCCAAATAATAAATAATAATAATAATAATTGTGTTCTAATAAGAACGAGATATCTTTAGACTAGTGACATATATTATCTTACTTCAGTTACATAGTATGGCGATTTTCGAATGTCACCGATTAGTGCATACTTTCTTTAATACACTGTCGAACTAACAGTATCTTTCGGAACATTTGAAGGTTTTTATAATCATTGAAATTCCTAATGCATGTAATCAACACCATGCACTAAATTGATCTATCTGTCTAACTCAGTCGAATTACTATTCGACATACATATTGCAATAAACAAATCATCTCGTGAAATTCATTTCTATGTTAATAAATGTGAATTGTTTGTTTTTCTTCAATTCTTTCTTATAGGAAATATTGAAAAGTGAACAGAATGAATGTTGGAAATATCATTTACCAATATTTAATCGTTTGATCATTGATATAGTTCATGATCAAAATTCACATTATTCGATTTATTTAAGATCTGGTTTAACAATAACAAATGATTTAAATCAAAGTATTAATATTGGTTTAGAAATTACATCACCGAAATCATCATCATCATCATCATCCTCAGTATTCGTATTGCATAAATCGTCGGAATCAGTAATCAGTTCATCTGATGCATATCTTAAAAATGTATTTTATGAATCAGTATTATTATTAACAGTATGTAAACCAAAATGTACTTATGCTGTCCCAATTAATATTGTTGGATTAATGTCAGTAGGATTAGGAAATTTATGCTTTTCTCCAACAAAAACAGTTATGAATCGAAAAGATCTTTCTTCGTTATTAATGAATAACACTAATGAACAAAATAAATTTACGGATAATTTATACGATTGGGCTAGTGTTTATCATCATAACAATGAGATAATGACCGAGGAAGAACAACTACAATCTACATATTCCTCTTCAATTCCAACCTCTACAGTTTCATCATTGTCATCATCGTTAACTGATTTCGTGGATAAACGAAAGAATTCATCTATAAGAATGGTGAATTGGACAAGTTTAAAACAATCGGGTTAGTGTTGTTAATGAGATGTTAATAAGATTGTTTGTTGAAACTTTGATGCTGATGTAGTAGTAGAAGTAATCATGTCAGCGCGCTGGTAAACAAATAATGCTCGACTCTCAGCTTCAGGAATCGCACGTTTAAATTTCACTCTGTCTATTTAGATTTACGAATGTGAGTAGAATCACCACCTTCTACCTTGATGCATAAGGTAAGTTGAAAAAAGTGCAAATTGGTTAAGCCATTACATGTGGTCAGCTTGTGGACTCACAGATTGTTGAACTAAGCGATGTAGTTAGGTATAGGGTACTTGTTTCTAGTATGCTTGGTAACTGGAACCAATATTTGAAGACTTTGTTTGACACATGGCTCAGAACAGGTCACAGGCACACAGATCCAATCATGTTTTGCCGTAAAACATTTATACTTCTCATTCCTAAAGTTCTTTTTTCGTCTCAAACCATATTTTCCTTTGTGAACTACATCTTTTTGTCCTGATATATTGTGTCAAATCAAGCTGATACACACGTAGGTCAAACTCTACTTTAGTCATTACTATTAATATAATTACCGATTAACATGTTATAATCACACTGTGTTGTGTTGTGTTCGAGTTACTTGTCCGCTGATCAAGAGTATACTTTTAATGAATTTACTGATTTGAATTGCTCTCTTGTTCACTTTTTACATGCACTATATTTGTTAACATCAGATCAACAACCACTTCTCGTCTACCTACATTTAACTAGTTTTTAAACTTTTACCCAAACTAACGAGCAAAGGAACAATGTAAGCGGTACGTAATCGTGTGTTACATACGTCTTAACCACATATAAACCGATTCGCCTTTCTTGCCTAAAATCGTTTGTTTTCTGCCTGAGCTACCTCTGGCCGCTTAACATTAAAATAATGGACCAGGTTTGAATGGCTTAAACTAGTCACATAACAAATTAATCGATTGAATTTGACTAGCTGTACTGAGGAGGAGTAGTCAAATACAATATCATTTATTGGTTAGTGATCAGTCTCTGTGAAGTTAATTGTATTTATTTCCTTTTCTGTTTCATTGTATTCATATAGACGAATTGTTAGAAGCTATACTGATATCAACATGTCAACTTCCATCAAATTCACGAGCAATACACCAGATTAGTTCTTTACAACGATTTCAACAGATTAATACTACTACTTCTACTTCTGTATCATCATCTTTGAATAAAACATCATCGGGTTTAAATAACAATAACAATAAATTTCATATTTGTGTAACTGTTGTACGTGATCAATTTCCCTTGGATCCTCAATGGAATAAACTATATTCTAATCAATGGTATACGAATTATAAACATTTGCTACCAATCACTTTACCAGGTCATCATATTACTATTGGTCCAGTATTAAGAATTACTAATTTATTACCATGTGATATGATATTTTTTATTTTCGAAACTGATATTAATGGTACATTGGGATCGAAAGAAGAAGCATGTGTCCATAATGTAAGTATATCACTCACATAACTAATGCACTTACGCCTGTTACTCCTCGTGGAGGAGCATAGCATAACTATCGTACTATAAATATTGATGTAATATATAAAGGGTATTGAATAGCTGAGATCAGTTCTATGTAAAGGGTATTGACAAAGAATTTTCGATAATAATAATGTGTGATGTGTAATTCATTAATTAGGTTATGAGTTTCAATGGCATTTGACGAGCATAATTACTTGACTCTACTTAAAGGCCTGAAAGCAAGTAAATCAAGACGTTCAATGAGTATAAGACATGTTGAAATAAAAGCCACCTTTGATGTGTTTGAACCCGTCCTGCACGGTAACTCAATCAAAGAAGCTACCATTGTACTGTTCTGGGCGTATCTAAACTCTCAAGAGTATGATGTGTTTATCAACTCTTGTATTGGTATAAGTCGTCTAACAATACATTCTATTAAAAAAAAAAATTATATTTAAAATTAAATAACTTCAACGTGTTTCTTTGAAGTATTTGGTTTGCACTTTAAAGAAATTACCAATACAAGCTTATCGAACATGACTTGAGTTATGAAGATAAAGCCTGTATTTGTATTTTTTTCACTTGAAATATCTGACTGCGATACACTGAACACGTCTATAACACACAATTTCTGATAACTCCAACTGTTACATGTGCGTTTGCGTCTAACTTAAATTTTCACCATGGTTTGGTTTAAACTTTTCAGTGTATAAGTAAATCATCTCGTCCATATTTATGTGTTATCATGCTCATTAACATTGGGGAGCAATGAAATGTCTAAGCATAATTGAAACTAGTATAGATGGATTTGTGAATGTTGCAAAATTTCCATAGTTTAAGTCACGAACTCATAGCTAGTCTACCATTGAAGATCTAAAAACACTAGTCTTATCGGTGCGCAACCACGACTCTGCTCAGTGATTTGGATGTTAGGTGGTCGTGCACGAAATCGAGTGTCTTTAGCTCGATTTCCAGTTGTGAGGTAGTGGATATGCACTTCTGAGGATTTCCGTACTAGAAGAAAATGGCCATCTAGCACTTTCAGCTTCTTAATGGTGGTCTACTTATGATCACTTCGTAACTATTTCATGTTTTCCATAAGGATACAACTCATTCTTCAACTGATTAAATATACAATCACGGCTCGTCACTAAAACTCTTCAAAGTCTATCTTCAAGAAGCGAATTATTCTTTAAGTGTTCCTGAAAAGTACTGAAAAGAGTAATATTTATGGTATTTGACCAATCAAATTGAGATTCCTGAATAATTCACTGAAATTTGAAATATACTTTTACAGATATTCGTTTTTTTTTAAATGTTTTACTGATATTTTAGTTATTTCCAGTGAACACCATCAAATTTGGTATTCATTTAGATGGATTTCTGAAATGCGATCCATTGTCTATTCCATCTAATACTTACAATCAAAAAGTGCTCATTCGTTTATATGATACTTTGGGCCGACCGTTAGAATTGCAAGTAAGTAATAAAATGAACCACCTCTTTTTATATGATATTCATTAATTAATTAATCCAGTTTTCCAATGAAACGCAAACATTTCATTTGGGAAAGTTCACCGAGCTTAATCGTTGCTGCCAGCTAGATGCTCTGGTCGAGTTTCGACATCCCCTAACCCAATCAAGCTATCCGGATTTAAATACTCATTCCTGTATGCTCTATCCAATTTCCCTTTTCAAGTTTCTCTTGAAGAAATATACTTTCACAGTGTGCCCATCCGAGAAGTGGAAATCACCCACATACTTTTTACAACACTCGTGACATGACATTGCATCATCGATGTTTACCGAGTATATGTATAACTATTTGATCGTTTCTCGATTTCGCCCATTTATTTTTTATATCTGTCATGTAAAGAGTACCTGATTAGTAGCGAATCTAATAAGGATTCTACTATTGTCCCATATGTTCACTATTATATTCTGTGGCTGAATCTGATTTACACATTCAGAATACTTTTTATAATACGGTTTCTTTTGAATAAACAATAGGGTTTGCAACATATCTTTTTGTTTCTGGACCTACAGATAATAAACGAATTGATACTGCATAACCTTGAATTCTGTGTCATAAAGTCTTTCACACGTAGAGGATCTGTTGTTATGCTTCCCATTAATCCTACTTCAACGAAACGTTTTGTGCAAACGATTACTGAAAATAAGGTTTTAGAATATCTCAAAATAACTTAGACACAAGATCCAGGATTCTGTGTTATTTTGTAATTTCTTTTCACAAAATTTTACTTATTTACAATCAGTTTCATCATAAACATCTGGAAGAAAATTAAACAAACGATAAATAGGCTGTCACATACAGTTCAGTTCTCATTGAATCATTAAATTAATCTATATCAACTTATAAATATGTATCAAGAACATTCAGTACATTTTTCCACCCCGTTCCAAGACAAAGAGCTTGCACAACCAACTAGTTGTGTTCTTGTTTTTTCGTGATGTGTATTAAAAATGTGACCCACTCGCTTTCCTTATTGAAATTAATGTTTTTGAAGTATCTATTTCCCCCCCCCATTCTTTCTAATTTGACGACTCGCTCTGTTCTACTATAAAGCGCTTTTGTGAAGTATCTGGATAGTTTAATTTTTTTCTCTTCTCATTCATTCAGAAATAAATGAGTTCTCGTAGTGTACATTAAACAAAATTGTCCAACTCGGTATCGTATTCAAGGTTAAACTGTTACCTTCACCTCTCCCCACTTCGTATTACGAATAGATATATCGTTGCTAACAATGATATCTCAGACGCATGTTTCTATCTATTTAGGACTCGTCAATTGGATGTACCTGTATTTCAGTGTTGATATTTACTTCGACGATCGAACTCACTAACTTTCGTGAAGTATACCAACACGTAATCCACTCATGTACTGAGACTTCATACTGGCTAACTTGTTAAACGGGCAAGATACTTATATATTTTCAAACGTAAAGTGCTGAAGTTAAGTCTTAGTATTAACCTAATACTGGGGTGAATGTGCATCCTAATAGGTTGAAGCGCGCGTCTTCAATTTGACTATTAGTCACGATTCATCCTTTAAAATGCTGAATACACAATACTGAATATCAATATTGGAATAACTCAAACGGTTACTAATTCATTTTCATGTTTGATTTTTTTCCATATTACATTTATATATTTAAGGTCCATGTTTGTTCCAGAGCATTTGGTGCACGTCATTTAACCGTTAGTCCTGTTATATGTTTATTAAATAAATCTGGTATACCGTTGATATTTGCTCACTCATCATCGTCATTATCATCTAATCAACTTAATTTATCATCACAAACATCTATACTAGCTGCTGGTCAAATTGAAGAACATGAACAAGCTTGTGCTTTGATGCCGTTACTTTTTTCATTTGCAAATAAATCTGAAGGTTATCTATTACGTGTTCGTATAGGGAAAGGGTACATATTAGTTTTATCATAATTCTCTATATATATATTCTTTCTTTTTTTTTCTGATCTATTTTTGACAGTTATGTAATTGGTAATTAATTAATCGAATATTGACTATTGACTAATATTCTGTTGCTTAGTCATTAGTATCTATAGAATTCTATCAACTTGTAAATAAAACTCTATGACAAATGTTATTTGGTGGAACTTAGGTTGATTCAGGAATTTCGCTATAGTTAAAAAAATAGTGTACGGCTATGTCAAGTCACTTTTACCCTATTAAGTCACATTACAACTTGATCTGTAGAATACAACTAACAATATCAAAGGCTTGACAAGATGACATTAATATATAAACATATTAGTAGGATGAAAAGTCAACGGTTTTCTGAATAGGTTCCCTGCTGACGTTTCTGTCTAATGTATCTTTACAGAAAGCATCAATTCCCCGATAATTCACATACCATTTGCCAACGATCCTTACCTGCACAATCTCCATTTGATATTCGTATGGTAACCATTAAACATTCAACTGTTTATTGTAACTCTCTTCTTGTATCTAGAATACAATGGATGTGGATTGTTTTAACTAAAAAACAAATAAACTAGAGGACATACAATAGTCATGGTTATAATCAATTTCTGAGACAGAACTTTGTTAGTGTTTATTAACAAGTCAAATGATAACTAATTTGATATAGTTTACTCATGAATTTCATCTGCAAATTCTAACTGAATAGATTCGACAAAATGGCATCTCTAATAAATCAATTGAATATAAGTTTTATTAAAAAAAATAGTATCTATACATTCACCTAGTATTGTTTTACTTGAATCTTCTCATTGATGTTTAGGATTGCAATTGATTAGTCTCTTATTGACATATGTACATACTGTGCGTATCGCCACGATATTGCCTTAATTTACGAGCATTATAAGCAACGATGGATAGTGGCTACCAGTGGAATGCACGACGTGTGTTTCGTCCTACTTGTGACTCGTCTATAATTTGTCTGCAAAATATTCCAACAAAATTGTATAATGATCACACTTTTAAAAACTTTTTTAAATGTATTTTTTAATCAAAATATTATCTCATTTTCTTCCTTCCTCTTTCTCTACGTATTACTTTTTTGTAGGTATCATAGTGAGAATGATGTTTTACCTAACAATGAAAATGATCAACTTCTGACTAATAACATAAAACGTTGTACATGGTCACCTGGAATATCTTTAGATAAATCTGGTGTGGATGTATTGCAGTTGAAAATATACACTGGAAATAATCGGTCAGTTATTATTATGATTATTTACTTCGGACATCTTAAGGATTTTTGCTTAGTTATATGAGAAATATAATACTTGACTATAACTTAGTGTTTTGGGGTCCTATCTATTTACACTACGTTTTAACTGACTGTTCTGTGTTACATTCTTTAAATTTCTGTCATTTCTAATCACTTACTACTTCAGTTAAGGTATGTCACTTTGTCGTACACATTACGTTTGTTTCATGGATTGAAGTCTAATCTGTAAGCTCATCAACTTTGAACTATTGAATCCGTAACATGCACTGAAACCGAAACCTATCAGTTCTTGTCAGAACAGAATTTGACACCAGTCAATCAGTGGTGACTGAAATGATTAGGGATCGAAGATATGATTCAAGAAATTTTAAATTAGTGAAATAATTACACACAAATAGTTACGAGGAATTTAAAGTCTCAGTATTTGGAGCAAGACGAGGAATCCATGAGCCTATAACATTGTAGATGATTTCGTACTATGTCATTCAAAGTTTCTAACCACTGACTGGCGTTCTGTGCCAAAAATCCTTTCAAAATTAAATTAATCTCTCCTTTGCTGTTGCGTGTACTATCATTCCTTTTACTCTCTTTCTACTCTGTATTCCAGATTATCTTCGGTACGTTATTTAGGTTTTGAAGTTGACACCGGTCATGATCCCAATGATTCATCACTGTCAACTACAACAATGGTCACATTTCGACCGCGTTATATCATTGAAAATTTGACAAAATATCAACTAAATGTTACACAACGATATTGTTTAAAAACAGCTAATAATTTACCTGGTGAGTTCATAGAGTACTTTTCGCCTTTGTCCAATAAAATAATGAAAATAGGATAATTTTCAAATAATATTTCTGTAAATACTCACTTTTTATCCATAAATGTTGTGGAAAGGTTCGTAATGCTACCCAATTGTCCATATTAAACAAGAAAAAGTGGGCTTCCAACCGAAATGTTAATGATTGAAATTCCACCTAAGTTGATGGAGCCACTTTGGACCAACCATGTTGGAAGTTTTAACAGGCCGAGTAAATTAGTAACTAACAAAATCTCCAAAAATGATACGAAACCCTCGTTCAAATTTTGACAGAAATGTCATCTAAAGCTGAGATAAAATGATTATCGGTAACCTATTTACCAATTAACATATCGACCAAGGAATAGAAACGAAAACCTTGACGCCTATTGGTCTACCTTCCAATCAAAAGATCAAGATAGAGAATAGATCAGTTCTACATTGTACCCTATTCAATTATAACTCAAATCGTATGCAATACTATACCTGAAATATTCTGACTACACAGCAACATTATTGAGAAGTGACAACATGTACATAACTTGGTCATAAGTAAAAGAAAATCAGAGTAATAAGGTAATAATTAATTAATGCTAAATCTGGAACTGTAAGATATAGGATAGCTATTTATGGGTCAAACAAAAGCTTAGAACTAAGTGATATAATGGATGTTTAAAATATCTTATCTCACTCTCTCACGTATATTACGATAATACGTTAGTACGACAATAAGACTAGTCATGTTATATCAGAATTAGAATTCACGACCCAAAAATGGGGAACCAGAATAACACTATTTAGTACAACTTCAAGCAGTCACACTCAGTGAGTCTGGAGTAGAAATCAATGCGAGGAAGGGAAATCTCTCATTTAATAGTTCGTAGGCTGTGGCTCTCAACAACCAATCATATTTTAATGCCACTACCACACAATAGGAAAATATAAAAATCCTGTTGTGAACGTGAACACAGGTAGGGGACAACGAATGTATTTTAATACAAAATTACAGAGTTCTTTCGTAAAATGTGAAAACCATAAGTTCAATACTTCATTTGCAAATCCTCCATCAATTGTCTTAAACTTTATCGTTCGTTCATTGCTATAACAATTACTTTCTGTTCTTGTTCTCTTAGATTTGATCTTTCCAACCTTCTGCTGCCAGGCGTTTCACATCTGATTAGTGTCACATACTACTCATGTCTGTCGACATAGGTTGCATACACCACAATACAACAGTCCAAGCGTTTAGTAATTATACCATAAAAATATGAATAATTATCCTTTCTACGATAATCTCAGAAGTTATACTTCCGCATTACTCGTACGCTTAAGTGTTATGTGGGTTAAACGAAAGTTAACATGTGTCAAATCACAATATTGACTCACTTCATGAACTCAATAATTAGTTATCAAAGCCATTTAGGAAGTCCATAATTCCTGTTTGAATATCGTGAAATAATAATAATTTTCATAATCGGTGGCTAAAGCTGTTGTATATCATGACTTTAAAGTTGATGAGAACGGCTCAGGTGTGTAGTTATTATTCTTACTGAACAGTATAATCATTTATCAAATTGTTTTAAAATCATTGAAGTCGTTGATGTACGCTAGACAATAATTTAAACCTACTAATCAAGCTCTAACTTCGTTGATTGATAGGTGAGTGTATTAGTAATCTACAAGCACTTATCTTATAAACGTAATGGCTGTAAGTTGGTTAGTTCAAGCACCTATCCACCTACTTCGTTTAGGATACCTGGTTGGTTTTATTATGAATATATTTGATAATTTAAAGCTTGCACTTCAATTTGTTAATTGCCTTGTCACTAAATACTGGGAAGTATGAAATGATCTTTATTTTCAAAGTTAGCCTACATATAGACCGCGTGGTTATATATAACCTCAAGATTCCAGCTACTTCTGGATTACATGCTGCTAATGTAAGGGAAATCAATATTTATGAAATCAGGACAATGAGAATAGATAATCTATTGTTTTTCTACCATTCTCTTCTAAGTTCCTAAACGATACTGATTGATCGATGTATTATTTAATCATTTGTGTTTTGTTGGGTTTTTTGTATTTTAAGCTTCAATTATCGTTTATCCAAATCGTAGTCAATCATTTCATTGGTCTAACGATGATTTAGATCGTCTTTTATGTATGCGTGCTGCGATTAGCACTTCATCATCATCTGCTGTTCATGATCAAATGACAACAGGAATCAATAATCGATCTGATGATTTATGGACGATGTGGTCTGGTGGTTTTCAGATAGATCATGCTCATTCATTTATTATAATGTTACGGTAAATTTATTTAAGACACATTTTGGCGATTGTTATCATATTTCTTTTATTCTCAATTAATCTGATATACTTAAAAGATTTTAATCCATTTAACTATCGAGGTGTCTTGCCTTACTCAATGGATCACTGTTCAACGACATAACGTATGTGATGTACACTTTCTATTAGCGATTGTAACGCTTTAATTATGGACTTATAACTGCAGATCATAATGGTCGAGTTTTTGTAAATGATTACTCACTTTAGAAGAGGTTTTGTGGAGATTTTAGAAATTTCACTGATTGAAATCATGAGTCAATTGAAGCTAGACAACCATGGAAAACTCGGAAGCACTGGACGTCCGTTCCGTCTTAGTATGGGACTCCCCAGCAGTGCGCATGCACGATCCCGCACCCCGCGGGACTCGACCCCAGGACCTATCACTCTTGCGCCAGGCGCCTAACCAACTAAACCACTGGGTCGGTACCCAACGGTGTTAATGTCTAACTTCAACCAATCCACGAAGTTGCGCCACCGTACACCATTGTCTTCAGTGAGTTGATATCTCACAACAGACCTGGTTGAACTCCACTGGTAACGACTTCTCACTAGAACTCCACGAGTATCTCTTGAATTCAGTCACTAGTGAGCAGATGATTATCACAAGGGTTTCTGTGGAGATTTTAGAAATTTTGCGTAATAGGAAATGTGTAAAAAAATTCAATGTTGAAATATACGAACGGGATAAGGTAAAAAAAACGACATAAAATTACAGGATGTGAAAAAATTGATATAGTTTAATAAGTCATATCTGGTCAGGGCAGAGACTGTTGTCACCAATTACTTTTGGATACACAAACTAGGATTATATATTCGGATCTTCACAGCTTATGTTATATGTAGTAAACCAAACCACTTTTTTATTGGTTGGTTGAACCGACTTATTGATGTTTAGGACTGCAATTGATCAGTCTTTTTTGGCATATATGCATCCTGTGCGGATTGCCTCTATATTACCATAAGTCACAAGCATGACAAGCAGAGACCGATGGTGGCTAACAATGGAATCCAGCTGACGAGTCCCAAATAGGACAAAAACGCATGTCCTACATCTCACTGTTAGCTACCATCCATCACTACTTATAAAGACCAAACCACGTTGTGAAGTAAATGACGAAGATATACTATAAGATCATTTGAATTGATTCGATTTTATCTACCATATCTGTACTATTCTAATTTTCACAATGAAAATGTTTAATGTTTTTTTCTATTTTCTTGCATTTTAATTCATTCCAACTTTTCTCTCTGTAGACTGAATCGTTTTCATCAAATTGTTGATTTTCCACAATCATTATTCTTTCATGTGATTATCACTTTACAATCAGCGACTTTTTTTGTAAAAATTCAGCATTACCATGGTTTACCACCATTTCGTTTTGAAAATCTCAGTTCAATTTGTGTCTACTATTGTCAATTAATTGATTCAATTCATTTAATGAATACAAATTCAAAATTACAACATATTAGTTCGTCTAATTCTGATAAACATATTCATGATCATTATTTTCGTCGGGGTGTATTACATCATTCCGTGTCAACGATTCATGATGATGAATCTATTAACAATAATATTGATGAAATGAATAATCCAATTCTTGATAAATGGGATGGTGGAGCTTGTCCATCGTTTTTAATTCCTGGATCTATAATTCCATATGCTTTAGAAGAGCCATGTGGTAGTTCATCTATTATTTTTAGTGCACAGGTAGGTAATTGAATTCGATTTTCTGTCGATTATTTCTTTACCCTGATATCCATAGAAGATACTTACTATAAGTTGTTTCATAAACAATGTTTAATAAATGTCTGGATATCTTTAGATTATTTTTGCAGAACTAAATTGTATGATAAAATAGACCAAATGAAACTGAATAAGTATGTAAGGACGTTTTATTAGATTGTTTGTTAAGTGTAGATAATTTATTTTTCAATCTCGAACTGTTAGCATTTCTCTGGATGCATCTCCTCTAAATTGTAGGCATATATACAAAGACTTTTTCTCAGAGTTGGGTCCTCCATATGTTCTATTTTCTTGGTTAAGTGTTTATTTATATATATATAAATGCTCTTAACAAGCACATGTGTGATCAGATTGTTTAAAATGTATTGCGCTAATATATCACATAGTTCTGATAATCTCCGTCTTCTAATTACATCATCGAAATTTATCAAAGGGACTAATTGTTTATCTATTTATTATTTATTTAAACACATAAACATTGGTACAAGGAGGCATCAAGTATCTATAGTTTATCTATAGTTTTCTTAGGATATCCACTGTTTCAGTATAGTATTCAATGCCTTTGTTTCTTCTTCAAGCGCATCTGTAGAGCATATGTTGTTGATTGTTTAACGAAGTGTTTTACTCAGGTTTGTTTTATATTGTAAGGGAACAAAACTAATAAAATTTATATGTTAGCCAGTCCAAGTTTCTTCTTAGTGACCCATCTATTCTCCTTGTAAGTAATGCGTTAGCCAAAAAAGTTACACAAGTAATCCATTTAAATTTAAATTAGTAGGACATCCAGTCATCACTGTACTTATGTAATTGCTTTTTGGCATTTTCAAAATTCATTGAAATATACTTACCTTTCTTGATTGTCTTCTTTTTTTTCAATCTCATTTTCTATACACTGTTAACAGTTTAATGTCTACATATCTGAATCAGAATGAGCTTGTTATTTTTATTTTCTGCATAATTTTAGGATGATATCAGTGAAATATTTGATTTAGATACAATGAATGTCAGTAAAATTTTACGTTATGATAATTTTGTTTACCTCACTTTATTTGGACCATTAATGGATTATATTGTCCCAACAGAAATGAAACCGATAATGATTCATTGCGTAGAAGAAGTTCATCATTACCTAATCTTGTATTTGATATACTCCCTGGATCTAATTATGTTGTTTGTGCTATCAAGGTTAGTAAGTATAAGATATATGTAAGATGGTTCACACTTTGTTGACTCTATGAATGACTGCCTTATTCATTATCACTCTTATTTTTGTGTTTTACTTTATACTACTTGATGGTATTCAGTAGCGCTTTTTTTGAAGCAATTTTTGAAACATCGATCAGCTACATTTTTACGGCGAATTTCATTCTTATCTTTTATTTTGATGAACAGTATAATAAAGTCAGACCACCAAGTTTAAATTCCATGTCCAGTATTATCAAATTCACTCAGATTACGTCATAATAACGTCTTTAGACATATTTGCCTCTTTTTCGATGTGGTTGTTTTCTCTGATCAGGACTTCTCACGAGAACTTCGGGGGACCTATCAGGACATTTGCCACTAGTAGGTAGGCACAAATAAATTATGGTTGAAGAAAAAAGTTCTTCTGAAGAGGATTATAATTGTTCACTTACTAATGTTTTTCTTTTCACACTACATACATGTTTCCCGTATATTTGAACTATGATAGGTAGTGAAATCTAAGGTGTTTCGTCCTATCTGAGATTTGTAATTTGAATATACTTGAACCTCAGTGTTGATATTGGAACCGAGATTCATAACTGAATTTATTTTTAAATTCTATTATCTATATGTTGCCTATAGTTAACTACCATTCCATTCCTCTTTCATCTAACATCTTGTGTATTTTCGTCTCATCTTTCAATAGTCATCAAGGCGTCATTCACAATTATGGAAATTATCTGATGATGGACTAATTTATCATGAAAATACTTCATTGTTGACCCCATCATCGTCTAAGTCCGCACGAAAAAGTTCAAAGAATAAACATCAATTTGTTTTAGATATAAATCGTAAAGGTGATCCAAATGCACCATCGAGTAATGATCAATTGATTAGTATCAATGGATTAATCGATCCAGAAACTTTAAAACACTTTGAAGTTGTTCAACTTATTATTGCTAAGCCGAGTAAACAACGAAAAGCCTATCAAACTTGGAGAATCGATCAAGTAGGTTGTATATATACGACTGTGTATATGTTTATTGTCTTATGTCAGCATCTAGGTGAACCCGGATAAATTCTCATGACCAGCATGCAATATGGAGTTTAGTACAAAAGTCTGCAAATAGATTCCTGCTAGTCTCCTATCAGAGAAGTCTGCCGTATTTCATGGTTTCCATCTAAGTACTTGTATTTGAAGATGATATCGCTCAATAATACATAATGTATTATTTTTTCCGGCTTACTGTTACATTAACATGATCATCGAGATAAGCGATGTTTAGGCATATGTAACGCATTTCCTAACCAATCCAATTAGTGGGGATTCTCTGCTGCATCAATTGATTTGCTACCATTGCTTATTACGTTACATCTTATTTTAATATTATACACCCGATCGTCCTACGATACATGAGCAGTGCTTCGAAGATACTTATGGTTGAAAGCTTGCAGTATACTCTTGTGTTCTTTATTTACGGACTATATTTTACAGCCGTAAACGTATGCAGGACGAACGTCTTCACTGTACGCTCGCTCTTTAGTTAACCAACTGATATCTCGTCTACTCTACAAGTTACTTAAGTTGCCAAATTCAAATAGAAATTTCTTTGATCCATGCTGAGTTTTTGTCATACGAGACTCTCATGATAAGAGAAATGATTAACTACTTTATTCCCTATTATTAGTTTAAGGGTTGACGTAGATCGGGCTTGAAGCCAATTTTCTCATTTCAAGGGAGGGAAACGTAGCCTAAAGATGTTTGCAAAGCAATCAGAAGGCTCTGAGCTTTTTTAGCGTCCTCGTCAAATATAACTATGTTATGTCGATAATTAAACTTAAATGCAAGCCTATTTGTAACTAAGGAGTGTCATTCCAAATATCTGTATATCTGACTACTGCACATATACTCATACCTTTTTATATATCTAGAATGGTCTCTTGGTCAACAGTGCATTGTTTTGTGTACAAATTCGTCGTGATCTAATGGATGTTATGTCATCTTCACAATTATCATTGGATAGTAGTTTTGAAGAGAGCAATATTGATGACTTAATGAATTTATCACATCATATTTCATCGAATCAATTAATTTTATTAGCTGCACGTCCACGTCCATTAGCAACACGTCTGATTAGTTCATCTATAACATCAGCAATTATTTTACCAATATGGCTTCGTCCCGGTTCCGGTAGACTACGTTTATTCACTTATCTAGATAAAGCCACACGTGTTTTACGTATTGAAGATGAAGATACAAAAAATACTGAATTAACTACACAAAATACAGATAATGTTAAAACAATTTCACGTTGGGGTAGAAAAACATCAATAACATCACAAGAAGATGTAAGTGTTGTTAAATCTTTTTTTTTTACAAAAAATATGAATAATTTCTTGACGTTTTTAAAGATTTCTAACGTAGTATGCGTCCTTTCTTCTGTTTACTGTCTGATGAAGTGACTTATCTGAGGTTACAAAACATCGGAAAGTCCATTTATTTTGTATTTCTTTACATCATCAACTTACACTAGATTGAATAGTTTAAACATTCCATCTTATATTTACATTGAGTCGCTTGAAACTCGTTATAGCTTGTGGGTTTGTGTCCCCTATCAATATATTACGTAATGATGCCGCCAATTAGAGAACATTGATTTATCGATTGGACCAATGACGCATAAAACCCGTACGAGCAGTCTAGAGTCTTTATCGGTCCTGCTTCCCGCCTAACTCTGCCTGCTAAGTTCAGAACATCAATCTCAGTCTCCGCGATCAATATGAATCATATATTTCAAATATACTGGGTTTATATACAAGCCAAACAGATCACATCACACCATAAAATAGGAAATAACATTTATACAAGATCAAGCCAAAAAGTGGCTGTGATTGTGGGAAACTGTATTTCATAAACTGGGCATAACTTAAGAATGGTCAATCGTATAATAATAGTTCATAGGTCAAAATGAAGCGTATAATAAGATGAATATGAATCTACGTAGTTTAGTGACTTAACAATTATACAATAAAAATACATGTATAATATTAGTCCATAGGTAAATCCCAACAGTTACCATTCATTATTCTGGTCGGGATATAACAAAACTATCATTCATTTATGTTTCAAATGACATCATCATTTGCATGATAAAAAGCAATTTGCAAATGAAAGTATTTTAAATATCAAAATTGAAAGTATAATTATCATCCTAGTTTATCAAGAAAAGTGGTACCATTATGGTGTGATGGCAGGATGCGCTTTTCTTCTCGTTTGAAACTTGTTAAATAGATTTATTTGTATTCTAGTGTTGATCTTCAAATTATAATTTTATAATTGAAGAATCCAAAGTTTAATACGGTTATATCCGTACGAGAATAAATGGATGGTAACTTTTAAGAATTACTTATGGACTAGTGCTATATGAATATTCTTATTGTATGACTATTAATTAACTATATTATATGTATATTCACATTCCTTTTATGTGACCTATTGACTCGTATCACACGATTTACTATTCTTGAGATATTCTTTTTTTTATTCTTTTTTGTTTATTGTATTCATTGTTCATTTCTTTTCTTCATAGCTGTACCCGCAACGTGAATCATCAGTATGGGAGGACTCGTCTTATCAGTCAAATTTGTGTAGTAGTGTTGAAACAAGAGATCTTCATCGACTGGTGACCAATTTTAAGGTATATATTGTTTATTAAAAATAATCTCAAGATAATGTATTTCAATAGCCATCTTTAGTTGTTCTAATAGGCACTTCAGAACGTTATGAATGAATTGTAACGATGATAACTAAACAGTCAGTTACTATCACCAGTCAGAACGAAGATAATTTATGTCAACGCATAGTAAATAAGCTTGCATTCGTTAAAGGAACAACAGTTCTAAAGTTTTACATATCTTTTTCTTTTCAGTTGAATCAGTTATTTCCCTATAGTGCATCACATCACACTTGTATGTGAATAGATAATTGATGAAGCTGTATTGTAACAATGAGCCAGTCCAAATCAAAATATCGGCTATTTGTGTAAAAGTAAAACAATAATTTCTGCTACGACTCGACTTATGAACCATCTCATAGAAAATATCTTGCTTTTATGCTTAATACGTGTAGGACCGATTAAACGGTGGTTTAGTAAATAAAGCGTTTTACGTTTAGCCCCTAGATCCCGTTTTCGACTCCTGTTCCATCTACTTCGGTCTGAGCAATCGGGTAGTATCATTACCTGTTACATTTGGAGTATGTTTCACATCCTAGTACCTGGTGATTGAGTTTATTGCTATTGTTTACATGCTATTAGTAAGTGTTTACAATTTCTCAATGTTAGTATTCATTCCTACTATTAATCAGTTTTTGTTACTATTTATGCCTCATGAATGGATACCTTGATAAAGCATTTACTCGCAAGTTATAGTATATTTGATATGTGACTGACAGTGGAACCCAGGATACTAGTTTTACTCTATTTGGGCTTCATCAGTTGGATGTAACTACATCTTAATGTGTGTATTAGAATTCAAATCTATTAACTTCCTCTTTAAATACCAATCCATTGTCCATTAAACCACTTAGTTCAAGTATGTCTTGGGGCAAATGGCATTGATATGACGCTTAGTCATAAGTTATATTGACATTTTTATTTCTGAGAATATAAACTATGTTTTCTTACTTTCTAATTTTCCTAGGCTAATTTAACTCTGCCTAATGGAATTGGCATTAATGTTATATCATCATTTATGGAAGAACTTATCTATATTTCATTAAGTGATATAAATTTATCACTGATTCGAACTTATTCTGATGTATTAACTACTAATACTACCCCTACTACTTCACATCTTGTATCATCTAGTGAAAATTCAATGTTTATGATGAAACATGATAGTAGTTGCTGTAACATTTCAAATGACAATCGTTTATCATCTATTGCACATCATGGTTTAAGTTCAATTGTTATTGTTCATCCACCCGGTATCTCACGATCTTCATTGAATGATGATGATGCTAGTTACAGTAATAATCTTACGTATGAGAATCAAAATGGATCATGTCTTACTAAAGTATCTGAAACATTTCAATTACTTATTGGTCATTTTCAAGTACGTAGTAACACATTGTGAAGTAATTTTTTAATTATAACATTTTAATAATTATCAACAAGGAAAATGTTTTTCAAAAAATAGTTTACCTCAGGAGATCCTTCACATTTTAGGAACCACTTTCTCTGTTATAAAGTATCTGAGCCATCTGCACCTACAACCCTGTCAGCGATATAACGTATAATCTCTAAAGGATAAATGAAACAATTATCGCGATGCATAAGCATGTTAATTCAACCCTCTCTGTAGTGGTGCTGGGGCGCTGGTTTTGCACTTCTTAAGTTTCATGTAGAAATAAAGTGATTGTCCAGTGATCCATTCTGTTTCACCATGTTTTTTAAAGCTAATTTATGTTTATTTGTCAATCAGTTATAAACAACATGGAGTCTGACACATATTTAGTCCAATTTTTGTTTTACTATATCGGTACAATGCGAGGAAATTATCAGGTCAAATACTGGATCACTAGATGTAGTGTAAACGATCAAATATAAACTATCTAATTCCAGAAGACACATTGATTTCTTGGAGTAATAAGTTTATGGTAATTTCGCAACTTTAGATCTAAACAAAGACAAATGGTGAAATGCATCTTAGTCACTGTGAACGATTTTAAACTGTGTCAGCTAACGTCTCCAGTCATTAGGATCCCAACCAAGTAGTCTACACCTACCAACGCGGTTCATCTCAACAGTTATAGGTTGATCCTATATCTTGTATTCTTTGAATTGTGTTAGTGGATTCCAGTGATTTTACACTTTATACTAAATTCATCTGTCAAAATATCACTAACATTTTCACACTTTCTAGATGAGATCAGTTGATTTACCCATTGTCAGGATGGGGATTTGTGGATATTGTAGTAATTTTAATAGTTAGATCCATGATTCAACCTAAGCTAGACCACCGTTGGGTCCGAGTCCTGCGTGTGAGGTCGTGAATAATGCACTACTGAGGAGTCCAATATCAGGACTAAATGGTCGTTCAGTGCTTCTAGGTTTTCAATGGTGGTCTAGCTTAGATCGACTCGTGAATTCAACTATTAGAATGATATCCCTATTGATAAATGACTTCCTACATAAATTCTTTCTTTTTTGTTTGTTTTCAAAATAAATAGATTGATAGTCAATTTACTGGTGCTCTTTTCCCAGTACTTTTGTTTCAAATCAATACAAAATTAATAACTGATGATGAACATCATCTTCATCATTTGAATGTTAATGCTGATAATCAAAAATTAAAAATGAATTCATTTCCAACTACTTCTACTACTGAATTCATACAAATGAATGAAATGAAACATTTATCTACATTAAAAATCACTTATTCACGTGAGGATATTCAGTATAATTGGCCAATACATTTATTTAAAATATTTCAGGTAAAAGTATATCAACTATTTCTATTATTATTATGGTTTTTTTTCCATGTAGTGTTTACTACTTGTACGGATGGATATAAGTAGTATGTAACTGGGATAGAAAGTAGAATTCTTATGGATAGAAGAGGAAAACGAATAGAAAAGAAATGAAAACAGAAAGCAATAAAAATAAAAATAGGAATAGAAGAGCGATCGATTTGTAAGGAGATACTCAACGAAGATGGGGAACTTTTGTATTCATGTATTGTTTTCATATTTTATTGACTGTCTCATGAACTCAATTTTAGTGACCTGAAATCATAAACGTTATCCAAAAGAAAAGGTTTTGCATATTGAATATTATTTAAAAAGTGATCTGGAAAGTATAATGGTGGAAGTATCAGGTAGGAATTATCTGGAACAGATAGACTGTCATTATGATTTTACTTTTAAAGAAAAGATCAATAGTCATTAAGTGAAATGGTTTTCTCATCTACTCGTATGGATTCTTAACGTCAATAAAACTGGATTTTTTTTCAATCATTTGAACTACAGTGTCTCATGATTTTTTTTCTGTAAGAAAATAATTACACACCAATTGGTATTGATTCCAAATGAAATGTTCGACTATTTACAATGTACGAGGTTGACAATAAACATAAGGTCATTTTACTAGGAACTATTGAAATATTTTATCAGATGTGAAATAGAATCTTCGACATTCTGAACCTAATAGTCGTTGATGTTGTTCATTTTGTTATGTCGGATCTAATATAAAATTGTACTGGTCTCATTATTTTAGAGAATTGTTAAGTAAATTTTTGAAGTGAGTTTTGTTTGTACTTTTTCACATCCATCTAACTATGTTCGTGCATACTTGCCCTTCAAGTATATATTTTAATTGACTAAGTCTACTAGCACAGCATGGCTGTCTCAAACAATTTACGCCCTAGTTAATTGTTGAAAATCAAATATTTTAACAAATAAGCTGATCGCCTCCGTTGCTGTCACTTGTAACCATCTCCGGGACTCGATCTTTTGCGAAGTTGTGGGCATTAACTGGTGAGGTAGAAAAAAATTAAGATAAAATAATTGTCTAGTACTGTTACGATTTAAGTTAGCTTACTATACTTTCACATAAATGATGATTAGGATATTCTTCTATTACAAAATGAAGTGTTCACTCATCATGTGGACCAGATGAATAATATACAACATTTGAATGATAATCCTTCACGTGATGGATGATAGAGGAGTTGGGATCTCAGAAAAAACCTCGATATTTGAACAAGTCAAATAACAGCGTGCATGATCTTAAGATTACAAAAATAAACAGACAAAACTCTGAAAACCCTGTCACGTAAAAGTAAGTGTAGGTGGGCTGAAATGAATCGCGAAAAATTTCACCGTCTTCTTTACAGGTTAGAACTACTATTTATTAACAAAATATAGAAAAACTGAAGAATTAGAGATCTTAGCAAGCACATTCTGGATTCAGTGATATCCTTTGTTGAACTCGTTTTGAAATTAAACAAGACATATAACACCTCTCCTGCAATTAAGTTTGCTGATGGTTAACCCTGTCAAGCCCTTCAATTAACTAATTTAACGGATAGTGTTATTTGGACAGTAACCATTTGTCTATCTTTGTATTATTATTATTATTATTATTATTATTATTATTATTATTGTCTGTATGAACGTACATATCCGTCCCTTTAGCTTAAGTGTTAGTTGCCCAAAGACCACTCGATGAAACATTCGCTTTCCTACATGAGCTTAAGTTTTATTAAGTGATTCGACTCGGAATTCGCTTACTTGCGTGTACTAGCTTTTCTGCGTAAATTCGTTTGGTGCGATTGTAGCTTTGTGATCTGCGCTGTCCAATAATAAACTGTAGTCGGCACTTTGTGTTTCCTTCTGTATTCATACACTATTGGAATTTATTTAACAGCGGTTATCAGGGTGATTGATAAACGAAGCCTAAGGAATTATCTCGAAGCTAACCCGCCACAGACTTTCTGTTCAGTCTATATATTGAATCCAGATACTCGGTAAACAGCATTTAAAATAAACATTTCATCATTAAACATTTACGAGTTAATATCTAATACACAATAAATAATTTGTAATGATGAACTTGAATATACACTTACCTTTTTGCTTTTCTGTCCATAGATTGATATAAGTCCGTTGAATGTACAAGCGGAAGAATTACTTCTACTTAAATTAATTCAATTTTATCAACATGCTTTTGAGGAGGATACTGATACTGATGAACGGAATAATTCTTATAATCACCATCTTCATTCACATCATTACTCACATAATTATGACGATAATGATCCTGCTGTCTTGAATTCTTTATCTGATTCTTTTAATATTTCATTACCTCACAATTCAGATAAGTATGTTAATAAGTTGCTTTGATAACTCGTTATTATCACTATTGTTATTATTTCTAATAATCCATGCATTATTTCCCCGACCAAATCTACTGTTATTTACTCAGAGGTATTAGTGTGACAGTAAGTTAATACTTACGATATTCCACTTTCAATCATTGCATTATAAGCTTAAGTTCCGCCTTACCTAATTCATTTTAAGAAACCGAATAGAATATCTCTAGCTCAAGCCTTAAGTACCCAAATCTGTACTTGCTAACTGAGTTCGATTGTCATCATGTTACTTTAAGACATATTCCATTAAATAAGCATTGATCACCTGTTTCATCCTAATTTGGAACTTTTCCAGCTGTCCACATCGACGACTCAGCACACACAAACATGAGGTCACTTACAAAGCTTACAGTAGTATCATACAGTAAGCAGGGTACCTGTAAACTGCTAACTCGAAATCCCTTGATTCATATTGCAAACTCCAGTCAGTTCATGATATGATAATAATGATTATTCAATGTCATCAGATTTCTCAGTGTTAGAATATCACTGGTTTATTCAACTGATATGACATATATCTTCACTTTATTCGTTGTATTTCGAGAAAAACGTATTCTATTAAAACTCATTAGACTATTTTCCTCTTCCTTTCTTCCTATAGTTTAACCTCCTAACTGTTTTGTTTTACATTTTTCGTTTTTCCTTTTAAAAAAAAATCATTTCTAGAAGGAAGTATTCAATGTTGCATAACACTAAATCAGAAAATAAAATATTCTGGTGTGATCGATTTATAATTAGTCCTATACATATGAAATTAAGTGTACAAACAGCGAAAAGTTCATTGACTGAATCATATTTAGCCGGTGCTAAACGTTTACTACCATCATTAATGAGTTTTACAGGTGCAGAAATACAATTAGGTAAGTTTTGATTTATTATTTCTTAATTTTAATGATAATAATAATAATAATTGAATAACTAACACACTACATTTCAATCAAAATGGTTGCAGATACAAATGAATTCCGATGGTCAAATAAGATCATAGAATAGACAGATATCATCCTCCATTGCAAAATATTTGATATGGTTGACATCAAATCATCATTTGTAGTGTTGTGCAAAATCCTTCAAGGACATATACTAAGATTTATTGAAGCCTTAGGTATACGGAAACTGAAATTTCCTTTATACGTTCAATAATAATTTGTCATTACCCTTAACCTACCCTGGTAATACTGATTTATTATCCAGAGTGATAATCATATTGTTTCTGTGTACTTTATTATTTCTTATCTTTAACCTGCCTAGTTGATCTTTTAATTTTCATATAAAAATCTCTTAACAAGTATTGTGTGATCAGATTGTTCGAAATGTATTGCGCCAATATTATATCATCACATAATTCTGATAAACGTCGACTTCTCATTGCATTATCGCAATATATAAGAATGAAGAAGAGAAAACTTGTAATGAAGTTGTATTTCATAGAGAATACAAGAGAATTTCACACTGAATTAAATCATTTAATGAAAATCTATTGGAAATTAATTAAATGAAAATCATCTAAATTAATATACGAATTAATTCCTTCCTCATATGTTCCATTGAACGAGTTCATATCCTCAACAGAATTTTTATATATGTAAATGATTATTGTTATGTTTTTGAGTTAGTAGTCATCATGAATATTAACTTTAGTTGGATGTTTTATTGGGTATGAATATACTCTATTATAGAATCTTTATAAAGAATTCAATGTAAAGATTGAGTTACATATGTGTAAACATTAAATCAAAAGGTGTGGTTCTTTCTAGAAGATACTTGTAAGTTACTAGTATTTGACCACAGATGCCTTAGAAATATTGTCCGCATCTGCTGGGATCATCGGGTAAGTAAGTTAGACTCAGGGTATTAAGGAATGATGGTAAATCAGTTGATAAGGTTGTGAATCTTCATCGACTGAGATGATTGGGCCGCGTGTTAGATATGCCTGAACATCGATTACCACGACGCGCAATGCTGAATAGTGTTGGCGATGATTGGGAGAAAGTTAGGGGCGACCAAACCAAAACGTGGCATCAGTGCTTGAAGTCACTAATTTCTAGTCTGAGCCATGTTGGTAGATGCAGACTAATTGGTTGGGATCCGCGTGACTATCGTAACCAATGGTTGGAGACTCTTGGTGACATGGTTCAGAATCGATCACAATGGCGTCGGTGTATACACTCTTTGTCTTTCCTTAAACTGTGAAATTAAAATCACTTCATATCTTTCTTTCTACGAACTAATTCTTTCTTCCTGTACTATATCCTTATATGCAATCTCTCCTTTATATATTACATCATTGAGTCAACTGCCTCTATGAATCCGGCGTTTGTCTTGCTGTGCTAATGAAATGTGGCAACTTGGACTGATGCATGTATATGCCTGGTCCTACGTTGTAACTGACTGGCTGACTAGAAAATGGAACTTTTAAATTGAACATCATTGGCTGTTAGGTTTACAAAACTTTAGTCGTGAGATATCCACATGTTGATAACTCATTGAAATAATTACCAGTTGAAGAAGTTTTCTCTTAAAACAACTGAACAAGAATTAAATTATAATACATACTAGAAATTATAGGATAACACCTGGCTTTGTCAAGTACTTAGCAATGACTGGTAATAGCTTAAACTATTGAATATTTATAAGTAGTATAGTTTCATGCGGTAAAGCAAAGGAATAGGAAAAAAGATGACTAACCAACCACGAACACATTTGACAACCGTATATTTTGAAATATGAAAAAATGACATTCTTGGGTTCAATCCATAGGTAGGATCGTAGTTTACCGAATATCATGAAAAACTACAACACAACGAATTCTTTGGTTTCGACCAATACTGAAAACTAAACAATATGATATTGGAGACTAGTTAGGGACTTTTCAGTATATTGCACAGGATGTCAGCAGATAGTTTAGTTTACCGGGTTTTATAAATTATATCAAGTCCACCAGATGTAAAGGGTTTCGTAGTTTATATCATGAACTAACCTTAGTTACTCAAACACTATAAACCAAGAATCACTAGATAGTATGTGACTCCTCGGCTGCATATACAGTTCTACTGACGGCGAAACTCAGGACCTTCAAATCTCTTAATGAACACTTAGCTTTTAGACTTGTGAGTTGTGAAGAAACAGTGATTCGCACGCATAAATTTGGTAAATCCTGGATATTATACGACATTCAATGTCGTTGTCAGGTAAAGCTGCCTTACATCCAAAGTGGTTGAATTGGACTTTACATGGTTTCTATTGAAGACATTCATTTTTAGTAAGTTAAAACTAGATCCTGTTGCTCAGTTTGAATTCAACCATACAGCATCATGTGATTCATTTTTTGTAGTGATGAAGATTATTCTTATGAATTTATCATTTTTAAGGATCGTGTATAAAACCAAAATATTCAGTGATGTCGATTGAATAACTGACTTTTTGTTCACCGACATGATCAAATATCTTTAACCTATACTCCGTGAGAACTTTTTTTATTTCAGATCCAGTAGAAAAACTGTACATGTTGGAAACTATTCCACAGTTAATAAATTATCTTAATACATACTATCGATTACAACTTCGAGCGCATGCATTGAATATATTTGGATCAGTTGATTTTCTTGGCAATCCAATTGGTTTAATTAATGATTTAAGTTCAGGAATATCAGGATTGGTGGAACTAGACGTCGGTGGTTTAATTCGACATGTTGCACATGGTGTCGGAGATAGTGCAGCAAAAGTGAGTAGTGACTTATGTTTGTTTTTTCTATTACCAGTCATGATTGATAGGATGGGTTTAATTTAATCAACCATTTCTCAATTATTTACGATTAAAGTTGATAATACGAATTTACTGAATTTCGTTCAGTACTTGTCTCGTCAGTATCTGAAGGATCTTGTTTTTTCCATAACATATCAGATCATCATCATATTACCATATGGTTTTCAGTATATTTATATTCTGTGTTCTTGATGACAATAGATGGAAACCATATACAGATCTCTTCACAGATCACTGAAGTTAGCAATAAATTGGTCTCAACTATGACTGCTAAGTTGACGTGGTAGTTGGAATGGCCTATTGTATTGACCCTGTTGAGCTGTATTGGCTATAACACTTGTTCGTTTAAGTCTCAACACAGTTTCTCCAGACATCGGTGAAACTAAAGGCTTATAATTAGGTCCAAAGGATGCTATCGCACTGCCAACTGTACTGGAATATGATGAAAGTAAAGTATTTCCTTCAGACAACGAATATCTGCGATGATACAGCTTTCTCATGACAGATGAAGGGAGTTGGAAAAGGTTGGTCCTAAAAATAACACAACACTCTTTTACATAGATTTTGTCATTTGTAATGAAGCCTTTAAAGTACGGGGCTAACACATCAAGAACTACTCCCAGAAAAGCCATATCTGACCTTCTCAAGCAGTTATTTCTTATGCACCACTGTCATGCTCCTAGGTTGTAGAAATCACCTCTAACCCACACTATTTTTCAGGTTCCTCAGCAGGTATCTTTCTACTGTATGGACAACACGGAAATGACAACTACCCCTCATACTTTTAACAACACTGTTATGGTTAACTGACCTGATCTTTACTAACAATCGGTTTAGAAGTTAATTTGAAATGCTTATAGCAAGTTATCATGGTCGGTAGATTTCAACATATCTGTAGTTCTATCCTTATTGTCAGTATGACCTTGTCTATTCCTCTTTATTTTGAATTGACTGACATTGTAGTTGTGGATCATGGAGGGGTAATGGTTGTTCAGCTTTTACAAATATCAATCGTTCATCAACTGATACTGATCCACTATTGAATCAAAAATCCATATTTTAGACAAACTGTAAATTCACTGTGTAACACATAACCTGTGTTATATATGGTTATATCATTTGAAGAAATGATATACTTAACTTCTATACAGAAACATTGGTGAAAGATTTGTAACTCAAGTGAGATACCTTTGATGATGATTTATCCTAAGAACTATCTTCACAGTTGAACCATCCAATTAAGGGAATTCGAAATTCTCCCCATACTTATATTTTATGAGACGTCGTTTCCAGTTTTTATGCAGAATAATTTTCAAATTGTTTATTCTAGTGTTGTTGTTTTGTGTTCGTTTTTTCAGGTTGCTGGAAGTGTTTCTCAATTACTAACTGCTATATCATTAGACGATAAACATGAACAAGAACGTGCAGCTATATTGGGCAGTCGTATTGACACGTCTTCATTATTACAAACATCACAATCTATTTATAATTCGAATTATTATGATGACAGTGAAGTGTCTTCCAGTGGAATGGATGAATCATTAGATGATTTTGAATTGACTTGTCATGGCATATACACTGATATGAAATCAACTCCGTCGACATATAGTTCTTCATCATCATCGTCCTCACCACCATCAACAACATCATCAACTATAGCATCACTTCCACAATATCCGAAGCAAACTCACCATTCATTTGATACAAATCGTTCTGTTACAGCACCTTTAAGCGCTGGAGTTCGTGGCCTAATGCATGGTATCGTTGGTGGAATGACATCCATTGTTACACAGCCTTATCGTGGTGCAAAAGAAGATCAGTTAAGAGTGAGTCATTTGTTTTTTAAGACTATTTTTGTTATTGGTAACAAATATTTGGTTATCACTGAAATTATGAACCGATCAATGTTAGACCACCATTCGAAACCTGGAGACACTGAACCCCGATCTTGTCATAGTATGGGGCTCATCAGCAATGCTCATTCATGACCTCACACGTAGGAGTCGGACCCAGGAACTTCAATCCTTTTTTTACTGAAACTCAACAATCTACACAACCTTGTACTGATGAGTATTTAATTACAATGTCAGTTAATTGGTGTTCTGAGCTTAATAAGTGTCTTGCTGAGCTACTTTTTAGTTGAATAAATGTGTCAAGGTTGATGGTTGCAGATAAAATTATCTATCACTATAGTTTAGATGCTTGGTATCTACTTTTGTGAAAAACTATTGTATTACGTAAATGGCACAAAGTACCAATCCTTTGGAAAAGTCTATAAAACGCTCTGCCGTATCCCAGTATTTCGAGCAAGAGAAAGGGAGAACTTTTGTACTCCATACTTCTGCACAATGATTAATAATAATACTTGAGAGAATTTCTCTTTTATAGAATCCTTAAATTTTTTATTCGTTCATCATCTTTAAGTAATTATGTGCATAAACTGATTTGTTATTATTTCACTACTAATAGAGTTTAGTATTGTAAACCTTAATTAAGTACCTAAGCTTGCCTTGGTAGCATATTAATGTTCAAACCGTCAAAGTTTTCATTCAATAGGCCGTAAACTCCCATTTTACTTCTATATGTTCAACTGAGTGGTACCATTAATACACGACGACATTGTAACTCCAACGTGCCTACATAAACCTGTACTTAGTACGTGAAGGCAAATCATAATAATATATCCAAGTATGCAAATTGTAATAATATGATTTTTGGTGAAACTTGAAAATAACTTCTAGAAAATTATTAAGGACAGTTCTTTGAAGATAGATCATTGAAGAAATCAATTATTTTTAAGTAGCTGAGGCATTCCAACTTGTTTAGTGAAGAATACAAATATTATACAAAGCCAAGACTATTATCAACCTCATGTGCTAATGAAAACAATCAAATACGTAGAGTTTCTTTTGTTTCCTGAGTCCCTGTCCATTGGTCCGGTTAGTTCCTAATGAATTTCATTTGGAAAAATCGCCTGTACAAACTATTTTGGCAAAATGTGACATGGTACGAGGAAGCTGTTAGATCTAACTTTTATTAAATCTCATAAATGTTCTGAACAAAGTTGACAGAGACAGGTTAGGTTTGTGGACACTATTGTGGTGCATTTTCAATGGGATAATCTTAAAGGAGAACCTCCGACTTTCTTAAATGAAGTTTGTATAGCTTTGATTTACGTATTTCTTGGACAGGTTTCATACATTTGATCGGTAGGATTCTATTAACACTACGGACAAGAGAAATGGAGAAGTGACCACTTCTCGGTAATTAATCAATTTAATCATCTCAGCCTTACAGAAAATCAGTCGTTCACCCAATAGCTCAGTTTTAACTTCTCAGACTGTGAACCTAATTAATCTGGTTTACAATCTACTAGGAAGTATCACTCTTCTCAAGTTTGTAAATACACGTTATTGACGAATAGCAAATAGTATGAAACCTATGTCTATAGTTTACTATCGATCATTTCTATCCATCTCACATCAAAACATAATGCATTCGGTATCGAGTCACTTAGACTACTTTCCACATTACATCTTTATCAATAAAATCGATCAACCGTACTATGAACTTGACAGATATGACTTTAGTTATTACTCAATGATCGATCAGTATAAACACCAAAATTTATCATAAACACAAATTAATCAATTAACATTCTTACCTTTTTTTTACGTCTTTCCTTTTTCTTTTTTATAAAAAGAATATTTTCTTCCATACACTTTTTAGGGTTTTGTCTATGGTGTTGGTCGTGGATTATTAGGTACAGTAACTAAACCAGTTGGTGGTGTATTCGATTTTCTATCTGGTATGATGAGTTCAATTAGTGAAGTTGCACGTCCATCAAATTTATATCGTCCAAAACGATGTAGACCACGTCGTGCTGGTCTATCAAAATATTTTTCACGTCCATTAATTATTTATAATTTAAATGAAGCAATAGTTCAATTACAAATTCATCATCTTACATTATTCAATGTTACACGTCGTTATTCATTAAAAAATTATTATTCATCTTCATTGAATACTTTTAATTCTATAATTAATTCATTGAATACATTTGAAATTGGTGAAGTTCCAATAGACAATACTAATACTACCACTACTACTACTAATACTACTAATACTACTACTAATAATACGAATGAATTCAATGGTACAAATAAACTGTCTCCTATTAACAGTTGTAAATTAACTGATCTTGATTTAACTTATTCATTTAGTCGTATGTTATATATTTATGCATTATTACCATGTAATAATAGTCCAGAGGCATTAGCATCACATCATCTTCGTTATTTACTTTATTCACCTGAATCAATATTACATATTTTACCTATACAATTAAATGGTGTAGTTGTATTAATTACAGATCAAGCTTTATGGTGTATACGTGATAATTCATTACAGAATTGGATTCTTTCAAGAAATCCCGTTGGTATTAATAATAATAATAACAATAGTAATATCAATGTAAGTTACCAATTCAATTCATTCTATTTTTCTTCGTAAAATTCATTTTTCATTTTACTTCAACTATGTTCAATTGGTATATTTGTGGAGAATCAAAGTAGATTTTCTTTGAATGTCCAATCAGTTGACAGTCGTCGTGACGATAGTCTCTCTGTGATTCATAAGGAAATTGTTGCTTTTCTAAAAGAATGTGAACCCATATCACTCAATATCATTGTCAGCGATATATTACTAGTAGATTTTCTTTCCTTAACGTTTGTTCTAGTTATCGTTTTTTTTGCGTGGGTTATTTGAACAGTTACCAATTGTAGGAGGAAATAGTTCTTTTGTACTGTTTTTAGTTTTCGACTATGATCTCAGGTTGTAGTGAGAACTTTCTTTAAGTTTTTGGGTGGTTTAAGGTGGGCGGTTTTTAATCTTGGATCTAAGTTTCCTACTATTTGAGACTCATCAACATCGCAAAGTGTTCAACCTTTAGAGAACTGTGGTATTCAGACCGAAGTCGTTCAATTTCATAGATTGAGACGTTGCTACCGAGTTATTGGAGCCACAACTGACCGTCATGTAAGACTTATATGTACATTAATTGATCACTAAGTCACTTATACTTGACCAATAACGATGTTAAATACTAAATAGCTGGATAAATATGACAGAGACAGCTGACAGAAAGCTTTAATCGATCTAAATGTCCAACTATTCCACACTCTTCGTGAATATATTGTCTCTATGATTCATAAGAAAGTTGTTGCTTCTCTAGAAGAATGCGAACCTATATCACCCAGTGTTATAGTCAGAGACATATTACCACTATACTATTCAACTTTATTCTAAAATATTTTGCTGGTAGACATTTATGTAATTTCTTATAATTATTTCATGGAATTATTATTCACCTTTCTTAATTTGTAATTTTTCCGCTAGATATCGGACTCGAACTCATCTGTTACATCACATCAAACCGCACCGGTATTTTTCCTGACTGAAAATACGACATTAATGTTCATGTTGCACTATCATCGTCTAGATCAAATTTATGTAATGCTTTCTCAGAATACTAACACACTTAGTTCTGTGTCGATTGCTGATGTCAATACTACTACTAGTAGTACTTCGACTACTCCTACAACTACTAATTCTCCTGTTTATGTTGTTTTCTCAGCTGATTGTGGTACAAGTAAACAACAATTACGTTGTGACTACTTAACTTGGGGTTTAGATTTAACATTACATGTAAGAAATGCACAATTTCGTTTTGCTCAGGCTAATATGCGTGTGAATCGTTTGAACATATCCACTAACAACATCTCATCGTCAACTCTTTCATGTAAGAATAATAAACAACAATTAACTACTGTCTATTATAATGTGCCTCGTTTTCTAAATCATCCTGTTGCATTGGCTTACAGTCCAATTTGTCACAGATAAAGATGCCTTCATATGGATGACTTTTTCTCAGTCGAGCATCACTCTCCATGTTGCCTCATATTATTTTTTTTTACAGTGATAAGTTATCTTTAAAAAATTCCTATACAACATTTGTACATGTTTATTTTCTGTATAAAAAAATCTGTATATCAATGTATAATAAAATTATAGTGTTGATCTTTACTAATAACGACTACCTTGATTTGAAATGAGACAAGTCATTCATTCATTCAGTTCTTTGTCTTTGTAAACATGTGCATATCGATCTTGTTTGTATTCGCTTTGGTACTTTTTGAATATCAACTATATGTAGAATGAGCTATTTTTTTGGTAGAATAATAATAATAATAATCATTAAAGATTTCTAAGACTCTGTATGATAACTTCATGTTCATATTATTATGATTATCTTAAGTTATTCGTTTATCTTTTCTTAGTTAAAAGTTTTTTTAAGAACAATTTTCAACAAAATAAATCTTGTACATGTAGGTCGTTTTCTGTTTGATATGGGGGGGGATTTGTCAATGTTGTTGTTCATATCAGAAATGGTTTTGTGGAGATTGTAGTAATTTCAATAGTTGAGATCATGAGTCGAGCTTAGATTGACTGATGATCTCAATCATCGAAATTACCATAATATCCACAAAAACCCTTTCTGATATTAAGGCCCCCAAATGCCCTGGTACGGCCAAGAGTGCGAAGAGTCAGCTCTCCCTCTCGAAATGCTCTCACATGGACACGCGTATATAGCCTCTGCCAGGAAAGTCCTACTCACTACCTTCTCGTGGCTGGGGTGTTATCTGTCGAATTGAGAGAACGAAAAGCGAATGTTCGGCGCTTTAACCGGGTTGGTGGACATGGAGAGTCCACCTGGGGGAGTTGGAAAACCCTGATTCCAAACCAATGGTGCACATGGACTCCAGTATCCTGAAGGAACAAGTGGCGTATGAACCAATCGTTGGTCACCTGCTACCATGGGACTGCATCTCCTAACGTCGCTCCACTGCCTTGTGGATCAGACCTTCAGGTCGAAGGCTCGGGGTGTGGCCCTCTAAGAAAACCACCTACTTCGGTTTGTGCACCCGGTCAGTATCACAGTACTCACACATATCAAATGAGATTTGTGTGGCGCATATCTGTTTGTTACCTCCTTGTACCAATATCTATGTGTTAAAATAAATAAATAAAGCAACATATGCTCACTAGTGACTGGCTTCAAGAGGTATTTCCTGGAGTTCTAGTGAGAAGCAATGACCAGTGGAGTTCAAATTAGTCAGTTGTCAGATAATAACTCACTGATGACCATGTTGGATGTGTCGCTAAATTTCGTGGATTAATCAAAATTAGACATTAACACCGTCGGAATTATGGGTAACCAATATGAACAGGGGAATATCTCAGTTCTCATTGATAATGATCAATCCAATATGAATAACATTTGATAGACAGGTTGTAAAATAGAATGAATTATATTTGCACAGACAGTCATATTGATTTATACGAATATTTGTCAATATTAGAACGAATAATTTGACAAAAATTGGGCGTCAAATATATAGGGAAGACATTATTTGTGAAAATTATATTTGGAATAATCTCAGCGATTGAAATGTCAACAGTTCCAACGTTTTGTCCAGCGAATTTGTTTAGACTTCTTCAGGGTAATAATCAAAGAAATATATAGTGCTTAACAATCAAATAAAATCTTGACTGTGGCTTATCCAATCATATTTAGATGCTGACGTTAGTAAGTAGGACAACATGGGTCATTTATATGTGAATCATGTGAAACGTTTACAATGTGGAAGTGAATGTATAAATGATTGTGTGTATGTGTGTGTAAGATTGAGTTAATAATAGTTGATATTAAGTGTTAAATTTGTTATCATATGAAGGAAAAAATAGAGGTGCAAGTTGAAATTGTTTCTGAATAGTCGATATGCATGTAAAATGAGGCCCATCAAATACATAATTGTAGTGCTATAATATCCCAGATTAATTTTTATCAAAATAACGATGCATGTGAAATAAACAGGTTGGATAGAGAAAGGGTCCAACTACTTGTTAACGAACATTTGCCAAGTGGTTGCTAGTTGAATACCATCCTTTCTGTTCAGGCTGTTCTTATTAGCTCATATATACGGTGCTTCTGTCAATCTCTTTATGTTATGATGAAATAGAGCTCTTAAATTAACGTGATGCGAAATGGATCTACATTATGAATCCATCTCCCTATATAAAGGCCACAGTTAAGAGGAAAGTTATATTGATAAGTACTTAGCTGAAACAGATCAGTGGTTTAATCTTAAGATCAGACTTTTGTAGTGTTGTATAAAAAATAACTAGGATGTCGACAAACAAAAAGTTTGTCATTAATTTAAGCCTACTCTGATAATATTGATACGTATTTCATGTGGGGCCAGGTATTCAGGTCGTCCGATGCATGTTTTATCCAAAAGAAATTCAAGAACATTACCTGTCTTGGACGAAAAGAGGTGAGGATCAATCACTAAGAAGTTTTATAATCGGACACATTATGAACACAAATCGCTTGATCAAAACGAACTCTGCATTTTAAGTTATTTACTAGGTGAGTAAACAGCCCTCAACGACAGACAACTTCCGTCTTCTTAGCATTACTGAAGAATTCGACGTATATTTGGAAAAACCAGAATTATGTGCACAAATGAAACTTGTGTAACCTCTACTTGTACCATGGTCTTAATCTGTCGTAATTGTTTTCGTTTCTTCTTTTTCAGATATCCGTCTCCTATCTTCTCTTTAGACTTTCTACCCTCAAACTAATTTGTTTATGTTTCAATGATTCTCCTGATTACAGTTCATTGAAATTTCATCTTATCACGCTAAACATCCTTTTTCCACAAATAATTCTCGATATTATCTGCATAATGAATATTCAAGCTCTCAATAACATTGATAATAGTAGTTTCCCTAATATACATAACCCTTTTATGCTTTTGTTTGTTTATTTTACCTCTCCATCATCATGTTTAGTAGGTTTTGTTATCACTGTCATTATAATTGTTATCATTCGGGACAATCAGTATATACTTGCTATTGTACAGCTTTAGAAATGAATTCGCTAAATAGAAAACTCTTCATTGAACCAATTTTCTCTCGTTTATGTCTCAATAATTATACCTCATTTAATTATAAAAGAATGGGCGGTGTATTTTGTTTTTGTTCTTTTATCCTCATTTTTATTTCTCCTATCTCATCAAGTTATTGCATAATCAGATTCTTGGAATATATACGCTTATTTATTGATTTTTCTGGTTTCTACTAGAATGATTTATGATGACCTTGACGCGGTAGCATCATATTCATACTTAAGGTGAATTCGACATACGAACATGATTGATCAATTATTTATGGGGATCAATATTGTGACCTTGTTTCTCTTTTATACTTTTGATTATTTCCTTGATGAAACTTTGATTAAGACTGTATGACCCCAAAGTTATTCATCTGAAACTTGATAAAATTTAAAGTAAATATTCCCTTTATCTTTATATTGTTTGCTTGAAACTTACTATTGAGGTTTAAAACTGCGATTGATCAGTCTCTTATTGGCGTGTACGTATCCTGTACGGAATGTCTCGATATTACCTTAAGTCACAGGCATTCTAAGCAAAGATGGATGGTGGCTAGTAGTGGAATACAGGATGTGCGGTTCGTCCCAGTTGGGACTCGTCAGCTGGATGTACCTGCATCCCACAGTTGATATTCACGATATATATATATATATATATATATATATATATAAAAATCTATTGCAGCAGAAAAAGATATAGGACAGTTACATGAATAAACTGATGGGTTGTTTATGTTATCCATTTCAAAAATCTTAATTATTGTATGAGCTATTCTTATTTAATTTGTTAAGCCTTACTTAGGGACAAAAATAAGTGTTAGTGTTTTACAAGCTTTGCATAGAATGAAATAACGTCCCGAAACATAGCTTTCGTAGTTTGTCAGGGTTTCTTGTTTCCCTGTTCACATCAGTAATGAGATTGAACAGATAAAAAATCATTTTCACTGTTCTGCCTATTTACACGTTCGCGTCGTACCTCCTGGATAATGGGACAGATAACGCATAAACTAACGTGAGTCGTAATCCAGATGATAGAGATCAGACTGATCACCCACTCGACTGATATCCTCAAACCGATTACGAAATCCACAAAGTATCATAGCACAATTACTGTTGGATAGAAAAACAACAACAAAAATTGACAAAACTGGTGCATGTAATATACGGGGTTGCTTGTTACGGGGCAAACTCCTACCGATTGCAAAAACAGCTATTCTAGCCCCGGCAATTGTACCGTGCTTCAATGTGGCCTGTTTCTCGCCAGAAGGGCTTATTAGGCTTCACCAACTTGTTTGGTTGCAACGGGCAGACATATATATATATACTACTAACAAGAGATAATAATCACTACCATTCATAACATTCTTTTCTTTTACTGATATCTGATTAAAAAATACAATTGAGAAATATAATTTTAAAAAAAACACATTAAAATAACTCTGTAAATTAATGTCAAGAAAAGTAATAAATTCAATTTAACAAAATTAAAAATGAGTAAAAGATTAGTATGTTATAAATAGTAATGGAAATATTACACGATAGATAAACAGACCAACAGACGGACAGGTAGATAGATAGACAGACAGACAGTCAGAGAGAACGGAATCTTGAGGGTTAATGTGATTTTAGGAACGAAAATTGAGAGAAGGAGGAATTATATCACTACATTCAGCATATTAAGCAACAAATAAATATTACATAATTAATATATAGAAATGAAGAAAATCTGTTACATACAAAGAAGCTAATGAATAGTATCTGTATTGAATTAAGTATATCAGTAGTCAATTACTATTTATGTATATACATATAAACAGTGTTCAATAAATTATGACTATTATGCTCAATAAAAACTCCGTATGTAGCTCTTTTAGAGTTACTGCCG